GTGGGTTGCAAGTTGCAAAAATATTTTGAAGGATAATAAACACAGCAGCCTCCAATGCAAATATCCGTACACGTTTTGGCACAAAATAGAGACTATTGATCAACCGACAAGTTTTAAATTTCTAAAAGAAGAATTATTATCAACCTCTGAAACAAATTTTATCATAATCTTTTATCTTCTCAACTTATTTTTAGTTACAGGCTAAAATTACGTTCATAGAAGTAGTGTGTTGGACTTACTGAGCTGGATCCCAGAAGCAACAGGTTCATTAATAGTGAGATGACTTTGAATGCGTGGTAAACATAACCCAAGCTGCAATCGCTTCATTCAGGTGTGATCATAAAAAAAAGTAATCAATCAATTAATCAGTCAATAGATAATCAGAAAATGAGCGAGAAACTTAACTGGAACGGCACGTTTAACGGGAAAAGGTTTGGACATTTTATAAGAATGCTATTTGAACTTTCATTTTCATACAAGATCACGAACCAATGTAAAATTTATGTTTAAGGCAATAAAAAACCTACACAATTCAACGATTAATCTCACAAATGAAAATATTTTCGTCCTAATCACGTGTTCTTTCTTACAGATTTTATGGAACAAGACAAAAGTAAACAGTAATACCCACGAAACACCTTTTGCTGAAAGGCAAATTTTGGCTGAGTTCGAATTCGTCGGCGTTTTCCTCCAAATACTTGTAAACTTTGAAAGAATTGCTTTGTTGATAAATTGAATATGCTGATCCAAGCTGAAATACAAACAGAAATACAACTACAGATCAGATTTGATATATTTCAGCAAATATAAACTGCTTTCTTTGGAATTAATCAGCAGATCTTGTGAAGAAGGTTTGAATTTCATACTACGTTCAGTCACTTGTGATGAGGAAGGGAGAGGCAAAGTTATGTTTCAAACATTAAAACACACTTGCACTGCAAATATTGTGCACCGATCAATGCGAAGCCTTAACATCTAACCCCAGTGTGTATCGCGGAAAATGTTCCAGATTATTGTTCGTGTTATTTGTGGTCCCTAAGCTCCTCAGGCACAAGGAAATAGAAAATAGTAAGATAGAATTATATATTTAATTATTTCCTTCAGTCACAGAGACTTTTCTAAAGCGATTGAGGGATATACTGGTAATAAAAGAGGTGGGGGGGGGGCAATTGGGATCCATTAGAAACAGCAAAACCGTAGAGAAAAACCGAAAAAACCGAAAAAAAAAATCCAATCAAATCCGAAAACCGCGTGCAAAACTCTCAAGATCGAAACTTCTCACATCCCAGTTATTAAAACCCTGAGCGATCCGATACAGTGGTGACAAGTGGAGCATACAGAATAAACTACACTAGCTAATTTCATGACAGGATTTATGAATACCATGGACTTGACATTCGTATTTTCTATTATCTGCTTAAATTAACAGCTGCGCTCTCGAGGACCTCGAGCGTAGTTTCTGCGGACTCAGCAGCTGATAATGGAGCCTAGTTAAATTAAGGAAAATTCGCACAAAAGTCCTCGATAGCATTGCAATTTTGCAGTCGCAAAAAGCTATAGTTCTAGAAAGTTTCATCAGAAATTTCCTAATCTAACATTTCCATTTGCGAACTAAGACCTGAAAGTTTGAGATTCTATCGGAATGTTGAATAAATCAGTCGCGTGCGGCCTGTAACTTGATCACGAACTTATAGGTGGCGTTGATAAAGAAACTCTAGCAATGATTTGTGCTTAGCCGTACCCTCTCCTCCCCCCCCCCCCACCTAAGGGGAGGGGGAAGGTACGGCTACACGTAGGCTACCTAGGGATCCCTGCGATATTTCAGTTGGTTTGTCACGCATTCCCCTAGATAACATTTGCGTTTAGCGGCGATTCGAGATCAGTGGAGGCGCGTAATTTCCGCTCAGATCGAAGAGAAACCGGAACCCAAATAGGTCTGATTGGAAAAACCGAAAACCGCATCGGATATCAAATCCGAAAACCCGTTAGTATTTTTCCCGTTAGTAATTTTCATTCGAAATATGCCCCTAGAAATCATCCATCGAATAAATATCATCTATGTCACGATAGGACGTGCTGTTTACCAACTATTGGCCAATTCCTTTTTCATAACGAGTAATTCATTGGTTACGCTCCTAACCTGGAAACTGAAAGTGCTGTTTCGAATCGTGTGTGATGTCATTTTTTTCCGGCTTCTCTTCTTGAAATTTTTGAAAATAATTAAAATTAGTACAATCGCTGTTGAAAATCCTTTCGTAATAGAGGAGCATCTCGAATTCTCGAAGAGTGAGCTCGAAGTGCAAAGAGTTCCGTTTCGTTAGTTGCAAATATCATGCACGGATCGAGTCTCCCTTCAATACTACGCGCAGTTTTTCAGGCTTCTATGTTCAGTCTGCGATTTCTTTATCAGCAGGCGACCGGCGAAAATTATCTCTTTACTTCAAAATATAAGTTTCGGTTGCAATATCTAATTTTACCGTAAGACAATTTGTGCTTGAATGCTCGTTTTTGACCGAATAACAGTTATGAAGTTTGCAGTTGCTCGTCCTGAAATTTCAGAATGCGCATATGTCTCAGCGTTAACGTAGATAGTTTTTTTTTTCCTACGGAATTTTACTGGTAAAAGCCGTTTTTGACCGGAAAAACGTTTTGGAAATCGTGCACTTAAATTCGTGTAGTTATTCATGATCAACGCGACTTAACAAATTCCACGTGGTTAATCTTTGCTCTAAGTATCAATCTTCGCGGAACTAAAGTTCTCGGTTTTTACGAAATAGCTAAAATCGTTCAATTAAGTACTACTATTACTCAGGCTATTACTAGGGTATGAAAAGCAGAAGGATATTTCAGATGGTTAGACGATTAATAACAGCCGGAACTTACCAAGCCAATTATTCCGAGAATCACAACACCGCTACGAAGGCTGCAGCCACAGCAACAAGTTTTCACCAAAACTGCCATCGAAGATGATCAGTCGAAATTACTCTTCTGAACGTCAAAATCAACTGCATTGATTCAAGCGTAGCTGCCGGATGCTTTTAAATCTTCCTTAACCTTTCATTTTTGAGATCCGTTAAAAAAATTCCTCGTTCAATTTCCTTGTATCCTAGTGGTGCGACTTTCCTCGAGGCTTACATCCATGAAGAATGAAAAGATCCTGAATTTGGAGGGTGTAGTGTGCATGCGGATCTTTTTCCGGTTTGAATTCCGAGATCTACCTGTAATAAATATATATGTAATAAATATATATACATATACATATAGGGAGTCTGCAAGTCGATTTTCGCGTGGAACAGTGCTCAATACGTTGAAGCAGAGCGGAATAAATATTTTAAGAAGAAAAAAAACGGATTAAACCCCTGAAGAGTGAAGCGAATCACGAAACAGGCTTGTCGGGAAAATGTTGTTGCGTCCTTTTTTCCTCATAAAATATTTACATATACATATATATATATAAATATATTCCAACAAACTTTGGAACAATCTAAACAAACGAGCAAACTCTCACAACTTCAAAATGAAAAATTTGAATTTACTTACAATTACTTTCCTTGCCATTTACTAACTGAAACGAGGTAAATCTTCGTACATTATTCGTTATTTAATCGTCGATAAGAGTGAGTAATACTTTCCGTGAGATCATTGACTGTTTTTGACAAAAATATGATCGTGACAGTCCTTTCGAAACTGGTTCCGTTTTTTTTTTTTTTTTTCCTTTGTCGCTCTCTAATTGACAGGAATCAGATTGTGACAGATTGTTTAAAACCTCAGTAAGTTAGTGGCAAGGAAAGTAATTGTCATTAATTCAAATTTTTCATTTTGAAGTTGTGAGAGTTTACACGTTTGTTTATTGCAATGGCGTCTGTAAATCTGGTCTTTCTTTCACAAGAGCCAAATTCAAATGAGGTACTTCAATTAGACACAAGGGGATTTAATGCGGCTTTTTCTCATTGAATTCTTTCGGTTTCTGTTGAGCAATTTACGGTACAAATGTCTAAATTGAACAGAATTGGAAAGACTCACCGAAAGCATCTTTGTAGAAGAACTTAAAAAATTGTGTAAGAGACTTCAGACTGAGATTAAATGAATGAAAGTTCCATCGATAAATTCAGTTGTAACCAAATACCTCGCGTTTTAACTTTCCAGACCGCTTGTTAACCAGTTTTATGACACTTTTGTTTATACAAATTCATTTCGAAACCAATATTTTTCAGTCAACCAAAGTGATTTGAGGGTGAGAAAATCGAGGATTAATTAGTTAATTATCAGCTTGCGCTTCTGACCGACTTCATTGCTTAAAAATACTGCCCAGCTGGAAAAATGTGATATATTTATGAAAAATGGCAGCGAAGTTAGGGATGTACTCGGCAACTCACGAAAGCCTTACCGTTGCCCGTGGGCAGAGATAGGAAAATACGGACCGCGCTAAGAACCAATCAGATTGTAGCAATCGTTACCGGGCCCCCTGAGAAAAAAATAAACGGTAATATCAACAGCAGTTTTTTTCCGAGCCTTTTTTTTTTATTTTTTTATTTTCAGGAATATGTAAAAGGTAACAAGTTTACCAAAAAGCAGTTAGTTGTAGGGCTCTTAAAAAAAGTTAACCCTTGTACCATAACGCAAAACGTCTCCACCATTTTACTTTTACAACATACATCTGCGTTATCCTTTTAAGCTTCGAAGAAGCTAGTTTTTCGAATTACTTTGAATATTTTAACCCTTTAACTTCATTCATCTTATAACAGCGATGAAAATCCTAAATAACTGATCCATATTACTATTCTTCAAAGGCTGAATCATCCTACGATCACCTTAAAATTCATATGACGTTATGATTGGGGATTATTCGTCGCCAACAATTGCGGGGGGGGGGGGTTGGGGAATATAGAAAATTGACTGCAGCGTGGGGGGGGAAGGGGGGTGTTATTAGAATCACCCCCCACACACACGTAAAATAATGACTGCTCCCTTAATCCCACTTGCTATCAATCAGAGAAAGATATTCTCTACAGTTATACTCAATTAAAGTTAGTTAGCCTTTCTAACAATTTTATATTAAAACGTTGATCAGTAATCTCTTGGGACAGTCACAATGTTCTGTTGAGTTTACACAGTGCCCTTATGGAATACTGTGTATGAAGGGAGTTCCATTCCAGCCTGTGAAATAATAAGAAATAAAAAAATTAAAAAAAAAAAGAGAAAAAAAATTCTTCAATAAATCATTACAACTAGGCTCGCTTAATCTTATTCTAGTATACAAAGAAAAAATTAATTTGATATATATGTATATATTTATATATATATATATATATAGGAAGTCTGCAAGTCGATTTTCGCGTGGAACAGTGCTCAATACGTTGAAGCAGAGCAGAATAAATATTCTGAGAGGGAAAAAGGGGACGCAACTACATTTCCCGACAAGCCTGTTTCGCGAATCGCTTCACTCTGAAAACCCCTGAAGAGTGAAGCGATTCACGAAACAGGCTTGTCGGGAAATGTAGTTGCGTCCCTTTTTCCCTCTCATAATATATATATATATATATATATATACATACTCTGTGGTTAGCTTACGAGCATGCTTTCATTGGCAGTGTGACGCGAGAGGCGAGGACAGCGCCTTTCGAGCCAGCGAACCATGTGATCTTTTTTCCAGGATGAGTGGTTGTATTTGAGTTATTGTGAACGATTGGAAAATTACAGCCGACTGTCCGATTACACTGTTCGATTACAACTGTACAGAATGATTGGTCAAAAATAACTCAGCTAAAACACCAATCACATTTGAGGAAATTGCAAAAGTGGGATTAGGGCTGGGATGAAGTACGATAGTGTGACCATAATGTTTCACTTACAATCTGCAATACTTTCCTATCTGAGCACCATAACATCACTTCTCTTCCCTAAAGGTATTAATTAAGAAATGGCGCTGAAAATTCATCTTAGCTTAGGTCTACCAACAGCATTTTCATCTCAGCGTATCCAGACTGATAGTTCGACTTTCGACTTATCCGAACGATTGCCTTTCCTGCGAAGTAATTTTTAGCTGTGGAGTGGCTAAGTTCAAACCGCTAATTTCTACTCTTTCTCTCAGTTTACCTTAGGCTGCGCTTTCTGAATGGTCAACTGGTTTGCCTGCGAACGATTAATATTTTTTTTCAATAATTAACGATCCATTTCAAGAGATTCTAAACTATATTCTCTCTTCCACTTATACTACTTGGGAATAAATAACCACAACCTTTACAATTTCCTCAAATGTGATTGGTGTATTAGCTGACTTATTTTTGATTTATTGGTAACATGACCATGGGACGTCGAATTCTGTCTGTAATTATACTCGTGATTGACAAATCACGAGATTGTTAGCTTCGCGGTCGTCCGATTTTCTCAATCACTCGTAGGATTATGGACTGAATTGGACTCCTCTCGCCCCTTTACCAATATTAATAGCTTTGGCAGTCGAAGAGCGACCACCTTTGCCCTTAAAAGGAATGCTAGTCCATCTGCTATCATAGCGTACTTTTGCTCAGTAACACAAAAAATACTCATAGCGAATTTGACTGCGAAGGTCATGTAGAATTACAGCAACGGAAATTACCTTCGGGGTTTGGTTACCGCCTGTCGGAGGGGGAGAAAATCCTGCACTTGTTCCCGAAGGATCTTCACGAAGTGCTTCGATGTACGAATACACCACAATGATGAAGTAGATCTTGGAAAAAAAAATTGGGAGGGAATGAGTTCAGACCCAGGCCATCATCAATTCAGTTGAACAGTAGAATAGAGTGCTTTTCGACTGAGTGTGCTAAAACCAAAACCGGCCAAGTAATCACAGAATTAAAAAGGAACCAATCACAGAGCCAAGGCAAAATCAATGCAATTTCGAGTTTTTCTCCGACTCTCAAATATAAATTTTTAAATAAACTGAAACAAAACATACCGATAGCAGCCATCTAGTGATGTCAATAAATAAAAATACGGGAAACTGTATAATAGAAGGAAACAGAAATCATGTTAAGTTCGTGGAAAAGCTCTCTACTAATACTTTATAAGAAAAGAAAAAGTTGTTTCAATTTACCCCTTTGCAGATGGTAATGTAATATATAATCACTCCAAAACTGAAAAAGAGCTCGAAGATGCTCCACCCAAGCCAAGGAAATGCCAAATGTTTGTCAACCTGCGACGAAAAAGAACGATGACCAGTGACGTAAACTTACAAATAAATAAATAAATAAAAGTCAGCGCTTTAAGCTGCGACTGTTTGGGTCGAGTCAAAACGAAAAATCGGCAATTTAAAGCGAAAACCGCAAATTTGACGATTTGTGTTTTGCTGTCATATAAACATTTTTTCCATTTTTTTTTTTTTAAGTGTTGAATTAATGTGAGATAATCATTCGAATACACTTCTATCAAAGCTTTTCTTCCGCGCGATTGGTTCAAACACATCATATTATCGTAATACTCCCCATTTTTCAAACCATACATCAACGACTATGAAGGCGTTTATTCATAATTAAATTCAAGACGAAAGAGTGTTTAGGTATTGTTACAAGACGAGAGGTTTGTTTGTTCATAAAGTCGTACCAAAGAGCATTGAAAAGTGAACATCTTACGCAGCAAACAGCAAATTGCTCGTAAACATTTTCCCGTGCGTTGAAAGTTGCAAAAACGACTTTAAAGATAATAAACACAACTGCCTCCGTTGCTCGTACATATATCCTTGCAATTATCTGTCCCTCGAGGCTCACGGTTTCCCTCACGGAAGAGATTATGTTTACTGACAAGTATCCGTGCATATTTTTGCGCCAAATAGAGACTATTGTTTATCTAATGCATAAAAATGAAAGAAAAAACAAACAAACTTACAAAAACTATTTAGCGAAGCAAAACCTTAATTAATGAAATTTTGACTAGGAAAGCCATTTTCATTGCCCAATATACCGGCTAGTTTTAAATTTCTAAAAGAAGAATTATTGTGTACCTCTGAGACAAATTTTGTCATAATGTTTAATCTTCTCAAATCTTTTTAAGTTACGTGCTAAAATTACGTTCTTAGTGTGTTGGACTTACTGAGCAACAGGATCCCAGAAGCAACAGGTTCACCAACAGTGAGATGACTCCGAATACCAGGGAAACATATGCCAATCTCACGATCACTATATTTAGAGATGATCGTTAAAAAATAAGAAAGTGCATTAATCAATTAATCAGTGAGAATATAATCAGAAAATGAGAGAGAACCTTGTCTGACTGGGACGGTTTATTTTGCAGAAAAAGGTTTGAACATTTCTAAAAATTATTGGTGGAACTTTCATTTTCACACAAGATCACGAACCGATGTAAAATAAATATTGGAGTCACTAAAGAAGCCCCACACAATTTTACGTATAATCTCACCAATGGAAATATTTTCATCCTAGCTAAACACGTGTTCTTTATAACAGATTTTACGGAACAAGACAAAAGTAAACCTTAATACCCAGGAAATCCTTTTTGTTGAAATGTAAATCCTGGCTGATTTCGTCAGCGTTCTCCTCTATATGCTTCAAGTTAACTTTGATTGACTGACTGTTTTGATAAATTGAATAAGCTGATGCAAACTGAAATGAAAAAAGAAATGCAACTACAGATCAGATTTGATATACCACAGTAAATACAGATTACTCTCTTTTGAATTCACCAGAAAAACATGCGAAGGTTTAACTTTCAAACAAACTTGTGTCATTTGTGATGAGGAAGGAAGAGGCTATGTTTCAAACATAAAAACACAGTTGGACTGCAAATATTTGTGCGCCGATCAATTCGAACCCTTAACATTTTCCCTTCTTCCCACCCCCTCGCCCCTCGCCCCTCCCCATCTCCTCCTCCCTCCCCTCCCCCTCCCCCCCCATCCCTCCCTCCCCTACCCCCCCCCCCCCCCCCCCCCCCCCCCCTCCCCCAAGATAAAAAAGCAAGATAAAACGATACATTCAATTATTTCCTTCTGTCACGTAGACTTTTCTTAAGCGACTGAGTGATAAACTGGTACTGTTCACCCGAAATATGCCCCTACAGATCATCCATCGAATAACAATCTAAGTCACGATAAGACGTGCTGTTTCCCAAGGCTTGGCCAATTCCCTTTTCATGACGTAATTCTTTGTCACACAATTGTCACGCGGTGTGTGACAAATAATAAAAAAAGTTCAGTGACATCCACTAGCTCCTGCTTTCGGTTAGAGCAAAGCGAACACTAAAATGATATTCAAATACAGAAACGATGCTTGTAATTAGGCGTTAGTTACAAAGATTGAAGGGAAACATATTAAAAAGGAACTGGAACTCATGCCTCCCACATGCAATATATTTTATCATATAAACTACGGTGTTGTACAAGCATTTCCAGCCCCGAGAAAAGCCGTAACAACGCACGTGAAAAAATACGATATTTTTTCATGTGTGTTTGATATCGCCAGTCAGCTGTTAACACGTCATTCGCGCCACTCGGTCAGGTTGATGAATGAGCAGCAAAGCTGTCATCATTCAATGTCCGCCGTGGTTGTTTTTCAGAACATTCTCGGATTGTGGCTGCTAAAACGCTGAAAAATTCGCACCGCTTACCGACAGTGACGTTCAAACTTTCTTAGAAGGGGAGAAAACCAAAATGCGAAGAGAAAAACCGAAAGTTACGTATTCAGTGACTTTTATACTGGCATTTCTCGCGGCTGAGAATGAAAATCGACAACTGGAATATTTGCCACAGGCCGCTTTTGGCCGTGAACCTGAAAGATTTCTTCTGTCGCTAAGGACAAAGTCGGTAACTGAGAATTTTGTGTATTAAAATTAGGCCCATTGTTGTTTTTATACTTATTCAACGCATTTTTCATCTTCGGCTTAAGCGCAAACTCACTTTACAATTTTTAGTCAGGGATTGTCGAATCGTCAATTAAGACGACTTGTCTTGTCAGTGAGGGGCTATTGTGTTTATATGATAAAGAAAATAATACATGGTTGCTTCCAGATATGGAATTTATCTTTGAGTGTTCAACTCGATATCTCACTCGTGAGCTATCGAGTTGAACACAGAGAAATTCCGTATCTAAGCGCGCCTATGTGTTATTCTCTATGATTACGCTTCCAGTACATGTTATTTCATTGCACAGTTGAAGGGGAGCCCAGCTGAAAGTGCTGCGTTCGAATCGTGTGTGGTTTCATTTTTCCGGCTTCTTCTCTTATGATTTTTGAAAAAATTATAACTAGTAAAACTGCGGTTGAAAATCCTTCTGTTATAGAGGAACATCTTGAATTCTCGAACTGTGAGCGCGAAGTGCAACGAGTTGGCTTTAAAGTTTATTGGCCGAAACGAAAGGCCGCGTCACACCAGCCACGAGGTCTTCCGTACTTCAATTTCTTTAGTTACAGCTCACCTGCATTGATCGAGTCTTTACTTCAATACCATCCCAAGATCAAAATATTATTTCTATTATAAAATCAGATTCCTTGAAAGGAACGAAGAACTCGATGGAATTTGTCTCGCTCCATTCATGAAGTTTCGTAGCTCAGGTAATGGCGGCGAATGACTAGTATGTGAGAGCTATACCTTCGAATGCTGTTGAAGTCCGAAGTTTGTCCGGCTTCTATTTTTTATCAGTAGGTCACCAGAGAAGATCATTTCCTTACTTCAGAGTATCAGTTGCAGCTGCAACATCTAATTTTACCGTGAAACAATTTATTCTAGAATGCCCGTTTTTGACCGAATACTGAAAAGTTATGAAGTTTGCACTGAGTTGTTCTGTCGTCCTGAAAATTCAGAATGCGCATATGTCTCTGCGTTGACGTTGACAAATTATTTTTTACGACATTTTACTGGTAAAAATATAGCCGTTATAGAGCAGAGAAAAGCATATTGGAAATTATGTCTTAATATTCGTCTGATCAGTCAACGCGACGTAACAAAATTCCGCGTGGCTAATTTTTGCTCTGAGTATAATTTTCCCGGAACTTAAAGTTCGCGATTTGTACGAAATAGCGAAAATCGTTAAACCGGGTACTATCATTACTAGGGTGTGAAAAGCGATTAATAGCTGCTGGAACTTACCAGGCCTAAGATTCCGAGAATCATAACACCTGCACCGAGGCTGCAGCCACAGCAACAAGTTTTCACCAAAACTGCCATCGAAGATGATTAGTCGATGTTACTCTTCTGAACGTCAAACTCAACTGAACTGGTTCAAGCGTAGCTGCTGGATACTTTTAAACCTTTCTGAACTTTTCACTTTTAAGATCTATATAAAAACTTTCTCTTTCAACGTAACTTCCTTCCGGCGTCAAAACGTGCAGATGAAACGGTTGTGCAATCAGACGGTTTTCCTGTTTTTCATATTAAGCAAGGTCAGCAGCCAAGATTATATCACCATCAAGTTTTTTTGCTATGTCAGGATTTCTGGAGAAGTTTTCCATGTGATTTCCCGTAGACTTAATTTCACAAGCCAATACATTTTTATTTTAATTGTTAGGTAAGTATTCAGCGCGTCGCTGAATTAGCAGCTTTCAGTACAATACACGTCACATGTACTTTTGAATAAAGGAAAAATAGACAGTATAAATCGGGAACTGATTTACTTCAGCGAAAGGTGATGCTTTTAGAAATTGTTCCGTTTTACTTTACACGCAAGCCTATGATAAGTTTTTGGTACTAAGTCTTCCGTTGGTAAGACAAAATGAAAATCATGACAACAGCAAATTTATTTGTGAACGATTCATTTGAATTTGTGTCTGAATTTATTCGCGCGACATGGTGGTAACATTTTCAACATGAAAAAAAGCTTTGTTTTATTGTTTTTTGTTTTTTTTCTTAATGTTACTACTGATTTAATTCAATGATTGAATTATTTCGCTACACGCACATACGAAAGGGTAAAATCCTCATCATTGATATTGTAATCAAAGAGCGTTGTAACAAATAGCGTCCGGCGAAAGAAGAAATAATGAAAGAAATCTTTCAGGTACACGGCTAAAATCGGTCTGTTACAAATCTTCCAGTTATCGATTTTCGTTCAACTTTCATTTATTTCCGTATTTTGGTTTTCCCGAGAAAAGCTTGAACGCCACTGTCTCAACCAGTGTTTTACAGCCATAATCCGAAAAAAATCCGACAAACGACCTTGGATTGAGAATGGTGAAGGATTCGCCGTTCATTCATATACCTGACCGAATGGCGCGAAAGGCGGGTGACGTGTCAGCAGCTGATTGGCGGTATCATACACACGTGAAAAAATACGATATCTTTTCAGGTACGTTGTTACGGCTTTTCTCAGGGCTGGAAATCCTTGTATGACTCCGTAGTTTATATGATAAAAACAGTTTTTAGGCCGCTCGTCAACCAATGGTAATTTTGGCTTTACAAATTCATTTTGAAACCAACATTTTTCTGTCAACCAACGTGATTTAAAAGAGAGAAAAGAGAGGATTAATAAGTTATTTATCGGCTTGAGGTAGTGACCGACGTGTTTTGCTTAAAAATACTACCCAGCCGGATAACGAGGTATATTTATGCAAAATGGTACCCAAGGTAGGGACGTACTCAGGCTCACGAAAGCGTTAGTGTGCCCGTGGACAGAGATAGGAAAATACTGACCGGGTAAAGAAGCATCAGATTGCAGGATTCCTTACTGTGCCCTCCGAAAAAAAAAATAATAGTAATATCAACAGCAGTATTTTTTAAAGCTCTTTATTCCAAGAACATACAAAATTTAAACAAGTTTACCAAAAAGCAGTTTATTCTAGGGCTCTTAACAAAAGTTAACCCTTGTACCATAATGCAAAACGTATCGGTTACTTTACTTTTACAATATACATCTGCGTTATCTTTTGAAGCTTTGAAAAAACTAGTTTCTCGGATCACTTTAAATATTTTAACACTTTAACTTCATTTATCTTAGAACAGCGATAAAATCCTGAATAGCTTTCCCATATTACTACTTTTTAAAGGCTGAATTTTCCCCCGATAAAGCTAAAATTCGTATGACGTTATATATTGGTTACAAAATTTGTTTCAACTTACATTTTAATGCTAACTCCTACACATATAAACTTTCCCTTTGACCGATAGGGATCAGTCAATGTTTATCCTTAGGGGGGATGGAGTGGGCAGAGGTTTTTTTTTTTTTTTTTTAAGGGAACACAAAGTCATTCTGGGGTACTGAGCAAGGATCAATAAGGGGATCAATACTGACAGCACTGTCTACAGAAGGGATTCCATTCCAACCTGTGAAATAATAAAAAAGAAGAAAAATAACTCTTTCAATAACTCATTACATATGTATATATATATATATATATATATATATTTATTTATTTATTTATTTACTTATACTCTGTGGTCAACTAATTGGTAGTGTGACACGAATGGCAAGGACCGCGCCTCTCGAGCCGGCGCACGATGTGGGCGCGCTTGCGCGAGGAAGGTTTTCGAGCAGTACTGTAATAGAACTCTTACGTCCTCACCTTGCTGGAAGGCTCCAACTCTACTGGGTTTTGTTGCTTTCTCGCAGGTAACAATGTGGTCATTGGTTTATTTAATTTCATTCGCAAATAGAATAAATGCACGAGAGAATAAGGATTTTGATTTATTGAAATGGATCGTTAATTGCTAAAAAAAATCTCAATTGTTCGTGTCGAAGATCGACCACCTTTGTTCTTAAGTAACATGTTTGTCCATCTTCCATCGTAGCCTACTTTTGCTCAGTAACTCAAAAATATTCATAGTGAATTTGACTTCGAAAGTCATGTAGCATTACAACAATGGAAATATAATTATCATCTGGGGTTTTGTTACCGCCTGGTAGAGAGGGAGAAAATCCCGCACTCGTTCCCGAAGGATCTTCACGAAGGGCGTTGATGTACGAATACACCACCATGATGAAGTAGATCTTAGGAAAAAAAAAACAAAAAAACAAAAAAGGGCAATGAGGTCAGACCCAGTGCAATGCAATCTCGAATTCTTTCCACTCTAAATAGAAGTTGATCTAAGACTGAAACAGAACATACCCACAGCAAACATGCACTGATGTAAGCAATTACAAAGACGGGAAACTGTAACATAAAAAGAAACAGAATTCATTTTAAATTCGTTGAAAAACTCTCCACTAGTATTTTATAGAAAAAAAATGAAAAGGGTTGTTTCAATTTACCCTATTCCAGACAGCAATATAAAACATCATCACTCCAAAAGTGAAAAAGAGCTTGAAGATGCTCCACCCAAGCCAAGGAAATGCCAAACGCTTGTCACCCTGCGACGAAAAACAAAGATGATCAGTAAACTAACAAATAATCAAATAAAAAGCCAACGCTCTAAGCTGCTACTGATTGGGTCGCCATGGCGAGTAAAAAGAAAAATAGGCGACTGAATTTAAAGCGAAAGCCGCAAGTTGGACGATTAGTGTTCTGTAGTGATTAAAACATTTTCCATTTTTTGTATTTAACGTGTCGAGTTAAGGTGAGATAATCATTCCAATACAGTCACTTCTATCAAAGCTTTTCTGACGCGCGATTGGTCTAAATGCATCGCATGATCGTGATACTCCCCATTTTTTCAGACCATACATGTAGGACTATGAAAGCGTTTATTCATAATTGAATTCAAGATGAAATAGCGTTTAGGTATTGCTGCAAGAGGAGAGGTTTGTTTTTTCACAAAGTCGTACCAAAGAGCACCGAAAATTACACATTCCACGCAGCAAACAGCAATATGTTCGTTAACATTTTCCGTGCGTTGAAAGTTGCAAAAAATATTTTAATGATAATAAACACAACAGCCTCCGTTCAGCGCCAAAATATGCTCGTATATTTGTCCTTGGAATTATCTGTCCCTCGGGGCTCACGGTTTCCCTCTCGGAAGAGATCATGTTTACTGACAAGTATCCGTGCATATTTCTGCGCCAAATAGTGACCATCGTTTACCTAATGCATGAAAATGTAAGAAAAACAAACGAACGTGAAAAATGTATTCAGAGAAACAAAACCTTAATTAATGAAATTAAGATTTAGAAAAGCCGTTTTCGTTGCATAATCTACCGACTAGTGTTAAATTCTTAAAGAAGAATTCTTGTGTACCCCTGAGACAAATTTTATCATAATCTTTTATCTGCTCAAATTCTTTTCAGTTACACGCTAAGCTCAATCACGTGCCTAGAATAAGAGTGTTGGACTTACTGAGCAACAGGATCCCAGAAGCAACAGGGTCACCAACAGTGAGATGACTTCAAATGTGAAGAAAACATAAGCCAACCAGACGATCGCTTTATTTTAAAGATGATCATTAAAAAGAAGTAAATCAGTCAATGAATCAGTCAAAAGATAATCAGAAAATGAGAGAGAACCCTGTCTGACTGGGACCATTCGTTTTGCGGAAAAAGATTTTAACATTTTTAAAAATATTAGTTAAACTTTCATTTTCACACAAGATCACAAACCAACGTAAAATACATATCAGAGTCACTAAAATAAAAAAATATATATATATAAATAAATATATATTTATAAAATATATTATATATATATATATATATATATATATACATATATATATACATATATGCAATTCCCCGTCTACTCTCACAAATGAAAATATTTTCGTCCTAACTAACCACGTGCTCTTTCAAAAAGATTTTACGGAACAAGGCAAAAGTGAGGTCTCAATGGGGTTAACAGTTCGCCGTAACACAGCCTTAAAATTTAGCCGTTAGGCGTAAAAACTGACAATTTTTAACAGCTGGTCGTAAAAAAAGTTAATCGTAAAAAGATATTTTGGTGGAAACAATGGAAATGGGTTTACCGTTAGCCGTAAATTGACCAAAATTTTAACCGTTAGCCGTAAAAGCCATTGCCCCGTTGAGCCCCTCAAAAGAAAACTGTAATACCTAAGATATGCTTTACGCTAAAATGCAAATTTTGGCTGAGCTCGTCGGCGTTCTCCTCTAGTTGCTTGCAAACTTTGATGAGATAAATTTGATGATAAATTGAAAAAGCTGATGGAATCTGAAATATAAAAAGAAATGCAACCACAGATCAGATTTGATATGACACAACAAATATAGATTGCTCTCTTTTGAATTAACCAGAAAAACATGCAGAGGTTTGAATTTCAAACTAAGTTCATTTATCTGTGATGAGGAAGAAAGAGGCAATGTTTCAAACTTAAAAACACAGTTGGAATGCAAATATTTGTGTGCCTATCAAGTCGAACCTTCAACATCATGTGATTGATATCGCCAATCAGCTGCTGACACGTCACTCGCGCCACTCGGTCAGGTTGATGAATGAGCAGCAAAGCCTTCATCATTCTATATCTGCCGTGGTTTTTTGTTGGAATTTTCTCCGATTATGGCTGCTTAAACACTGAAAAATTCGCACCGCTTACCGACAGTGACGTTCAAACTTTAATAGAAGGGTAAGAAACCAAAATACGTAGAAAAAACTGAAAGTTGCGTATTCGGTAGCTTTGGTAACGACATTTCTCGTGACCGAGAACGAAAATTAATAAATGGAATATTTGCCACCGGCCGCTTTTAGCTGTGTACCTGAAAGACTTCTTCTATCGCTAAGGACAAATTCAGTAACTGAGAATTTTGTTTATTCAAATTAAGCCCATGGTTGTTTTTGTAATGATTTAACGCATTTTTCATCTTGAGCCTAAGTGTCAACACACTTTACAATTTTTAGTCGGGGATTGTCGATTCTTCTATTTTCATTGATTAATTCAACTTTTCCATGTGGAGTGCTATTGTGTTTATATGATGAACAAAATAATACATGGTTGCTTGTAGATATGGAATTTCTCTTCTCGTGTTCAACTCGACATTTCATTCGCTCGCTACGCTCACTATTGAGTTATGGAGTTCAACACGAGAAGAGAAATTTCATTTCTAAGCGCGCCCATGTGTTGTTCTCTATGATTATGCTTTTATAAAATGCTATTTCACTGCACATTTGGAGGTGGGGCCCAACTGAAAGTGCTGCTTTCGAATTGTGTGTGATTTCATTTTTTTCCGGCTTCTCTTCGGGAGATATTTTTGAAAAAATTGAAATTGGTAAAACTGCGGTTGGAAATCCTACTGTAATGGAGGAACATCTTGAATTCTCGAACTGTGAGCGCGGAGTGCAACGAGTTGGCTAAAAAATAAAAGTTATCCAATATGGCTATTGGCCGAAACAAAAGGCCGCGTCATACTAGCCACGAGGTATTCCGTACTTCAGTTTCTTTAGTTACAGCTCATCTACACTGACCGAGTCTTACTTCAATATCATCCCAAGCTCAAAATATGTTTCCTATTTGAAAATCAGATTCCTTAAAAGGAATGAAGAACCCGATAGGATTTGCCTCGCTCCATTCATGAAGTTTTGTAGCTTAGTTGATGGCAGCGAATGACTAGTATTTGAGAGCTACACCTTCGAATGCTGTTAAAGCCTAAAGTTTTTCCGGCTTCTTTTCTCAGTCTGCGATTTCTTTATCAGCAGGTCACCAGAGAGGATCATTTCTTTACTTCAAAGTATTAGTTGCGGCTGCAACATTTAATTTTACCTTGAAACGATTTCTTCTAAAATGCTCATTTTTGACCGTAAAAAAGTTATGAAGTTTGCTCTGAGTTGCTCAGTCGTTCTGAAACTTCAGAATGCGCATATGTCTCTGCGTGGACGTTGATAAAAATTTTTTAACGGCATTTTTCTGGTAACAATATACTCCTTATTGACCACAGAAAATAGTGTAATTATTCAACACCACGTAACAAAATTTCGCGTTGTTAATCTTTGCTCTAAGTATACTTTTTCCGAAACTTAGAGTTCGTAATTTAAATCAGGTACTACCATTAATAAAGCATGAAAAGTAAAAGGATATTTCAGATGGTTATACGACTAATAACTGCTGGAACTTACCAGGCCCAAGATTGCGTGAATCATAACACCTTTACGAAGGTTGCGGCCACAGCAAAGGGTTTTCACCAAAACTGCCATTGAAGATGATTAGTCGAAGTTACTATTCTGAGCGTCAAACTCAACTGAACTGATTCAAGCTTAGCTGCTGGATGCTTTTAAACCTTTCTAAATCTTTCAATTTTGAAGATATCATTAGTAAATCTCCTTATTGTCTGCCATACAGTTCTTGTAATGTTCGTTTGGAGAATTTGGTATTGGATCAACTTATAATCCCCTAACTGATATTTTTATATATTCTCATCACTTGTCTGCTTGACATTGTATTGATACTGAAATGAGAAATTCTGTCGTGGTCACTTATGGGAGTTAATTGGTTAAACCTTTCTGAACCTTTCACTTTTGAGATTCGTTTAAAGAAGTTAACTTTCAACTTAACTTCCGTGTATCCTAATAGTGATAATTTGTCTTATATCGATGCAGAATAGATAGAACCCCGTCAATCAATTTCTATTAACCCACTACCTAACTTGTTGACAATGTATTGAATTAGTAAGAGGAATTTGTTTGTATTGTTCATCTCTAGTAACTAGTCAAAATGTTAAGTGCAGGGAGACTTCAGAGAAATGAAACGTGCTGTTAGCCTATTTTTAACTGTCGATGTTCACGAATTTCCGGCGTCATAACTTGAAGATGAAACAGTGTTTCAATCAGAGGCGTTTTTTTTTTTACGTATGAAGTAAGGTCAGCAGCCAAGCTTATGTCACCATCAAGTTATTTTGCTATGTCAGGATTTCTGGAGAAGCTTTCCATGTGACTTCCCACAGACTTAATTTCATAAGCCAATATATTTTATTCAAATTGTTAGGGAAGTAGTCAGCTCAAAGTGCGTCGCTGAATTAGCGACTTTCAGTTCAATACACGTCACGTGTACTTTTGAATGGAGGAAAATAGACAGTCTCGATCGGTAACTGATTTACTTCAGCGAAAGATGATGCTTTTATAAATTGTTCCGTTTTACTGTATACGCAAACCTATAAGACGTTTTTGGTATTAATTCTTCCGTTGGTAGGACTAAATTAAAATCGTGACAACAGCACATTTATTTGTGAACGATTCATTGGAATTTGTGTCTGATTTTATTCGCGCGACATAGCGGTAACATTTTAAAAATGAAAAACAGCTTTTTTTATTATTATTTTTTTTAATGTTACCGCTTATTTCATTTAATGGTCGAGTTATTTTACTTCATGCGCGTACGAAAGGGAAAAATCTTCATCATTGATATTGTAATTAAGGTGCGTTGTAACGAATGGTTTCCGGCGAAAGAAGAAGTAACACAAGAAATCTTTCAGGTACACGTTCTCAGCCCCGATAAATTCCATTACTAAAGCCACTGAATTCGTAACTTTCGTATTTCTTTCCGTATTTTGGTTTTCTTCCCCTTCTAGAAAAGCTTGAACGCCACTGTCTGAAAGCGACACGGGTTTTTCAGTGTTTTAGCAGCCATAATCCGAAAAAAATCCGACAAACGACCTTGGATTGAGAATGGTGAAAGCTTCGCCGTTCATTGACCAGACCGAGAGGCGCGAAAGGCGAGTGACGTGTCAGCAACTGATTGGCGATATTATACACACGTGAAAAAATACAATATCTTTTCGAGTGTGTTGTTACGGCTTTTCTCAGGGCTGGAAATCCTTGTAGAACACCATAGTTTATATGATAAATACGGTTTTCAGGCCGCTCGTCAACCAATTTATGACAATTTTGGCTCTACAAATTCATTTTGAAACCAATATTTCTCTCATTCGAAAATTACACTCGATTTGAGTGGGGTGTTGAAGTGGGCGTGGTCACCACATTCATGTTAAGACTATTTGTACCCCATGAGTTTGATATGTATTCATCGGCTTGAGGTAGCGACCAACATGTTTTGCCTAAAAATACTGCACAGCCGGGAAAACGAGGTATATTTATAAAAAATGGCAACGAAAGATAGGGATGTACTCGGCGACTCACGAAAGCGTTACCATGCCCTTGGGCAGAGATATGAATACACGGACCGCGCTAAGAACCAATCAGATTGCAGGATTCATTACCGTGCTCTCCAAGAAAAAAATAAATGGTAATATTAACAGCATTTTTTTTTCTTCTGACCCTTTTTTTTTTCAGAAAAATATATAATTTAAACAAGTATATCAAAAAGCAATTTATTATAGGGCTCTTGACAAAAGTTAACCCTTGTATCATAATGCAAAACGTATCGGCCATTTTACTTTTACAATATACATCTACGTTACCTTTTTAGACATCGAAGAAGCTAGTTTCTCGCATCACTTCGAATGTTTTAACACTTTAATTTCATTCATCTTATAACAACGATGAAAATCCTAAATAACTGTCCCATATTACTACCTTTTAAAGGCTTAATTACCCCACGATAACGTTAAAATTGCTTAGGGTTATATAGATATTGATTAGAAATTTGTTTCAAGTTACATTTAAGTGTTAACTCTTACAAATACAAATGTTCCCTAGAACCATTAGGGATCAGTCAACGTTTATCCTCAGGGGGGACGGAGTGGGCAGAGTCTTTCTAGGGGATCGCATAGTTTCAGGGGGAACAGAATGGGGATCAGTCGTCGCTAACAGAGTATAAGGCGGGGAGGGGGAGTATAGAAAACGGACCGCAAACGGGGGGTCATTAGAATAGTACAGAGTCAGGTAAATGTTATTTTGACACAACCAAACCCCTCTGGTTCACCCTTACTGAGCTGGATCCCAGAAGCAACAGTTTCATCAATAATGAGATGACTTTGAATGCGAGGTAAACACAAACCAAGCTGCAATCGCTTCATTTAGAGATGATCATTAAAAAAAAGTAATCAATCAATTAATCAATCAATAGATAATCAGAAAATGAGACAGCAGCTTAACTGGAACAGTTTGTTTCGCAGGAAAAGGTTTAGACATTTTATAAAAATATTAGTTGAACTTTCATTTTCATACAAGATTACGAACCAATGAAAAATTTATGTGAAGGGCAATAAAAAACTCACACAATTCAACGATTAATCTCACAAATTAAAACATTTTCGTCCTAACAACGTGTTCTTTCTAACAGATTTTTATGGAGCAAGACAAAAGTTAACTGTAATACCCACAAAATACTTTTTGCTGAAAGGCAAATTTTGGCTGAGTTCGAATTCGTTGGCATTTTCCTCTCGATACTTTTAAACTTTGATAGAATTACTTTGTTGATAAATTGAATATACTGATCCAAGCTGAAATACAAACAGAAATACCACTACACATCAGATTTGATATATTTCAGCAAATATAAATTGCTTTCTTTGGAATTAACCAGCAAATCATGTGAAGGAGGTTTGAATTCATACTACGTTCAGTCACTTGTGATGAGGAAGGGAGAGGCAAAGTTATGTTTCAAACATAAAAGCACACTTGGACTGCAAATATTGTTCACCGGTCAATTCGAAGCCTTAATATCTAACCCCCACCCTCTCGAGCTCGAAGTGCAAAGAGTTGGCAATTCCAAAAGGTATCCGATGAGTCTCCTGCCCGAAACGAAACGCGGCGTCATACCAGCCGCGAGTTATAAATTACTTCCGTTTCGTTAGTTGCAAATATCATGCACGGATCGAGTCTTTCTTCAATATTACGCGCAGTTTTTCAGGCTTCTTTTCTCAGTCTGCGATTTCTTTATCAGCAGGCGACCGGCGAAAATCATTTCTTTATTTCAAAATATAAGTTGCAGCTGCAACATCTAATTTTACCGTAAAGCAATTAGTGCTTGAATGTTCGTTTTTGACCGAGTAGCAGTTATGAAGTTTGCAGTTGCTCGTCCTGAAATTTCAGAATGTCTCAGCGTTAACGTAAATAGTTTTTTTTTCCTATGGCATTTTACAGGTAACAACACAGCCGTTTTTGACCACAAAAAAAAAAGTTTTGGAAATTATGCACTTAAATTCGTGTAATTATTTATGATCAACGCGACTTAGCAAATTCCACGTGGTTAATCTTTGCTCTAAGTATACGCTTCGCGGAACTAAAGTTCTCGGTTTTTACGAAATAGTGAAAATCCTTCAATTAAGTACTACTATTACTCAGGCTATTACTAGGGTATGAAAAGCCGAAGGATATTTCAGATGGTTAGACGATTAATAACTGCTGGAACTTACCAAGCCAATTATTCCGAGAATCACAACGCGGCTACGAAGGCTGCAGCCACAGCAACAAGTTTTCACCAAAACTGCCAACGAAGATGATAAGTCGAAATTACTCTTCTGCACGTCAAACTCAACTGCATTGATTCAAGCGCAGCTGCTGATGCTTTTAAACCTTTCTGAACCTTTCAATTTTGAGATCCGCTAAAAAAATTCCTCGTTCAATTTCCGTGTATCCTAATGGTGCGACTTTGTCCAAGGCTTACATCCATGAAGAATAGAAAGTTTAATCTTGAATTTTTCTTTCGCAGTAATTACCTGATTTCTCTCACCAATTAAGCCTGGCCGTAAATAATGAAAGCTTGTAACCTTAATAGCTGAACAGGTAGTGAAAGCCTTTGGAAACCTATCAAGACTTGGTGCAATGAATGAGTTGCCAGTAATCGGATCCTTATGTTTTCGCGAAGAGTTCTGGGATCGGTGCGAGGCAAACATTGCAAGTCGTCGGAAAGAAATATATATGGCGAAAGGTTGCTTCGTCGTCCGAAAAAAGACATTTTGGAAAAGGACCATCGCTATTTCGTCGCTGTTTTATCAGAGATGGATTAAGGTAATTTTAATTCGATACAAGGGAAGAGTAAGTTTTTGTTTGAACAATCATGAAATACGTAGTGAAATCTACCGATTAACTTTTCTACACCTGCAAGGTTTATTGTGAAATTGACATCGCGTAATGGTCTCTACTGAAATTTAGAAATATTAGCTATAAATCGCCAGTAAATAACTCAATTAAGTCTTTTCAGTTTATTTAAGTGTGTTCATAAAGAAATGTAAAATAGTTTCCGTGTTTACATAGCCTGATGTAAACACGCTGGAGGTTGGGAGAACACGAGATAAGCGTAGGAAACCACGACGCGAAGCGGAGTGGTTTCCAGCTTATCGAGTGTTCTCCCAACCTCCCAAGTGTTTACACCAGGCTATGTAAACACGGAAACTATTTTACATTTCTTTTATAAAATAACTAATGAAAGAGGAACGAAAACCGTGTTTACATACGCTTATGTAAAATGGTTTTATGGCCAATCAGAGCGCGCGTACTCTTTGAATTATTTTATAAATCTACTTCTAGCTTTTTTCTTGGCTTGGTACTAAAAAAGAGCGCCACAACAGTTGTCCCAAGGAAGCAGGAGATTGAAATAGTGTGCTTGAGCATTTGATGATATCTTGATACATTTAAGGGATTTAACGCATACGTTGCTTCTTTGCTGTGGTGAATAGGAACGAAACAGCGTTAATCGGCGCAAATTCCCTCGTAACAACATTATCTAAATCCATCTATGATAAACTGCGGCGAGAAAGCGATGATCTTTCTCCAAAATAATTTTATTAAGTAGGCGAGGTTGGAGTCCTTGGGAGGAAGGGGTAATGTGCATGCGGATCTTTTTCCGTTTCACTCCTCGAAAAAAATTTTAGTTCCGAGATCTACCTGTACTAAATATATATTATTTATTTGCCAGCTGGGAGATCTGTATTAGGGAAAACTGTGCTCGAGGTCTTGAGGGCACAGTTTTTCCCGATACGGACCGACCTAGGCTGGTGAATAACATTTTTATTTTTTTATTTAAACTTAACGAAATTCTTTCCAGAAGAACTCGAATAATTCATGGCTGTAATTACAGCAAGATTTTCCATAAACCGAACAACTTTCGAGCGAGTAAATGGTAGTTAACATAGATGTAATGCAAATAAAAGAGAGATACTTCACCGAAACGTTTTCATTTGCGTAATGATAAAGGTGATTTAAAAGGCTTCCAACCAACTTTGGAACAATCTAAACAAACGAGCATTGAATGTTACTTTCCGTAAGATCATTGACTGCCTTTGAAGAAAATATTGTCGTGACAGTCTTTAAACTGGTTCCGTTGTTTTTCCAAAGTTTAATTGCGGGAGAAGGGAGGGGGAGGGTGGGGGGTGATTATAAAAAATTGACTGCAACAGGGGAAGGGGGTTAAATTTTATTGTGACACAACCAAACTCCTCTGACCCACCCCCAGACGGTAAATATTGACCGATCCCTTAATCCTACTTGCTTTAAATCAGAGTAAAATATTCTCTACAGCTATACTCAGTTCAAGTTTTTTAGCCTCTCTAATAACTTATTTTAAATTAAAACGGTGATCAGTAATCTCTTGGGACAGTCACAATCTTCTGCTGAATTTACACAGTGCCCTTCTGGGATACTGCGTATGGAGGGGGTCCCATTCCAGCCTGTAAAAAGATAAAAAAAAATTTTAAAAATTAGAAAATTAGCGAAAAAAAAACTTCTTCGATAAATCATTACAACTGGGCTCGCTTGATCTTATTTTGGTATAAATGAGAAAAAATAAATTTTGATATATATAACTAACTGCAGACAGTACTGTTTCGGCCTTCTGGGCTTCATCAGTGCAGTGCTGATGCTAGGATGGAGGTAAGGCCATAGAGCCACCCCAAGTGATCTCACATATGTGGAATCATCTAAGCCATGCCAGAGTGCTCAAACTAGACAAACTATATATATACATCGCTCTTCTCCTATATATTGAGCACTGTTTTACGAAAGTCAAAATTTTACACTTTATATATATACATATTCTGTGGTTAGCTTACGAGGATGCTCTCATCGGCAGTGTGACGCGAGAGGCGGACTGCGCATTCCGAGCTAGCAAACGATATGAGCGCGCGTGGGAGAGGTTCCTAAGCAGTACCCTAATAGATCTCTTGCGTGCTCACCTTGCTGACTGGCTCGAACTCTAGTTGGCTTTGTTTCTTTCTTACAGGTTACAACGTGGTCATTGGTTTACTTAAATTTCATTCCCAAATAGAATAAGTAGACGAGAGAACATAGTTTATAATCTCTTGAAATGGATTGTTAATTGTTGAGAAAAAATATCAATCACTCTTAGGAAAACCAGTTGACCATTCTGAAAGCGCAGCTCAAGGTAAACTGAGAGGCAGAGAAGTGAGCAGTTTGAACTTAGCCACTACATAGCTAAAAATTGCTTCGCAGGAAAAGTAATTGTTCGGATAAAAGAATTCTCAAGTCGAACTATCAGTCTGGATACGTCTACCAGTCTGAAGAATTTTTTTACTTAAGACATTGTCTCTAGCGGAGAGGTTTGTCCTAAATGTATTGGTTTTTCTCTGGAAATTGTAATGGTTATGATATATCGGTAACAGGACTTTGTGATGTCCAATTGTGTTTGTAATCATACTCGTGATTGATAAATCACGAGATTGATAGCTTCGCGGTCGTCCGATTTTCTCAATCACTCGTAGGATTATAGACTGAATTGGACTCCTCTCGCACCCATTACCATTATTAATAACTTCGGCAGTCGAAGAGCGACTACCTTTTCCTTTAAATGGAATGCTAGTTCATCTGCTATCGTAGCGTACTTTTGCTCAGTAACACAAAAATATTCATAGCGAATTTGACTGCGAAGGTCATGTAGCATTACAGCAACGGAAATGTAATTACCCTCTGGGTTTGGTTACCGCCTGGCAGAGGGGGAGAAAATCCTGCACTCGTTCCCGAAGGATCTTCACGAAGGGCTTCGATGTACGAATACACCACCACGATGAAGTAGATCTTGGAGAAAAAAAAGGGAGGCGATGAGTTCAGACCCAGGCCATCATCAATTTAAGATTATGTAGTAAAATGAACAGGAGAGGAGAGTGCTTTTCAACTGAGTGTGGTAAAACCAAAACCGGCCAAGTAATCAGAAAAAATGAAAATACTTAGAAGTGGCAGCTATAAATTAAGGTAAAAACAACTGGAGTGCCTGAAGCTCGGGAAAACCAGGGCGACTAAGTCGTGATTAGTTTTAATTTTGCGTCTTGTTGCTTAGCGGCGTGAGGTTTCTGAACCAATCACAGAGCCAAGGCAAAATCAATCCAATTTCGAGTTTTTTTTCCACTCTCAAAAAGAAATTGCTTTAAGACTGAAATAGAACATACCGAAAGCAACCATGCAATGCTCGCGATAAGTAAGAAGGCGGCAAACTGTAACATAGAAGGAAACAGAAATCAAGTTAAATTTGTTGAAAAACTCTTTCTTAGTAATTCATAAAAAAAAAGGTTGTTTCAATTTACCCCCTCCCAGATGGCAATGTAAAATATCATCACTCCAAAACTGAAAAAGAGCTGGAATATGCTCCACCCAAGCCAAGGAAATGCCAAACGCTTGTCACCCTGCGACGAAAAAGAACGATGATCAATAAACTAACAAATAATTAAATAAAAAGTCAACGCTCCAAGCTGCGACTGTTTGGGTCGAATCAAAAAGAAAAATCGTCGATTTGAAGCGAAAACCACAAATTAATTTGATGATTTGTGTTTTGCAGTCATATAAACCTTTTTTTTCCATTTTTATTTTTTAAGTTTTGAATTAATGTGAGATTATCATTCGAATACACTACTATCAAAGCTTTTCTGGCACGCTATTGGTCTAAGCGCATCATATAACCGTAATACTCCCCATTTTCCAAACCATACATCAAGGACTATGAAGGTATTTATTCATAACTGAATTCAAGACGAAAGAGCGTCTAGGTATTGTTACAAGATGAGAGGTTTGTTTGTTCATAAAGTCGTACCAAAGAGCTCTGAAAAGTGAACATCTCACGAAGCAAACAGCAAGCTGTTCGTAAACATTTTCCCGTCCTTTGAAAGTTGCAAAAAATATTTTAATGATAACAAACACAACAGGCTCCGTTCAACGCTAAAATATGCTCGTACATTTGTCCTTGGAATTATCTGTCCTATAAAATTCCCTTTTATGTTACGTGCTAAAATCTCAGAATCTCTTAGAATTAGTGTGTTGGACTTACTGAGCTACAGGATCCCAGAAGCAACAGGTTCACCAACAGTGAGATGACTCCGAATACCAGGGAAACATAGGCCAATCTGACGATCACTATATTTAGAGATGATCATTAAAAAAAGGTGCATCAATCAATTAATCAGTGAAAAGATAATCAGAAAATGAGAGAGAACCTTGTCGACTGGGACGGTTCGTTTGGCAGAAAAAGGTTTGAACATTTTTAAAAATTATTGGTGGAACTTTCATTTTCACTCAAGATCAGTCACGAACCAATGTAAAATGTATATTAGAGTCACTAAAGAAAACCCACACTATTCCATGTATAATCTCACAAATGAAAATATTTTCGTCCTAGCTAACCACATGATCTTTCTAACTGGTTTGTTTGGAACAAGACAAAAGTAAACTGTAATACCCAAGAGATGCTTTTTGCTGAAAGGTAAATCTTTGCTGATTTCGTCAGCGTTCTCCTCTATATGCTTGTAAACTTTGATGGACTGACTTTGTTGATAAATTGAATAAGCTGATGCAATCTGAAATATAAAAAGAAACGCAACTACAGATCAGATTTTTATATACCACAGCATATATAAATAGCTCTCTTTTGAATTAACCAGAAAAACATGCGAAGGTTTGAATTTCAAACTAACCTCAGTCATTTGTGATGAGGAAGGAAAAAGCTATGTTTCAAACATAAAAACACAGTTGGACTGCAAATATTTGTATGCCGATCAATTCGAACCCTCGACATTTCCCCCTTTCCCCCCCCCCGCCTCGCTCCCCCCTTTGAATAAAAGGAAAAAATCTTGAACTGAAAATGTAATGAACGCTTATCAACAGCATCGCTAACGTAACTATAAAAACGTAGAATTGTTTACATTGTGGAATATCAATTGACATCAGGGTCACTTTACTTGACCCGTTTAATTTATAAACGTGCTTGCTTCGGTGCTCAGGTTCTTCAATTCGGTCGATATCCCTTATGTTTTCTTTTCTTTTTTTCCCACTCACATGAGTCGAACACAAATTGAACATTTTAGACAGATTTTCTTAATGATATATCTGTCTTGAGTGATAAGGATAATCAAAGACTATGTGCGTATCGCGAAGAACGTTCCAGATTATTGTTCGTGATCCCTAAGCTCCTTCAGGCACAAGGAAACAGATAAGATAAAATGCTATATTTAATTCAGTCACATAGACTTTTCTTACGCGATCGAGGGATAAACTAGTAATGTTCACTCGAAATACGCCTCTACAGATCATCCATCGAATAACTATCCTCTTAATCACGATAGGACGTGCTATTTACCAACTCTTGGCTAAATTCCTTTTTCATGACGTGTAATTCTTTATCACACGTTTGTCACGCGGTGTGTGACAAAAAAAAGTAGATCAGTGACTTCCAAAAGCTTCTTTCGCTAAGGACAAAGTCGATAACATCTAACTCGACATCTCACTCGTTCGCCGCGCTCACTATTGAGCTATCCAGTTGAACAGGAGAAGAGAAATTCCATATCTAAACGTGCCCACGTGTTATTCTCTATGATTACGTTTCTATAACATGTTATTTCACTGTACAGTTGGAGGTGAACCGAAAGTGCTGCTTTCGAATCGTGTGTTATTTCATTTTTTTCCGGCTTCTCTTCTGGAGATATTTTGAAAAAAATGCAACCAGCAAAATAACGGTAAGAAATCCTTCTGTGATGGAGGAACATCTTGAATTCTCGAACTGTGAGTGCGGATTGCAACGAGTTGGCTTCAAAAGTTCCGAAAGTTATCCAATAAGTCTATTGGCCGGAACGAAAGGCCGCGTCATACTAGCCACGAGGTATTCAGTACTTCAGTTTCTTTACTTACAGCTCACCTCCACTGATCGAGTCTTTACTTCAGTGCCATCCCAAGGTCAAAATATGATTTTCATTAAAAAAATTAGATTCCTTTAAAGGAATGAACCACCCGAAAGAATCTGCCCCGCTCCAAGTTAAGTTTCGTATCTCAGTTGATGACAGCGAATGACTAGTATTTGAGAGGAATACCTTCGAATGCTGTTGAAGCCTCAGGTTTTTCTGACTTCTTTTCTCAGTCTGCGATTTTTTTATCAGCAGGTCACCAGAGAGGATCATTTCTTTACTTCAAAGTATTAGTTGCCGCTGCAACATTTAATTTTACCGTGAAACAATTTCTTCTAGAATGCCCGTTTTTGACCGAATAAAAGTTTTGAAGTTTGCACTGAGTTGCTCAGTCGTCCAGAAATTTCAGGATGCGCATATGTCTCTGCGTTGACGTTGACAATTTATTTTCTACGACATTTTACTGGTAGCAATATCGTCGTTATTAACCAGAGAAAAACGTTTTGGAAATGATGCACTAACATTCGTGTAATTATTCAACGCGACGTAACAAAATTCCACGTGGTTAATCTTTGCTCTAGGTATACTTTTCCCGAAACTTAAAGTTCGCGATTTGTACGAAATAGCGAAAATCGTTGAGTCAAGTACTACCACTACTAAGGTATGAAAATTAGACGGATATTTCAGATGGTTATACGTTTAATAACTGCTGGAACTTACCAGGCCCAAGAATCCGAGAATCATAACACCTTTACGGAGGCTGCAGCCACAGCAACAAGTTTTCACCAAAACTGCCATCGAAGATGATTAGTCGAAGTTGCTCTTCTGAACGTCAAACTCAACTGAACTGATTCAAGCGTAGCTGCTGACAAACCTTTCTGACCCTTTCACTATTTAGATCCGTTAAAAAAATTCCTCTTTCAACGTCACTTCCGTATATCCTAATGGTTAGAATATGTCTTATATCGATGCAGAATAGAACCTCGTCGATCATTTTCTATTAACTCACTACCCAACTTGTTGACAACGTAATGAATTTTAGGAGGAATTTGCCTGTATTGTTCATCTCTAGTAACTGGACAAAAGGTTAAGTGCAGGGAGACATCAGAGAAATGAAACGTGCTGTTAGTCTTTCTTTAACTGTCTAAAACGTGAAAGCGCTTCTTTCGAATCGTGTGTTATTTCATTTTTTTCCGGTTTCTCTTCTGGAGATATTTTGAAAAAATTGTAACTGGTAAAACTACGGTTGTAAATCCTTCTGTGATAGAGGAACATCCTGAATTCTCGAACTTTGAGTGCGGATTGCAACGAGTTGGCTTCAAAAGTTCCGAAAGTTATCCAATAAGTCTATTGGCCGGAACGAAAGGCCGCGTCATACTAGCCACGAGGTATTCAGTACTTCAGTTTCTTTAGTTACAGCTCACCTCCACTGATCGAGTCTTTACTTCAGTACCATCCCAAGGTCAAAGTATGATTTTCATTAAAAAATTAGATTCCTTTAAAGGAATAAACCACCCGAAAGAATCTGCCCCGCTCCAAGTTAAGTTTCGTATCTCAGTTGATGACAGCGAATGACTAGTATTTGAGAGGAATACCTTCGAATGCTGTTGAAGCCTCAGGTTTTTCTGACTTCTTTTCTCAGTCTGCGATTTCTACATCAGCGGGTCACCAGAGAGGATCATTTCTTTACTTCAAAGTATTAGTTGCCGCTGCAACATTTAATTTTACCGTGAAACGAATTCTTCAAGAATGCCCGTTTTTGACCGAATAAAAGTTATGAAGTTTGCACTGAGTTGCTCAGTCGTCCAGAAATTTCAGGATGCGCATATGTCTCTGCGTTGACGTTGACAATTTATTTTCTACGACATTTTACTAGTAGCAATATCGTCGTTATTGACCAGAGAAAAACGTTTTGGAAATGATGCACTAACATTCGTGTGATTATTCAATTATACTTTTCCCGAAACTTAAAGTTCGCGATTTGTACGAAATAGCGAAAATCGTTAAATCAAGTACTACCACCACTATGGCATGAGAAGCAGACGGATATTTCAGATGGTTATAAGTTTAATAACTGCTGGAACTTACCAGGCCCAAGAATCCGAGAATCATAACACCTTTACGGAGGCTGCAGCCACAGCAACAAGTTTTCACCAAAACTGCCATCGAAGATGATTAGTCGAAGTTGCTCTTCTGAACGTCAAACTCAACTGAACTGATTCTAGCGTAGCTGCTGGATGCTTATAAACCTTTCTGACCCTTTCACTATTTAGATCCGTTTAAAAAATTCCTCTTTCAACGTCACTTCCGTATATCCTAAAGGTGAGAATATGTCTTATATCGATGCAGAATAGAACCGCGTCGCTCAGTTTCTAAAAACTCGCTACCCAACTTGTTGACAATGTATTGGATTATATGAGGAATTTGCCTGTATTGTTAATTCATCTCTAGTAACTGGACAAAAGGTTAAGTGCAGGGAGACTTCAGAGAAATGAAACGTGTTATGGTTAGCCTATTCAACTGTCGATGTTGACGAATTTCCGGCGTCAAAACGTGCAGATTAAACGGTGGTGCAATCAGAGGCGTTAATTTTTTATGTATAAAGCAAGGTCAGCAGCCAATATAATGTCACCATCAAGTTATTTTTGTATGTCAGGATTTCTGGAGAAGCTTTCCATGTAATTCCCCAAAGACTTAATTTCACAAGCAAATACATTTCATTTTAATTGTTAGGGAAGTATTCAGCTTAAAGTGCGTCGCTGAATTAGCAGCTTTCAGTTCAATACACGTCACATGTAATTTTGAATAGAGGAAAAATAGACAGTCTCGATCGAGACCTGATGTACGTCAGCAAAAGGTGATGATTTTATAAATTGTTCCGTGTTATTGCACACGTAAACCCATAACCAGTTTTTGGTATTAATTCTTCCGTTGGTAAGACTAATTGAAAATCATGACAACAGCACATTTATTTATGAATGATTCATTGTAATTAGAGTCTGATTTTATCCCTGTTTGATGTTATTTTAAATCACGCATATGAAAGTTTAAAGTGCACTTCGTTGATTTGGTAATCAAAGCGCGTTGTAGCAAATGGCTTCCGGCGAAAAAGGAAGGAAAGAATAAAAGAAATCTTTCAAGTACACAGCCAAAAACGGCCTGTGGCAAATCTTTCAGTTGTCGATTTTCGTTCTCATCCGCGAGAAATTCCATTACCAAAGCCACTAGATTGGTAACTTTCGTATTTCTTTCCTTATTTTCGGTTTCATCCCCATCTGGAAAAGTTTGAAGGTCACTGTTTGAAAGTAAAACGGATTTTTAGTGTTTTAGCAACCATAATCCAAAAAAATTCCGACAAACGACCTCGGATGAGATGAACTTTAGTGAACCTCTCGCAGTTTATTCATCAACCTGGCCGAGTCGCGTGAAAGGCGAGTGACGTGATTGGTTTTATCAAACACACGTGGAAAAATACAATATTTTTTCACTTGTAAAATAATTTATTCAAACCGTGTTTATTATTTTATAGGAATAATTGTTACTCTACTTATTTTGCGAAGAAATGGAAGGAATTTCAACATCACCACGACAAATTTTGACGTTTTGAGTGGCAGAGCACTTTATAAACTGCTAGTGGATGTTGCACTTGCCCACCGACGTAGCACGGAGCATTTTTTCTCATTGACAAAAAAACAATTTTGTTTGCTCATTTGCAGAAAAAGCATCCTTTAATTATCTACTTGGTGAATATGGAAATCCCTAATATTTCAAAGTATATAGACGAAAGAAAAAATTTTCTTAGTGAAAATCGAGGATCCGATAAAGAAAATTTCTGGGAACAACGGGAACTTGGAAAAAAATTGATTTCGGGTTCTCGCATTTCCTTTCCGGCTATCAAAGTCTGGTATTTTCCTATAGCAGAAATTCTTGGGCAAAGTTTTATGTCGTAGCTTAGAAAGATATGTGTGTAGAAATGACGTGTGTGATCCTTAAGTGTATGTCAGCATGTCATGTATAGAAGTTAGGTTTTGATGTTTGACTCATAAAGATTATTTGACTAATTATTTTCTTCTACACCGGCCGGGCGTATTTGGTGTCCTCTCATCAATCCACGCTTATCCGTTTACATTTGAAAACGCATCCATTTTGATGCGTGGTCGGCTGTCCGATCCAAATGCTGATGGAAGCAACAACACGTGACGCTTTATACATGTAATATCCAGCAGTTTTCGCCTCCCCAAATTTATCTCCAGCCTTACTATTGCGTTTACGTTCCACAACACACATTTTTTTTAAAATACAATTTTCTTCCTACCATTCGTACTAAAGTGTCCAGAAGGCTGACGGAAACAGATCATTTCGGTTTCAAAAATGGAAAGTTTTATGGTAAAGCATATCGTTTTAATTGGAAACGCCGCGTTTCTTTCCCGGACCCGAATTTAATGCGAAAGCTTTTGAAAATGTTGACGAAAAATGCCCCATGCTGACTGTCGCTTTCATAAACGTTTTGTGGACGATAGGTAAAATTGCATCAAAATATATTCCTGTTAAAATGAAAACACAGCAGAGTTCGCTCGCCACCGACACAGTTGAAAAGTTTCTTCAGAAACCTTTACTACTTTGCACTTTTCAATCGATGCATTTTAAAACAGTCACCCTTGCAGCCTTTTTAAAAAAAGTCTCGATTTATATTTTCGGTTTTGTGGTGCGGGCCATCCATGAAAGCGAATAAAAAAGCATTGTTTCCGAAGGTACTACAAACGGAAACGCTGGCACAGGCGATAAGTTAATGAAGCTGAAAACAAAGAATTTGATGCATTTAAATCAGCGTCTTGCTTTCACAAGATAAAGCTTCCAAAATCCCATGGGTGACAGTGAGATCACCAATTACAAAAGCAATTTCCATTGTTTTCTATCACTTCGGTGACTAAATTACTCAATTTGAATACCTATAGTTATTGTTTGTTGTTTTTTTATATGTTCTCCTGCCGGCACACGCTGAACAGTAAGATACATCAACTACTCGCACATCTCGAACAAATTATCTGCGAGTTTCGCCGACTGAAAAGAAGAGGTCGCTGGTTTGGCTGAAATGACGGCTTCGTGTTGACTTTCGTGTATACAGAGATCAAGTGCTCGCTGAATGGATTAAGAGTAAATTAACTCGTTTGTCAGTCAGAAATATTACCTCGTGTTTGCTTTTTGTTGGCATCGGAGCGAACTCTGAATTGTTTGGACAATCCTATGGTTTACGTTATGTAAAGAAAGACGTTGAATAATCCAGCCCGTTTAGATCGCTTTTTGCGGCTTTTTCCCTTGACGCAAAATTGGTTTCCGCGTGTCTGGATTGATAAAAGTGATCATAGCTTGCTCAGTTTTAGTGCAAAATGAGTGATGACAAAGAGGCGAACACGCTTGATCAAGAAGAGGTTGTTTGGAGCATCAAGACAAACCTTACGTGTCAAGTGTGTGACAAGTTATTTGTGGATCCAAAAATACTTCCATGCCTGCATACGTTTTGCTGTCTGTGCATTGAAAACTTGCTCCGAAACCGACCACTGAAGGACAAGCTGTTTAAGTGCCCTTCGTGTCATTTTGAATCAGGGCTGGACTGTCGCAACTCTGTGAGGAAACTTCCCGCCAACTCGCTCCTGGTGTCGCTGCTCGACTTACTACGGGTACAAGAAGGAGAAGCCATCCAGTGTGATGTTTGTGACTGCAGTGTGGACGAATCACCGGCTGATTTACGGTGTCGAGAATGCTCGGTTTATCTCTGTGAGTTGCACGCAGAGGCTCATAAAAGAGCTAAGGATACCAAACTCCATGTTCTTCTCTCTTTAGGTGAGACAGGCTATACATGAATTCATTTAATCCCCAACACCTTGACCACAGTATTGATATTCCCCACACTGTTCTCTTTACGTTTCCAATGGTATTGACAAAGAGAATTTGTTTAGCAATCAAGATCTTCTTAAAATGACGATCTTTTCCTATCTCCTCAGTCATGACCTTACTGTAAGGAGAAATTAGAGGCCAATCACCCTCAGAGGTTAAAGTTTTTTACGATGAGAATAACTGATCTGAATGCAAACTCTCTAAACTCTCTTCAATACTGAGATTTTCGTGAGAATCTGTTACTGCGTCAATATTTCTAGCTTGCAATTTTCCAAGTCACCGTTTCGATTTCATTTTCTCAATTATTGTCCTTAAGGCTGTTTAATAAAAAAAATGCCGCGATAGCACCCAACGGCCACCCAAAAAAAGGAGAGCTCGAGAAAAATATGAAATCAGATCATGTTACTTTTCTTTGTCCGTGAAAGTCAGTTAAGTTCTCATTTTAGATAAAGTATATATTACGGCGAGTAGGAACGCCTAATAAATCTCTCAGTCAGTTAGAAGAAAAAAAGTCGCAACTAAGATGAAAAAAGAACGTCTAAGAAAGAGTGTTCTCTTTCTTCTCTGGCCGGAAATTTTCACGAGTAGATATGTTCTTACACGTCACGCCACCTGTACTGTGGTTACTATGCACTCCATTGCGGAAAGCCTTTCTGGCTCTGATTTTCCAAAATTAACTCCTTCATTTCCTACAACATTCTCTGACAGAAATTTTGATTTTTTTTTTAACAGAGCACCTAAAAACCATGTCTTTGAAAGAGTTGAACCGGCCAACCTACTGCGCAACACACACTGATGAAAAATTAGCGCTGTTCTGCGACACTTGCAATGAAAGCATCTGTCGCAACTGCGCTCTTAAAGACCACAAAACGCACCAAACTCAGTTTTTGGAGGACGCATACTCCAAATTATACCCCAGGCTCTCTCAAATACTGGAACAAACTAGGAGCGTTTGCATCAAAGTAGAAAAAGCTGTCCCCGCGCTGGAATGGATGCAAGCACGGGTGAACATGAAAGCTGATGGTATAATTCGGGATATCGAGGACAGCATCAACACTAAGATCAAGGCCTTAGAACAAAGGAAGAGTGAGCTGCGAGCCGCGGTAGAACTGGTGCGAGTGAACAGAAAGACCGCGTTGGACGTACAAAGGCGACGTTTAGAGGCATCCCGAGACGCACTGCAGGTGTCGTGTCGCTTTGTGAAGAGAGTCCTCGAAGAAGGTAATTACTAAATGAAATTTCATAAGACAGATTATAGCACTTTTTCTTTGGTTTTGCTTTACGTAGCCAGTGTACAACCGCTTCCTACCCCCAACCCTCCCTCCCCTCCAAAAAAATCGGAAATTAGGGGTTTGGAGGTAGAGAACGGCTACACACAGGCTATGCCTCTCAAAGCATTTTTATTGGTCTAGAAAACTCGGAAAGTGACAGTTTTGGATAAAAAGAATTCTGCGAATGCTCTCAGCGCAAACAAAAATAATTTAAACGAATGCAAGTTTAAGATTAAATACACCCACTACTGTTTTATTTTTGGATTTATCATAGGTGATCCGGTGTACTTGCTGTCCGCCAAAGATCTTATGTCCGAGAGACTAGAGGCACTTGCCAATCAGGGCTATGAACTTCAACCTCGTGAGGACCACGTGATCAAGTTTTCTGCCGAAAACGTGGCGTTACAACAAGCTATTGAGTCATTCGGGTCGATAGATACCTCTTACCCTTATTTTGCGACTTCTACAGCAGAAGGACCTGGTCTACATGAGGCAAATGTCAACCAAACCGTTTGTTTCACAGTAATAACCAGGTTTGTTGTCGTCATATTCATCTCCTTTTTCCTTTTTCAACTTTCTTTCATGAGAAACGCCTAATGGTCACCTTAGCGATCATTGTACTGAACTCTAGATGAGCAGGTCTGGGTTTGAGCCTCGGAGCTCGTTCCTCAATTCGGTCCCGGTAACTTAACGGCCCGTGAATCTGCTCTTATTTCTTTCCAAATGGGGGTTTCAAAGGTTTTGAAAACGATACAAGAAACTGTCTGTTAAAGAAAAAAAAATGGTCTGGTCAAAGTTCCAGAATCTTTAATTTCTCTCGCTTAAATTTGATTTTAAAATTTGGTTTCAGGCCTGTTAAGCTACCAGGGCTTAAGAAACGGGCCCCAGGTGACTTTTAAAAGAACGCTAAAGGGCCCGCTAGGGAGCCAGTCACTTTCCGTCGACCGGGGAAAAGTTTAATTTTGAGGGTGTTGCATGGTGAGGAGGAATGGAGGGGGATCAGTCGTCGCGAACAGAGTATAAAGGATGGGGGGATGGGGGAGTGGAAAACTAACTGCCAACGAGAGAGGAGAGGACGATTGGAATAATACAGAGCCCTAAGAGGGGGGATCGCGTAAACTTTATTGTAGCCGAAATTCACCCCCTCCCCTCCACAGTTAGATTTCAAAATCTTAATGGACGAGATGTCGGTGTAGATCTTAAGTCAAAAATCTAATTACTCTATCGTTGTCTTGAATATTTGGTACTTTTCTCACAACTTTCAACGTTGGAATATTAGGGTTCGCGTTGTTCATTATCGCATCAATGATTTCAAAATCTCCATGTTTACTCAGGGATAGGAAAGGAAGATCTATTGAATGCGTGACCTCCGACTTGAGTGTTCAGATCGAGTCCCCGGATGGTGCTCTTACCGAGGTTGAAATCACCTCGCAAAATAGCGGGAAACACAACATTTCTTACATTCCCTTGGTGCCAGGACAACATCTTATTCATATAAGCATCCGTAGCTACTCAATGAACGGAAGCCCTTTCACAGTCAATGTACCTTTCGCCATGAGGGACTACGAAAATATGACCCAACCACAGCTGCTGATAGGAGGGCCTGGGGAAGAGGCGGGAAAACTGAAGGGCGCAAGAGGTGTAACAGTGGACAAGGAAAACAGAATCGTTGTATGTGACAGGAACAATTTCCGCGTGCAAATTTTTGATTCCTCCGGGAAGTTTCTGTTCGCTTTTGGAAACAAAGGAAGCGGGGATGGCGAATTCCCCGGCGGTCCCTTGAGTGTGGCTGTGAGCAACGACGGAAGGTTTTTCGTCTCTGATTGGAGCGGAAGAACTTTTCAAATGTTTGACGCCAAGGGAAAGTTTGTGAAAAGATTGAGACTTCCTGAAGACGAAGACGAAAAATGCGCCAAACTCTCAAATATAGTCTTTAGCCAAAAAGAACTTCAAGTTTATATCACCGATGGCCAAAATAGGAAAATTTATGTGTTTGACAGTGGCGGGGAGTACTTGTCACACTTTCAAGTTGGCTGTTTGGATGAAGACGATGGTCTCCCCAGCAAACTCCAAGGGGTTACAATAAACAGGAAAGGTATGAAAATAATCGCAATTTATTTTTATATAACAAGTTGAGCCAATATGATCTACGGTGGGTTCTTGCTTTTATAATAATGGAACCTCAGTTATAACCTATCCTTATATGACTTTTTACCACAATTGGCAGTAATGTCGCAATCTAATTGGTCCTTGTCGATAAGAGTACAGAAGGCGCTGTTCACGTCAACGTGTCACTCAACGCCTTTGTCACTGAGAGAATCGTTTTATTTGACGTCTATATTGTGGTAAAAGAAACAACAACAATAGCAAAAACAAATCGAAACTGGTCAAACGTGGTCTGTACTCTCATCGACAATGTTATTCGTCATCACTAAGGTGAAAATGTTGTGGACTGACGAAACGTCTATATTGTGGTAAAAAAAAAACAACAACAACAACAATAACAAAAACAAGTCGAAACTGGTCAAACGTGGTCTGTACTCTCATCGACAATGATATTCGTCATCACTAACGCGAAAATGTTGTGGACTGACGAAACGAAGCATTGAATTGGCGGTCAAAAGGGCGGGGAATAGGGCTCTACCTTTTTTACACCACGCAGACGAACTCACAAGCACACTCTCCCCGACGCCTATTGCTCTTCCCAATGATATATAGTAACTGGATGTGGAAAAAAATGGGAAGGAAAAGCTGTGCAGCCATTTTTTCTTAGTGTTTGAGCCCAACATGCTATTCTTTTTTGTTCTCCGTCAATCCTATATTTTTTAATGAGGGCCTGTCTGCAAGCTGCCACCGCGTGATCTATCATGCCAGATACTTATGCAAAAACCAGTTTTGCTGAAGCACCCTTAGAACTATACAATCTTCTTCCGTTCTACATTTTAGGAGAGATTGTAGCGTCCCTGGTGAACGATGGAGCCCTTCAAGTACTGAGCACGGATGGAAAGCCACTGAGACACATTCCACTTCCTTTCACAAAATCTAGCAAAGTTTTCGCTCCAGAAGCCATCACTGTCGATTCAAATGACAACATTTTGATGGCGGATAGTATGAGAAATTGCCTTCTGGTTTTCTCAGGCGAGGATGGGCACCTTATAGCAGAATGTGCAAGAGAGAGCCTTTGTAATCCATATGGAGTTGCTGTAGATAGAGTGGGTCGTGTTATTATGACTGATTCTTCTAATCAAATTAAGATATTTTAGTATAAGAACTTCAGGGTTAGGATGTCTCTTTCATCCATAGTAATATGTCAGGGTTTAGTATTGACCAGGAAGTTCAAATCTTCATAGTACTTACAAGTCTTGATGCTGGTTAAAGGTGCAGTATAAAGTCTCGTCTTAATAGTTAGAATTTGTTAACCCCTTTAACACCCGAACATCACTGTATTTTGCTCACCATACTTGTCTCTATAGTACATTTCCTATAATACTGACCAGGACAATTCATTTACTAGTCAAAGGTTCTTAGATCGCGGATCATTTCCTTTATTCTAGTTAATGTAATGAATAATTCAGCACCATTACTACCAGAAGAAGTTAAATGCTGGTCATTCTTAGGGTTTAAAGGGTTAACAATGAGCAAAACTACGATTTTTCAAAGGGGAAGAGATTCTCAGATACAAATTTCTTCACACCAGTGGTGAAGTGCCTTTAGTGCTACCATTTAATTTCCTTATAGCCAGTCATGGATGTGATTTTGTAGTGGAAGAGGTAAGAGATTTTCACTCTGCAGACTCTATGGAATTGGGTGTTTTTGCAAAACCAAATGATAAGATTGTATTGGAAGTAGCTTTTCCCCGCTGGATTTGTGTGAATTATCTCACAAAGGGAGAGGGATGGGGGAAATCAGGGGCATCTCAAGACCCCCACCCTCCTGGCTACATTCTTCATCCTGATTACTTGCGAGAATAGTTCAAAGCCACGCCCACAAAATATGACTTTGACACTTTCTCCCTTCGTGGATCTTGCAACTTAAACAAACTCACTGAACAAATACTGCAAGCTCGAATAGCCACGTGCTCGATGGCGTAATACTGCGTTGCATCTTGTCTGTGCATTACGTACAACTAGGCAATTTTAAAAAGCTTTTTACGATGGATTATTCACTTTTAAATTTCACTGTGCTTACTATGGTCAATTCATAAGAATGGAAAGTTTAAATTTCGCAGCATTATTCTGGCAACATCAACGAAAGGAGTTAGTGAAAACGGAGCAAGTTCAGAATACCCGGCCACTCATTTACATGTCATTGAATAAGAATATCGTCTTTTGTGTTATGCCTCGATCTTCAAAGCCTCCCGACACATGTAAGTCAGGCGGACCAAAGTGGTCGGGTATTATGAAGTTTAGCTGTAAAAACTTTTACAGAGAAGCACTCAGTTTTAATAAAGTTTTCTCGTTGACCATCAATCAAGTCATAAGTGCTCATTGTTCGCGCGATTTTACATATATATATAAACGATCTTTTGGTCCCTTAGTTCTGAAGTCTAATCTTTAAGGGTTCTTATTCCAGGGCTTCTTCCCATCAAATTTCCTGCAAAAATAAATTCTAGTTCCTCTAGAAAAATGCCTCATAGACCCACCAGCCTACTTGTAAATTGAATGTTCGTTTTGCCCGCAACCCCCCCCCCCCACCCACTCTTCCGAAAAGTGAGTAAGGAATGTAGGTGCAGAGCAGAGCAGAATATGAGGGAGGAGGAGGTTAGAAGTCGGGGAATGAGACTTTCTCAAGTTGCTACCCTTTTTCAAACAAAACAAAAATACTTCAAATGACTCAATCTTTATTATTAGCACATTTTGATGTCATCCCTCACAAATTAGGCAATGACCCAAAGCAACATTAAATCCACCTCTAAAATGCACCATTACAACGATAATGGTTAAAATAACCCTAGAATTGCCTAACAAATGTGCAAGCAAGTGATTACTGGACTACAAAATCTCTACTTACAAGTGTACCTATAATTATTCTGTCAGTAGTTTTATTTCAAGCGCCCACAGAATTTCATTCTAGTGTATTCATTTAAGTGAATGTCAGGTTTCTTTTCATAAGATAACACAGCTGTGATCCTGGACTTTTTTCCCTCGATAGGGGTAACGCGATGCATTGAGTTATGCCCACAGATTATGACTAGTGTTCCTGGCTGAAGGTCAGCTTCTTTTACCCCAAGAGCAGACAGATCTTGTCCAGCTTTAGAAGCCAGTAGCACTTGCTTGACCAAGTCATAGTTTTCATTTCCATCTGATCTATTTGAAATAGAGAGATCATTTGTTATTTCAATTTTTTATTTGCTTCCAACCAGAAAGAAATTCAGCTTAACAACAAATAAAGGGATCAACCCTTTAACTCTCAAGATATGATTGTTTATTCTCCCCTCTAGCAGCCACACGTTTCACTGGAAATAAGCTACAAGAATTTGTGTTCGATTTACAAAACAACTTCTACTGATGGGATATAGTCGTGATTCACATTACTGCTGTACTGGATAATGTATAGATAGTACATAGAGCTCGAGAAGTCCATATTTGATCACCTGTGCGAGGTAAAGGATGTAAAACTCCATCATTATAACCCTCTGCTTTCATAGCAGGTGATTTGTTAATCGTAACTAAAAGAACCAATATGAAGACCAAATATACAAAATCAGCGAAAACCAGGGAGGGTCGCTTACCTGCTATGATTTCATGCATCCTCACTAAGTAAGTGAGATCCTTTATTTAAGATAAATTGGACATTTTCTTCGCTAAACAAGAGCATAGACTAGCTTAGATAAGACAGGATGGCCTATCTGAATAGTCTTGTTTTCTTTCCCCGTGAGGCGCCTCTGAGACAACAGCTAACTAGCTTAGATAAGACAGGATGGCCTATTTGAATAGTCTTGTTTTCTTGCCCTGTGACGCGCCTCTGAGAAAACGGCTAACTCTTACCTTGTTAATGGAATGTATTGAAAACGTCCCCCACCCTCTGGTGCTTGAAGGAGGAATGTTACAGCGAACTGCCCCCGGTCAAAATGCCAATCCAGCTGATCATTTTCTCTGTAGACGTGCACATTTAAGTCTCCAAGGGGATCAGCCGTTCGGTAAAGCACGTCCCTGTCAAGAAGAACTCTAACGAACTCTGTCATCTCCGGTGACATATAAAGCTGAATTAGCGGCGAGTTTGTCTTGATTTGGTCGCGGGTAACGCAACATTTTGAAGATCGACACAGAATGTTCCTCGCGTGATCCTTCTCGAGGAGAGGATCTTGACATTCCTCAAGATAGACAGTGTGATCGATTGTTTTACAAAATGCATCTGGTAATGCCTCTTCTGCTTCTAGGATTGTTTGGCGAATAGCCCAAGGAAGCAGAAAGCCCGGCAAAAAGGCGATGCCGTTTCCCATCAGTTCGCTTTTAGCACTGCTTATAATTTCCCGGAGAATGTGGCTCTCAAACTCAGCAATTGGATATCTTTGGTAGTCGATAATACTCTTAATATCACAGGCCATGGTTGAAGTGACGGTTTTGGCGGCCATCTTGGACGAGTAGGCAAGCACTTTGAAGGCCAGCCTGCTAAGCCCCACCCATTCTTTGTAATGCACCAGTCAATGTAAACCCCCGCATACCCCCGGGACATAGCGGGGCATTTGACAAGCGTTCACTTCTAAAGTTGTAAAATGCCCCGCACTCCAAGGTCAGGTTTTTTCTTTAATTGAAACTAACGACCCCGCTCATATCCCCCGCTCTTGTTGAGAGGAAGACACAGGCTAATGTAAATGCTTTAAACTTTTTATGAAATTTAAAAAACGATCGGTAAATCGTGACGATGGCGGTCTGCTTCCTGACGCCTATTTACACCTCGTCAGAAAAAAAGGCCGCTAATTAGTGATCATATAAAAGGACCTCTTGTTGCAGCGCTTAGATCACCCCTGATGAAGGCACTAGACAGGAGTGTCGAAACGTTGGGTCTATGAATTGTAACTTCTTCGGTTACATTCATTAAATCTGCAAACCAGTGTAGCTTCAAACTATGTACGATCGGTAAAGTTTCCGCACAGCCCCATACTATTGTAAAACAAGGTAATTTAGTGTTAACAACTGGGTTGAAAACGTAAATTAGCCACCGTAAAGGGTAAAAAAGCTGACGTTTCGAGCGTTAGCCCTTCGTCAGAGCGATTAGACGAAGGGCTAACGCTCGAAACGTCAGCTTTTTTACCCTTTACGGTGGCTAATTCACGTTTTCAACCCAGTTGTTAACACTAAATTACCTGCTATACTCTCCCACCGACGCAGCACCACAGTTTCTTTAGAAACTTACCCCTTTATTGTAAAACAAATCTGTTTTCCCAATGGAAATGTATTGTTTTTGTCATTGTTTTCTCTATTCAAGAACTGAATACATAATGTAGTATGGGGCTGTGCGGAAATTTTACCAAACGATCTCTGGCTAAAACTTTTAAAAATACGAGCTTTCGGCTGTTTGCACTACAGCCTTCAACGGGTAAAATGATAAAAAGGTAAAAAATATACTAGGTGTGAAGTTCAAAGTAAAAATTAAAAATGCTTATAACTAAGAATGTTTGTTAAAAAGAATGCTGTATTGTCCGGGCAAAGGACAGGAATTGTTGTCCGCATTGGGAGTTAACCTTTGTCAATAATAGATGCATCTTGTGTTGAAGGCCCTGCCAGTCTCACCAAGTGTTTCAACACAAGAAAGAAAGAACACCTCAGAAATGTGAAAACCGCGGCAAAAGGCTCAAGAATTGCCAATCGCGTCTGGGCCAATAGTCACGCAATAGACTTTGATAATGCATCTATCAGCATTTTTAATTTTTACTTTGTACTTCACACCTAGTATATTTTTTACCTTTTTATCATTTTACCCGTTGAAGGCTGTAGTGCAAACAGCCGAAAGCCCGTATTTTTAAAAGTTTTAGCCAGAGATCGTTTTTAAATTTCATAAGATGTTTTATCCTGGCTGCGGCCCCTCTATCTTTTCATGCTTTAAACTTTATTTGTCAAGTAACACACGTCATCGCATACAATGCTTTTCAAATGGTATAGTCTACTGTTAACATTTGAGAGAAATATTAAATTCTACATGCTAGTAGAATAGGGTTAACAGTTTTGTAGCACTATCACGAACAATACAAGACTAAAAATTCAGACCTATCCGTGTACAGACCTATCCATGTAAAAACTGTTTTTTTAAATATGCATAAGAAGAGAATATAAACACCTGAGGACATGCTTGATCGGTCAAGTGATTCTCAGAATAAATTACGAGAAAAAACCGGGACAAAAGATTTTTGTTCGCAAAAGAATCAAATATATTTATGTGTTCTTAGCGTTATTCAAGGACCTTAAGGACGGATGGCATACTCAACCAAAGATATAAGGTGATTAAGATAAAACGACTCTTACCTTCTTTTCATGGCCAAAAGCCGCTATCTTGCCGGACTAGCGATTCTTGACCCACTCCTCCGCTGTTCTTGGATGACGTGCAAAAGAGGTCAAAGTCCCCGATACCTGCGGCCCTTTCGCTCGTCTAACAACGGAAAACTCACATTTTGGGCTTTAGATTGGTAAAGTTTCCGCACAGCCCCGTACTATTGTAAAACAAATCTGTTTTCCCAATGGTAATGTATTGTTTTTGTCATTGTTTTCTCTGTTCAAGAACTGAATGCATAATGTACGATGGGGCTGGGCGGAAATTTTACCTTTAGATTTCACGTGTAGTATCACGTTATTTTTGATGTAAACAAACCCTGAAAGTTCGGACATTGAGTCGAGCTCGCAGCACATGTGTCCAAACTTCGGCTTTGGAATTTGTTCTTAAATAACTTCCCACTTTCAAGAAGCGTGTCTTCGCTCAAAATTGACATCTTTCTTTTGTCATTTATTTGATCGTTTATTAAGCAAGCTGTCATTTCGCTGCCGTTGAAGCAGATGCGAAGAATGTTACAGGAAGCGTTGCGGCACGAAGTAAGAAATACATCACAAATTGCCAATGTTGGAATTTATGTAGAACAAGCCATTGGTAGCTTAAAGCAATTTAGAATCTCAAATAATGTGCTACCAATTAAACACCTCTACTTGTGTGATGACATTGTAACAGTGGTGTATATGGGCGGCCGTCACCACCAAAACTACAAGGATGTCAAATAGATCAGCAAATACAAAGATGGTGTAAGGATCAGCTGCAGGATTGCATAGCTAATAAAGGAATGGCATGGCCAAATCATAGACAGTCTAGTTTTCCTTCGTGAAACAGAACACCCTAAACATGAATAGTTTAGCCAAATGAGAAACGGTCTAGTAGCCCATGTTGAGTTGGAACATGAGATTGTGAAATGGACTAGCTCAATTACAAACAGCTTAGCACTCATTTGCAATACAGTACTCAAACGGTGTAGCGTTGCGTTAAACGACTGAAGGTAACGTCGAGTAGCACAGCGTACGCACAAACGGTGTAGCGTTGCGTCAAATGGCTCAGCGTAATTTAGAATGGTACAGCGTACACACATATGGTGTAGCGCTGCGGGAAATGGCTCGGCGTAATGTCGAATGGTACAGCGTACATACAAACAGTGTAGCGTTGCGTGAAATGGCTTAGCGTAATGTCGAATAGTACAGCATACATACAAACAGCGTAGCGTTGCGTAAAGTGGCCTAGCATAATGTCAAATTGGTACAGCGTACACACAAATGGTGTAGCGTTGCGTGAAATGGCTCAGCGTAATGTAGAATGGTACAGCGTAGACACAAATAGTGTAGCGTTAGGTCGAATAGCTTGGCAAAACATCAGACGCTCTATCTGAACATTAAATTGCTTAGTATTACTTGAAATATTTCGATGGTATGGCGAATCGTCGTGGCGTGACGTGAAGGCCATGCCATTCCTTTATTAGCTATGCTATCCTGCAGCTGATCCTTAAGCCATCTTTGTATTTGCTGATCTATACGACATCCTTGTATTTTTGGTGGTGACGGCCGCCAAGGCATCTCGCCGAAACCACCAAAAATACAAACCGCAAATGGAACAGCGATCTGCTGGGGGCATGACGTCATCGAATGTGAAGACTGGCGCGAAACCATTACATAGTGTAGTCGCTGTGTGGAAGAGTCTTCACTTCGCCTTGCCGTAAAGCAGAGCCAATTCGGTAAGTTTCTCCTCTTTTTTTCCCTGCCGATATTGCATTTATTCGTTGTCGTTCATGATAGTGTTAATTAAAAGAGCGAGACTGGATTCTACCACGGTTTACCGGCCTCCCGGTTTACCACAGTTTGCACGTGTTGGTGAGGCTGAATTTTAACATTATTACGTAGTGTTATGATGTGCATTAAATGTCGATTGCCGAGCTCTCATTTGTTTTCTTTTCTGACTCGCGCTTACTTTTCAAAGGGAGTTTAACTTCAACGGTTCTTTGAACATTGCAGGAGTACGTGAGAAGTTGGATTTTGTGTGTGCCCTGGACGCCATGGTCACGCAACTCTAGTCAATATATCTAGTGTGTACTGAACTAGTCTGTAGCAATAATAATAATAATAATAATAATTACAAAAATTAATAGTTGAGGAACAGAAATGTAAAAATAAATAAAAATATAAATAAATACGTCTACCGAAACAAACGACGAAACAGCAAGATGTCCTGTCAATTGTCTGAATTATGCAACAGTTTTTATTCAGCAAGTTGCGACTGTAACAGATCGAACGGTAAAACTCGACCTAGAGTTGGACAATTACGTACAACTACGTGCATTACGGTGTCCGCACTAGCCTTCCTTAATACGTGATGACTACGGAATGGGAAAGAGCACAGGGAAGATAAGTATGTATGCACGCAAAACCAACTCAGAAAAAAATATTACTCTTGCAAAAACTATTTTGGAACGCGAAAAAAAACCCTTTAACTGTTTCCGGTCCAGACATGTAATCTACGTTTGATCGACAAAATAAAAATGGAACTTACTTTTACTATCACTGCACCCAGGAAAAAATTAATAAACAAAGCAATATAATGTACATCTCTTTAAAATAATAAATATGTCTTCTCTTAGCTTACTCTTATCCTCCGGCACACCAATTAAAGTATTCCGATATCACTTTGATCGAAAAATGTCAAAACAGATCAAGGATATCAGTTCTCTTACCATGGCGTCCAGGGCACACACAATATTCAACTTCTCACGTACTCCTCCAATGTTCAAAGAGCCGTTGAAGTTGAAAAGTAAGCGTGAGTCGGAGAAAGAAAATAGGGCTCGACAATTGACATTTAATGCACGTCATAACACTACTTAATTGATACTATAAACATATTCAGGCCCAACAACGCGTGCAAACTGTGGTAGACCAAGAGGCCGGCAAACCGTGGTAGAATTCAGTCTCGTTGCTATTTTAATTGACGCTTTCATGAACGACAACGAATAAGTGCAATATCAGCAGTGAAAAAAGAGGAGAAACTTACCGAATTAGCTCTGTTTTACGGCAAAGCGAAGTGAAGACTATTCCATACAGCGACTACGCTATGTAATGGTTTCGTGTCAGTCTTCACATTCGATGACGTCATGCCCCCAGCAGATCGCTGTTCCATTTGCGGTTTGTATTTTTGGTGGTTTCGGCGAGATGCCTTGGCGGCCATCACCACCAAAAATACAAGGATGTCGTATAGATCAGCAAATACAAAGATGGCTTAAGGATCAACTTCAGGATAGCATAGCTAATAAAGGAATGGCATGGCCTTCACGTCACGCCACGACGATTCGCCACAACATCGAAATATTTCAAGTAATACTAAGCAATTTAATATTCAGATAGAGCGTCTGATGTTTTGCCAAGCTATTCGACCTAACGCTACACTATTTGTGTCTACGCTGTACCATTCTACATTACGCTGAGCCATTTCACGCAACGCTACACCATTTAAGTGTACGCTGTGCCATTCGACATTATGCTAAGCCACTTCACGCAACGCTACACTGTTTGTATGTACGCTGTACCATTCGACATTACGCTAAGCCATTTCACGCAACGCTACACTGTTTGTATGTACGCTGTGCCATTCGACATTACGCTGAGCCATTTCACACAACGCTACACTGTTTTTATGTACGCTGTACCATTCGACATTACGCTGAGCCATTTCCCGCTCAAGGATGCATTGGATAGACGGCTCTAATGAATTCAAATGCGATAGGAGGCGTTCTGCTTCATTTCCGGATACCGGAGAAATAACATCATCGACATATCGTTTCCAGAAAAAGGGTTTAACCAGTGAAGTGGCTAAGGCTCTTTGTTCCACGTCTTCCATTACCATGTTGGCAATGACAGCAGAGACAGGCGAACCCATGGCTGTAACAAAAACCTGTTGATAGTAGGGGCCTTTGCATGCAAATTGCGTGGTTTTGAGGCAAAAAGAGAGCACGATCCTCCACAGGCAAAGAAGTTCTTTATTCTGGGGAAGCATCTTATTTGAGTCTCTCCTCCGCAACCTTAACGGCAAGGTCAACTGGGATTTTAGTAAAGAGCGAAACAACGTCGAAAGATATCAATTCTTCACAAGCGTTAAGAGTTTCATCTCTTATGAAATCCGCTAATTAGCAGGAATTTTTTGACAGTGCAATCAGTATTCCCAACAACAGGCCACAAAGTTCTCGCAAGATAACCGAAATTGCATAAGTCGGAGAATTCACAAAAGAGGCAATAGGTCTCAAAGGAATGGTAGCAGCCCTTATATCTAGTGCTAAGCGTAAATTTTATGAAAGGAAGGCCTGCAATCTCCGTTATACGAATCCAAGCAAGTGGTTTAAATATATTTACTCGCTCTGTGGTGCCCAGAAGTTATCAAGAACCCCAACTGCGCCTAACAAGGCTGAACTACAGAAAACAGTGGACCTTCTGCTTGATGCTTTTGTTGCTCCTTGGAAGGACCGAGAGCCCACCGCACTGTCAGTCAGCGAGGTTGCCAATGAATTGGACGACAGACCTCCGCCTGTTCCAAACATTGGGCAAGTCAAAGCCATACTCAAACATGTGAATCCGAGGAAAGCAACAGGTGTTGACGTTGTGCCTGCGTGGCTCCTTAAACAGTTTCACGAAGAACTGGCACCTGTTGTACACGATATTATTTGTGCCTGTATAGTACAGTCCAAGTATCCTACTAGTTACAAGCATGCTTTAGTCAGCCCGGTACCCAAGGTTGATAATCCGACGGATATAAACAATGACTTTAGGCAGATTTCAGTTTTGCCACAAGTCGCCAAGGTACTGGAGAGGATCCAGCTTAAGCTAAACCTAAAGGACCTAAGTCTTAATGCTTCCCAACACGCTTTTACGGCGGACAGATCTACTATGACTGCGCTTGCCAGCATCACACAAGACTGGTATAACACTACAGATTTTGGAAGTCTATGTAATGGCGTGCATGTGGTCTTTTTAGACTTCCGAAAAGCCTTCGATCTGGTGGATCATGGCGTTCTGTTGACTAAACTCGCTGGCATGGGCATCACCATGAGCTTCTGGAAATGGGCACAGAGCTACCTATCAGGCAGAACACAGCAGTTTAAGCTCCCGGGAGTCTTCTCCAGACATGGTGAGGTGATTGCTGGTGTACCTCAGGGTGGTGTCATTTCTCCTACACTTTTTAATGTGCATGTCAACGATATTGAGGACTGCATCCCCAGGGGAATACCTGTATCCACTTGCAAGTACGCTGCTGACTGCACCCTATACGAACTTGTTTTTAAGGACTCTGTCAGTCAAATGCAGGATGCTGTGACTCACTTGGAAAGATGGGCTGTGCAGAATAAAATGGAGCTGAATGCTAAAAAGACCAAAGATATGTGGATCACCTTCAAAAAGTCCTGTCAAATTCCTGCTCCTATTAATATTGGGCCTACTGAACTGGAGAGGGTTTCAGAGTTTAACCTACTGGGTGTATATGTACAGTAAGATCTCAAATGGAATACACGTCTCGAGTATTGTCAGCAAAGCGTGTAAACGGATCCACTATCTTAGGGTCTGTAGAACAGCCCATCTCCCCAGGGACATTGGTCTTACAACTTACATCACTAAGATTAGACCTGTTTTAGAATATGCCTCGCCTGTCTGGGGAGGGCTGCCCATTTACCTCGAAGAAGATCTACAGAGAGTGCAGAATAGATGTCTAAATGTCATTGGTCTCCCTAGGGATTCTGTTGAGTCACTTGTAACTAGGCGTCAGAATTTGACGAGGAAAGAATTTAAACGTATCCTAGAATCTGAAGCACATCCTTGAAAACGTTTTTTAGAAAAGCCAGTGGATCATGGCCATAATCTAAGATCTTGTAAGACTAACCCAGCGCACCTCAGAATATCACGCACTGTTAGGCACAAACAATCATTTGTTCCTAGGGGTGCTAAACTTAACTTGATTTTATAAGTATAAATAATATGTAGTGCTTTGAATTTTTATTGTAATATTACCGTAATTCTTATCGCCAAAGGTAACAAATAAAAGTTATTATTAATTCCCGGTTTATGGATTTTAGGTAAGCCATAAAAACGTGGACATAAGCCGTAACTATTGTATAACATTTTGTACGTATAGTAGCTAATCTTACAAGCTTTTTTCGAATCAAGCAAAATTTTTTTAAACTTTCCTTTGAGTCTTACTGATGAAGGCACTAGACAGGAGTGTCGAAACGTTGGGCCTATGAATTGTAACTTCTCGGTGTTACATTCATTTAATCTTTAAACCAGAGTAGCATCAAACCATGTCAGATATTAAAATAATCGAAATTTATTTTGACATAACAATTTGGGCCAATATAATCAACGATAGGTGCTGGAACCTCGGTTATAACCTATCCTTATATGACTTCTCGCCATGCATAATCTGATTGGCCCTTGTCGAGAGGAGTACAAACAACGGTACTCATGTCAACGTGTCACACAATGCCTTTATCATTGAAAGAATCGTTTCAGTGTTTGACCTCGATATTGTGGTACAAAAAAAAAATAAAACAAAACAACAACAAAAAACAAAAACGACAACGACAACAAAATCGAAAGTGGTTAAACGTGGTCTGTACTCTCATCAACAACGATATTCGCCATCAAAATGTTGTGGACTCACGAAGCGCAGTGTTGAGGTAAGTGGCGGTCAAAAGGGCGGGATAGACGGTTCTATATTTCTTACACCATGCAGACGAAATCACAAGCGCACTCTCCCCGACGCTTCTCCGGGGTAACCACACCTTTGACTCATCAAACCACATTGTGCTTACCAATGATATATAGTGACTGGGTGTGGCCCCCCAGCCATTAGTTCCCAGTGTTTTCGCCCATCTTGTCATTCTTTTTGTCCTCCAATAATCCTATATTTTTATTTTGAGGGTCTGTCTGCAAGCTGCCACTGTGTTATCCATGATGCCTGATACTTATGAAAAAACCAGTTTTACTAAAGCATCCCTAGCAACTATAAAATCCTCTTCCGTTCTACAATTTTAAGAGAAATTGTAATTTCCCTGGTGAACGATGGCGCGGAATTACTACTTTTATACACACCTATATTAAAACTGGTCCTCAGAAAAATTTTCAATTGGGTGTTGAAAAAAGTCCTGGATTATAAAAAAAAAAAAAAAAAAGACAATCAGTTACTAACAATGTCCATAAGTTGAAACATTAAAAAAAAAACAAAACAAACAAACAAAACAAAAAAATCAAAAACAAAAAAACAAAAATCTTTTCGAATTTAGTTCAACGGTAAACCACATTCTAAAGATCAGTAAAGTTAAAAATATCATTTACAGATGTGACTTAAGTTATTTCAAGCGCCCAAAAAATTTCATTCGTGTGTATTCATTCAAGTGGACATCAGCTTTCTGCTCATAGGATAAAACAGCAAGGATTCTGAACTTTTTGCCCTCAACTGGGGAAACACGATGCATTGAGTTTTGCCCACAAAATATCACTAGTGTTCCTGGCTGCAGGTCAGCATCTTTCACCCCTAGAGCTGTCAGATCTTGTCCAGCCTTAGTTGCCAATAGCACTTCCCTGACTAGGTCATGGCTTTCACTTCCATCAGATCTATTTTTAACAGAGTAATAGTTTGAATTTCATTAATCATTTGAAGTTGAAGAAGGATGAGCTGTGTTTGTTTGTTTGTTTGTTTTCTCTGTCAGCTCATTTGATTAACATACTTCCTGGCCAAAGGATGAGCTGATATTTTCAATCCTAGGATCAGATTATTAATTCTCTCCTCTAGCTGCCAAACACTGCTTTGAAATTAGTTATGAGAATTTGGTGAGAGATCAGGATAACAACTTCTACCTAATTAGTTTGAGTATTCTCGTTATCTGTTAACTGGTTTAAGTATGGATATTAGAGAGAGAAGTTACCTGTTAACCTTTTAGCTCTCAGATCAAATTTGTAATTCTCCTTACTGTCAACCATACAATTCTTATAATGTTAGTTCAGAGAATTTGGTACTGGATCAACTAATTTCCCCAAATTGATCTTTTCTTTATTCTCATCACTTATCGGGTTGATATTGTAAAGATATTTTAAAGAGAAATTCTATATCAGTCCCGCACAAGAGTTAAAGGGTTAATCACTTCTGGGAGTGGTAGAGTTAAGAAGTACATCTCATTTAGTTCAAATCAGTTATGAGCTTGAAATTTCTATCATGTGATAGCTGATAAGTGCAAACAAAGTCCCAATCAACTACTATGTACAGAAATGGAGGGTAAATAATCCAATTGTTTTAGAAGAAATCTACTAGTCATTTGAAACTTAACAACAAGACAGGCCTGTATTTTTATGTAATTTTTTTTTCAACCACATACTGTCAGGGAGCTCAGTCTACTCAAAAGTAAAGAAGTTTTTTTTGTTTTTGTTACCTCTCCTCCTTGGAGGGTATTCTGAGTTAATTCACAACACCTGCTGGGGGACTTTAATCAGATAGCCCCAATTTTGGAATCAAGACCAAAACACAACATCAGAGGTTACATTCCCTACCATTTGTGAGAAGCACATGGATTCTTTCATGTCCCCTGTTAACCAGTACAGAGGAGATACAGGAAACAGGGCCTACAGTTTATCATCTTTATCCAAGATGATCAGAATTTTTAACCCTTGGCAGATGTCATGGCAGAGGCAGCAGATTCTCCTCAAGTATTTTTTCACTCCCCAAGTGAGTGAAATCTCAAATTATTACCTTCTCCCCTCTCCCCTTGGGTTGATATTTCAAGGTTACTAAAGAAGAGGAGGGTGAGGTCGGACAGTTGTAAAGAAGAAATAGGAAAAGAAGAGGTGAAGAGATAGGAAAAACTTACCTTGTTGATGGAATGTATTGAAAACATCCCCCACCCGCTGGTGCTTGAAGGAGGAGTGTCACAGCGAACTGCCCCCGGTCAAAATGCCAATCCAGCTGATCATTTTCTCTGTAAACGTGCACATTTAAGGCTCCAAGGGGATCAGCCGTTCGGTAGAGCACGTCCCTGTGAAGAAGAATTCTAACGAACTCTGTCATCTCCGGTGACATATAAAGCTGATTCAGCGGCGAGTTTGTCTTGATTTGGTCGTGCGTAACGCAACATTTTGAAGATCGACACAAAATGTTCCTCGCGTGATCTTTCTCGTGGACAGAATCTCCCTTGCATTCCTCAAGATAGACACTGTGGTCAACTGTTCCACGAAACGCAATCGGTAAGGCTTCCTCCGTGTCTAGGATTGTTTGACGAATAGCCGAAGGAAGCATAAAACCACGCAACAAGGTGATTCCGTTGTCCTTCAGTTCGCTCCTTGCACGGTTGATGACTTCTTGGAGAATGGGACTCCCAGACTCAGCAATTGGATATCTTGTGTAGTCGATAAGATTCCTAATATCGCTGGCCATTATGAATTAAAGAGAATACGTGTTTTTCCGACTAGTGTTTCCGGACAAGTTTGAATCGATTATCAAATGACTTTTCCCTTGGATGATCTTGCAACGTAAACAAACCCGCTGAACACGTCATGACTGCATGCTCGAATAGTCGCGTGTTCGAGGGGGTGATAGCGTGGAGCATCTCCACAATTAGCGTAGAAGGCTTTTGTCTGCGCATTACGTACAAGAGGCATTATTTATAAAGCTTTTTTAAAACGGATTATTCTGGCATGTCAACTCAGGAAAATTAGTAAAAACTTTCACAGAGAGGCACTCAGTTTGTAGTAAAGTTTTCTCATTGACCATCAATCGAGTCATAAGTACTCATTGTTCATGGAATTTTACATATAAAAATATCTTGTTGTTCCTTAGTTCTGGAGTCTAATCTTTCAGGATTCTTATTCAATGGCTTCTTCCCATCAAATTTTATGTAACAATAAATTACTCTAGTTCCTGTGGAGACCTGTGCCAAAGCCCCCCTACCCCACTCATAAATTGAAAGCTTGTTTCTGCTCCCCCCCACACCTCCTGAGAAGTGAGTAAGAAATGTAGGTGCAGAGCAGGAGGGGGAGGAAAGGAGGTTAGGAGTAAGGTAATGAGAGTTTGTTGAGTTGCTATCCTTTTTGAAAGAAAAAAAAAATGCTTCAAATGTCCCAGTTATTATTGTGGCCACATTTTGACATCATCCGTGATCTGTTACTGAATACTCCCACAGCAACATAGAATCCACTTTTCAAATGGATCATTATAAGGACAATAGTTGAAAAAACCTAAGAATTGCCAAAGAAATGTGGGAGAAAGTGATCACTGGACTACAAATTCTTGGCTCTTACTTAGTGTAACACACAGTATACGTCACAATAGAATTTCATCACAACTGGAAATAAGACAACAATGAAAACAATACTGTGACATATACTGTGTCTTCTACATCAAGTAAGAGCCAAAATCTCTATTTACAAGTCCACCTAATTAGCCCTTTCACTCCCACGAGTGACCAAGACAGAATTTCTCCTTACAATATCAATACAATATCAAGCAGGTAGGTGATGAGAATAGAGAAGAATATTAATCATGGGATTATTAGTTGATCCAATACCAAATTCTCTGAACTAACATCATAGGAATTGTATGGTAGATAGTAAGGAGAATTACTAATTGGATCTTGGGAGTGAAAGGGTTAGTCTGTGGGTATATTTATTTCAAGCGCCCACAGAATTTCATTCTAGTGTATTCATTTAAGTAAACATCAGGTCTCTTTTCGTAAGATAAAACAGTTATGATCCTGGACTTTTTTCCCTCAATAGGGGTGACGCGATGCATCGAGTTATGCCCACAAAAAATCACGAGTGTTCCTGGCTGAAGGTCGGCCTCTTTCATCCCAAGAGCAGATAGATCTTTTCCAGCTTTAGAAGCCAGTAGCACTTGCTTGACCAAGTCATAGTTTTCATTACCATCTGATCTATTTGTAAAAGAGAGATAATTTGTTACTTCAATTTTCATTTGCTTCCAGGTAGAAATATATTCAGATTAGCAACACTTAGATGGATTAACCCTTTAACTCCCAAGATCTGATTGTTCCTGTCACTCCCGTAAGTGACCAAGACAGAATTTCTCCTTACAATATAAATACAATATCAAGCAGGTAGGTGATGAGAATAGAGAAGAATATCAATTATGGGATTTTTAGTTGATCCAATACCAAATTCTCTGAACTAACATCATAAGAATAGTATGGCAGATAGTAAGGAGAATTACTAATTAGATCTTGGGAGTGAAAGGGTTATTCTCCCTTCTAGCTGCTACACATTTCCTTGTAAATCATAAACTACAGGAATTTGTGTAATATATTTGTTAATTGTTATATTCGTGATGTTAAATATAGACATCATTACACAACTAGGGTGTCAACATCTTTAGCACCATGACCAGCAAACATTCATTTCATGCAAGTGCCACTAGATTATGGAACAACCAAGACAGTACTACTAGGGGTCTCACTTCCCTTTGTAAATTTAAAAATCAACTATAAAAGATATATATAGATCGGAACTCCAGAGTTGATAATTTTACTATGAGCAGAAATTTTTAATTAATTTATAATTTTTAATTGTACTTTTTCTTCGTATTTTTGCTATTTGAATTTGAAGTTTTTGAGGACCATAATGAGAACTTCTGGCTCAACCAGTTATAGTGTAATCCAATAAAGTCATCATCATCATTATTATTATTATTATTATTATTATTATTATTAATGTGTGGCGGATCAACATAACAATTTCTAATGATGCAACAGATTATTCTCATAATTTACTGGTGTGCTGGATAATATACATGTATGGATACTTAAGGGAGAAGCCAATCCTTGATCACTTCTGGGATTTAAGGATTTAAAACTCATAATGTAAGCTTCTGCTTCCATAGAAGGCGATTTGTTCACTGAGAACCAATATGATCACTAACAATGCAAAATCCAGGAGCAAGAATTCCTATAAGCCTGATAATTTGAGCCAGAACAAGACTCTTGATCGCTGAGGACAAACAAAACAGTGCATGTGCAAATTGCCATTTTCTGACAACCAGGGAGGGTTGTTTACCAAGAAAGCAGGTAAATAAGTAAGATCCCTTATTTAAGATAATTTACATTTAAATTTTGGACATCTTCATTAACCAAGGCCTTGGAATAGTCTACTTTAATGATAAGACAGGTGGCCTACTTGAACAGTCTTTTTTCTTGCCCCTTAAGGCGCCTCTGAGACAACAGCTAACTCTTACCTTGTTGATGGAATGTATTGAAAACGTCCCCCACCCTCTGGTGCTTGAAGGAGAAGTGTCACAGCGAACTCCCCCCGGTCAAAATGCCAGTCAAGGCCATCATTTTTTCTGTAGACCTGCAAGCTTAAGGCCCCCAAAGGATCAGCTGTACGATAAAGCGCGTCTTTGTTTAGCAAAAGTCGAACAAAATTTGTCATCTCCGATGACATATAAAGCTGATTTAGCGGCGAGTTTGTCTTGATTTGGTCGTGTGCGATGCAACATTTTGAAGATCGACACAATATATTCCTCGCGTGATCTTTCTCGAGGACAGAGTCTTGACATTCCTCAAGATAGATAGTGTGATCAACTGCTTTACAAAACGCATCTGGTAAGGCTTCTTCTGTGTCTATGATTGTTTGGCGAATAGCCCAAGGAAGCATAAAATCCCGCAACAAGGCAATGCCATTGTCGTTCAGTTCGCCTCTAGCACGGCTTATAACTTCTTGGAGAATGTGGCTCTTAGACTCAGCAATCGGATATCTTTGGTAGTTGATAATATTCCTTACATCACCAGCCATTGTGAAGGACGAAAAATCTTTGCTAGTACTATACAACCCAATTCCGAATCGAGTACAAATATCACGTGATACTGTACATTTGGTTATTTTATACTGTAAAGAAAACCTGTTTAACAGGTCGGCCGTGGGTGCTATCTGCTTTGCTTTTCCTGCCTTAAGATAAAGCAGTTGGATGGTAAATAGAATATTATTAGTTTTCGTGAGTAGAATCACTGAGTATTTTTACTCATTATTTTGACTCGCCCCTCAGGCTCGTCAAAATACGGTGCAAATCGTTAACACACTCAGTGATACTACTCGCTAAAAAATGTCTAATAAGATATATTTATCAATAGCCGCTCTTCATTAGATGATTGAATAAACGTGCCGGCTGCATGTTGTTGGTAGCAAGATGTAAACAAATCTGCGGGAAAAAAAATGCATGCCCATAATCGTCTGAGGGAGAAGGGGCTAGAAATGGTGTCAGTGCGTGACAAGAACTGGAAATTCTTCCCGTAAACTCTATGATACAAGACACTGAAATGCCTACAAAGATATACTATTGATACGCTTCGGCTGTATATATTGTTATGATAATAAGATGAACACAAATTCGCCGCAAAAGATACTTCATGCTCACGTGTTGTGCTCACATAGTTGCGTGAGGGAGACGTGGTCAGAAAGGATATCGCTACGTAACAAGAACAGGGAAGCCTTCATGGAAGTTGAGAAATATTAACTAGCGTGAAGGCCTTAATAGAAAAGATAAGATTAGAGAAGCCGGCGATAGATCTGTAAAGGTAGGCACCAGTAGCATTTTTAGTGCCAGACCCCCGCTTCTTCTCAAATCGTCGGGTCTGCTCTGCTATGCTCGCAGGCCAGCACAAAATAATAACTAAATCAAAGATTATTCAGAATGATTCATTAACTTTCAATCCGCTTGATGCACTCTGTGGAGCTTATAAAAGTGGAGGGTTCGGCTTTATTGGCACGATGGCCCTTGGTAAGCTCTCTTGTAATAGGTCATAATTTCATATTGTTGACGAGATTTATTTTATTCTTGTTGTGAAGGTCATCCCTGCAAATTGTGGTGTTGAGTTTTCCCATTTGTTTACATTTGTTCAATAATTTCTGAGTATCACCATATTTCCTCTAATTAGGGGGGTATTTTTTCGATGGAGGAGAATTAGAAGAGAGGGGTGCTTATTGAATCGGCACAGCAAAAGGATAAAAATTAAAAGAACATAAAATGCACTTAAAGGACTCTGCTAGCATGTTGAGAAAGGGATAAGTCCAACAAAAATGAAACTGCCCATGTGTACTGATTCCACTGTGATTGAAGCTAAAAAAGTTGTAACAGAGAAGTGATTTCCTTGTATCCTTAGTTTCTGAGAAAGTGGGAAAGGAAGGGTTGCTTCTTTAAGGGAGTCACCTGTTTGACATTATGGCTGAGAGGGTGGGTACTTACTCAAGTAAAAATGATAATCTGTTTTACTTTTAGGGGAATATCTGAATTAACCCTTCACATCCTAACATCAGAATTTATATCCCCCACGATGGTTTTTTATGCATTTCCTAAGGTGCTGACAAAGAGAATTTGTTAAACAATCAAGAGCTTTAGTTGGTGATCATTTCCTTCATTCTTCTGACTTGATGTTTGATTCAGAGGTGAAATTGTAATGAGAAATAGGATGCTAATCACTCTAAGGGGTCAGAGGGTTCTGTTACGACAATATCACAGTGATAATGTTTGCAAAACTGTCTTGGAGAGTAGGAGAGATTTTTGTGAGTGTGAACAGTTCAAGGTGCAAGACAGTCGGAGGGATGATGCATCAAATGAGAGATCCCTTAAAAGATGATGCTTATTAAACAAATTTACCATTGAATGTGTTGATTATTTTGGCAGATGACAACAATTTTGAGATTTTCTCTAGCGAAAAAGTAAAATGCTCATTTCATTTTCTTACCTTAAAATTAAGTTCATGAGTAATACACCTCTTATGTGTCCATTTTCACTAAAAGCTTATCTCAGGGCTTTCATTTTCTTCAATAGCGTACCTTTTGAATCAGAGCTTATCTTTTTGGCAGACTTAGATTGATACTTGTAACTATGCAATTTAGTTCAAATTTGGAGGCTATTCATTAAAACTGATTTTTTTGTTGAAAAATTTGCAAAGACTTCTTTTAGTTGATAATATTTACGCTATAGCCCTCCACCAATTTTGATATTTTTTAACAGCAATTTCTCAGAACTAACATTGCAATGTACGGTGGACAGTAGGGAGTATTTAAACAATGAAATTTTGGGAACTCAAGGGTTCGAGCGATCATGACCAGCTAAGGAAGACTTGACGCATGCAAGCTTTCAGTACTTGCATTTCTCCGCTGCTGTTATATATTACTTCAAGGTTACACTTCTTGGTCACAGAAGTCAAATATAACCATGTAATATTTTGTTATAAGTTTGAAGAACGTGTTGACAAATTGCCACTTGAATGTTATGTGTGCCTGCCCTCTAAAACAACTACTCCCTATACAGAGCTATTTTAGCCATTTAACTCCCAGCAGAAGTGATCAAGACATAACTTCTTCCCATAATATTCATTACCCATTCATTATCCAGCAAATGGGTAACAAGAATACTCTAACTTATCAAGTTTTTATCTTGATCTAATACCAGTTCTCATAACTAATTTATGAGGAAACGAGTAGCAACTTAACGAGAGAATTAACAATCAGATCTTGGGAGTTAAGGGGTTAACCCTTTAACCTCTAAGATTGATTAGCATCTAATTTCTCCTTGTAATATCACCCTCAAATCACTTGTTAAGGTCATGAAAATAAAAGAAATGATCATCAACAAAAGAAACTTTTGATCGGTAAACAAATTCTCCTTGTCAACACCCCAGGAAATGTATAAAGAACAGTATAGAGAATATGTATCCTGATGTTAGGGTGTAAAGGGTTTAAGTGGTTGTTAAAAAGGGCAAGGAAGTGTCAAGGGAGAGGGCAGTGACATTATTATTAAAAATTATTAAATCAAAGAACTTAACTTAATAATTTTTTTTTCCATTCAGATGGTGCCAGATATCTGCTTTGGAATCAACATTGGTAAAAGTATGTCTTCATTATGTTTGACCTAAGGCTTTTTTGAAAAATATTTTCATATTTGAGGTTGGTCTTTACAACCCTATCTCAAGACCTGCCCCACTCCCTACTGGGCACAATACAGGGATGTCACACCCTTCCTGTTGGGTGACTATTATTAGGTCTGATATCTTGCTAATGTTATTCACGGATTGCAAATGTACAATAACTTTTCAGATAATTTGAATTCCTTGTCATTTGTCACTGATAAGAAAAAATCACATTCCTGCACTTCCTGTGTGAGGGAGTATGTGGCTGTGGAATTTCAGGGAACAGATTGCCCTTGAGTTTTAAAAGGGAATTTCCCACAGGCCAATTAACAGGGAAAACCCCTCTGTGCTAAACCATCTTCCTGTTTTTCATTTTCCTTTGCATGTAGCGATCCCATCTCCACAAAATACAAAAAAACATAACAAAAACGTTCTTCTAAAGTGAAATATATTATAACACTCGCAAAAACTCTACAGCACTTGACACATGTCGTACACTGCTAGTCGATCTTATCAGTCAATTGATATTGGAATTTACCATTTTTTTTCTTAGTTGAACGAAGCCTTTTACAGTCAAGATCTTTTAAATATTTCCTACTTTGTACTTCTTATACTGTTAACGTTATATATTTGTGAACATTATTGCAAATACGGTTTCCTGATTGCCGTTCACAGCTCACGTACAGATCGTCATGTGAACCGTTCCTTCCATAATAAGATTTTTACTTTCAAAGCTTTCATCCGTTTCTTTCGAATTCTGACATCCTGATCGTAAAATAAATAAGGATACTCTAGGTATAAATTACTGGCCTTGAATATTTTTCAGGCCTTTCAATTAACTATGAATGAGGGAATGAATGAAACTAACTACAACAAACGCGACAGAACATTCACTGTTAGTACATAATATAAGGATTACAATGCAATCTCCAATATTTTTAATGACAAACCGAACTGTTTGTGAAAACATATCATGCTACTTTTTTCCTAGCTGAAGCCGTTCCATGACTGTATGGTTATGTTAAGTTCGATTTGTGAAGTTCTCTTCTTCGCTAAATAGACAATCCTGTTTTAAAAACCAGCTCAAATCTCAGCTCCACGTGGTTTGATTGCGAAGTTCCGGTTATCTGTCTGTTCTGGCTCTCACGATCAGACGGTCGTGAAAGAGCGATCAAACGTTTCTTTCCGTAAACGAGACATTTTCAGCAATTCTCTACAAAATCCACTGTTCTTTTAACGGATTGACAAGCTAAGCTGAGGTAGAAACTGCTATTCCTGAGGTCTGTTTTTGTAGCATGATTTCACATCCGCCCTGCACGTGATCCATAACTTGTATCTTTAACTGACAAACTTGCTTTCTCAGTTCGCAAACTTCGGTGTGTAGCTGAGAATTGATGCTCTTAAGATTGCTAACTTTAACTTCCAAATCGGCTTCCTTTTCTAGCTTTCGTTTGCGGCATTTTGAAGCAGCGACTCGGTTTCTCTGCTTCTTTCTTTCGTTCTTAACTGTTTCCTGTAACGCCAAGTCGATCGGTGGAAGAGGCGGCGTTCCGGGGACGACTTGCGATTCGTTTTCTAACTTAACGTTATCCAACTGCGGTTGCTGAGGTGGGTTCTGTATGTTTAATGTCGCATAGCTTGTGCTGGGTTGTGTTGTAGCCACAGAGGTCCTTTGAAAGTCTGGGAAAATTTGAGTCGCTCCGGATAGCGAAACCAACGGAAGTGATTGCGTCGAAATTATGGACGTGCCCGAAGCAAGCATCGGTGTTGTAGCTGCTACTGTACTAGTGGTATTATTTATCGCTGCTGTGGCAAACGATTGATTCAAAGCATTCAGCAGTAAAGCGTTTGTATTCACAACGCTTTGCGAAGTGGTTTGTCCACCTGATTCTTGTTGTTGGTCGTGTAATTTTTGAAGCGCCTCCACGAATCCTCGCGCATATAATTCTTGTTGTTCCGTTACAGATGACGTTCCCTTGAGCGCCTGAGTCGGTGTTGGAGTGGTCAAGATTCCTCCATAACCCATTATCAATTTCTCCAGCTCGGGGGAACCCAACGTTAGCAAATTCAAATCAGGAGAAGTCAATAATGCGCCTTCCAGCGAAGTTTGCCTCCGCGCGTTCGGCGACGTAAAATCAAGCTTCAAGTTGCCTTTGTCGTACGTCGCACTCTGAGAACTCGATGTTGCGGGCATAATTTGTTCGTCATAGAATGATGCTTCCATTCACGTAGTGAGTCTGATAAAAATACAGACGATTTTGCTGACTGTGAGATTTCAGGATCGCTTGAACGTTTTACAAGTACGCAACTTTTATTTCCGTTGCAAACCATTCATATAAGCTTTTGAGTCACTTTCTATTTTCGTCTCGCATATGTCATCTCAAAGGCGATTGGTTGAGACGATGAACTTTGTTCTTTAACGAGTGATCATTGGTTCGTTTTAATTACGCTTATCCGCACGTGACTCACAAACTAATGCGAATGACGTCAGTTAGAAAACATGCCGAAAACAAAACAGCCATTTCCTAGGTGACAACCGATAGCGCGAATTTTCGATTAAAGGACTTCTTGAGAATTGTGGAATATTCCTGCGCGAAAGAATATCACGAAACTATAGCATTTGATTCAAATTAAACAAAACGATTACGAAAGGCGACAAATTGATTCATCTCTTTGAATGGTGAAAACAAATCGACGCAAACATTTGTAAAAAGTCGTTTTCGAAAATGTTAACTCTGCTCAGAAGTTTCCCGGAACATTATGAAGAGCATTGGGGTATTCAGAAAAACGTTTAATCGATATTTTATGACACTTCTTTTCTAAAGAAAGCGTCGGTTTTTGCGGGAAACTGCGACCAAAATTTATAATCAAAAGGAAATTAGTCGCACCTATTTTTCAACAACTTCCTTCTATTCTTTCGGTTTTTGAGATATTTATTATTCCGAGAAACTGCAAGGCTGTGTTATTTGTTCTTTCATCCTTTCCGATTCGTATTCACGCCCCTTGCAGCAAAAAGCGTGACGAATGGCAACGGATGACGCGTGCCAAGGACAATAACTAGTTTCAAATTTCGTTCTGTCACCGGAAATGCATTTTGCAACATCACATCTTCATACGATTATCTGATTTCTTCATCAAGCTTGTAAGTGGTGGCAGTACATTTTATGGGGTGCAAATTTTTCAAATTTAATTCTAGTTTTATTGCATATGTGATTATTTTTCAAATGTCACGTACTAAACTGCATCAACTGTTTCGAAGCGTCATGTTTCCACCTACATAGAAATTTCTGCATCGATTTCACAACTGACTATCAAATATCTTTATCCGAAACTTCAAAATTTTCTATCATTTCTTGAAGAAAAAGCCGCAGTTTATATTCTCTACTAAACGTGCTTCGAATTTTTAATATTCAAGGTTTTTTTGTGTTCGGTAAAGGGCAGGTGGGACTTTGAAATTAGCCTTGCCGCATTTCCATAAATGGCCATGAAATTACGATTTGCCAGTCGCGTATTTAAGAAGGTCACGATTCAGAAATATTTTCATTAAGAAAAAAAGCCTGATTTGGAAATATGAACTTCGGCTCACCCAAACAGTTTTTGGGTGGAATTTGCGAAAACAAATGGCATATAATTAGTTTTGTTTTTCTACCAAAGCGAAATGTTTGTTGTTAAACATGCTAATATCAAGTTTTAGACCATTTAAACTAGTATATTGTTTACATTTTGAACCATTTTAGCACTGATATGTTGTTTTGTTTACAACATAAACGATGGAGCACGGGAAGTTTATGCTGTCTATAAAACCGAACAAAATGCCATGAAAATATTCACAAATCTGACGTAAATTTTAAAGAGAGAAACTGTAGAATATAACGAATTTACCATTTCAAATTCGGTGGAGCATGAAAGTCAATTCGTATTTGACCTTGCCTCTAAGGTTTTTTTTTCTTTTGATAAAAGTCTCATGATGGAGTTGCTTAATTTTTCTTGGCCGATTTACGACTATCGAAATTTGGGATTGCAGAACCGCTTAAGTTGATTTTAAACCGTTTAAATTCCATCTCGTTGTGACTTTCTCTCTATCCTGAAAACAGAGGTAGTGACCATAGTCAGTTTCAAATATTAGTGTCATGTTTTGTTCATTTTCAATGAATTTGATGGGTTCCTCTTCTATATGGATCATTTTATTCAGTTTAACATGTGGACAGGGGAGGTTAGAAGTTAGAAAATGAAAAATAGGGACGAAGAAAAGCGACCACAAAGAACCCCTGGGGGAGAAACAAAAAAAGATGTCTGAGAAAGCGAAGGAAATTCTTGTCTACGAGAAATGCGAAAAAAAAAAAAAGAACGGGGCATAGATACCTTACACTTAGAGATAACATTGACAGTCCCTTTAAGTGTTTTTTCCTCAATCACGTTAACTGGTTCCGCATACAGTAAGTGGCATGGTCATATTGGTACAAGAAATACCACTCCCCTCCTGAGCCATACGAAACGTCAAACGGTTGTATATTTAAGAGGGTGTGTCATTAAATCAAACAGGAAACAATCGGAAGATGAAGCTTTAGACAGGAAAATTGTCTGAAACGGTATCTGAAAGGAAATATTTATTGACAAGAAGCCGACACGTTTGCGTCAAACGACCACGCGGTCTTAAACATTGGCACTATAACTCATCTCGGTTTGTTTTTCTTGTTTTATTTTCTCTTTCAGGTATTTGGCGAAGATAATTGTTGTGAAGAAAACAACTAAACCGTTCTGATCAACTTGGGTGGCCGCTTATGGGATAATCTGTTTTGAAGATACAATCGGGACAAGATGAGTAAAACCGGAAGTCAGAAGGATTTTTAACGTAATGGTCACGCATTCGTCAGTAATAACGCAAGTTAGTAAGGCGATAGGTTGACTTTTCCTTGAGATTTCCTTCAAATACTCAACGATGTAAATATTATAATTCAAGGAGAACTGGTCGGTTTTGACGGTGGAAAGTATGGAAGCTAGGAAAATTTTTTTAATCATTGAGATGAGGAATGCAAGACCCAAACAGATTAGAAACGTAACAGAAGTTTTAGGCGGGAAAATTTGACTAACCGCGTCGGCTGCCAAAGGGCTGTAAACAGAAGCAAATTAACGGCAATATAACCGGGTTTCCTCTATCAAATGTGGAAGAATGAATACTTGCCATCAATCATCGACTTTAACATCGTCAGACGCTTGTTTCACGCCGAACGAAGGCTCAAACGCGTTGCCAAGAAAAACGGGTTGGAGTTCCTCAACCGTAGAAATCGATCGCAGTTCAAAAAGACTCAGCTCGGTGGAAAATTCAGGACAGTATTTTAAACGTCAAAAGACGCCTTCTTCGTGCCCGGCGACGAACAATGAACACGTTTTTACGAGCGGAAGGCGGCCTTCAGCTACGGAATCTGAAAGGGACGAAGAAGAGGGTCTGAACGCGAATGATGTTGTGAACCAGAGAGGAAATGTTGTTGGCATTGGAGATGATAGTCCGTCGGCTTTGGACGTAAAGGTGAAAAATTTCATCTGCTTCTCCCTTCTTTTTTTAAATAAAGAAAAAATTGAGAATATGAAATAATGACAATTAGAACCATGTTAGATTTTCACACAGCCCCATACTTCGCTATACATACAGTTCTTGCATTGAATGAAGAAAAAAAATTATGTAAACAATAGATTGCCTTTCGATTACGGCTTTGTTTTACTTTGATATGGGGCTGTGCAGAAATCTTACCAAAACCTTTAAAAAAAAAAAAAAAAAAAAAAAACGCACAAAGAGACAATTGTGCTGGGTTAGTAACTATTTATTTGGCAATTACTTACTTACCCTAAATATGTTTTTTTCTCAGCGCGTGTTGTCAGTGGTTTGGAGTAAAGGAAACTTGGGTTCCTCCTACTATGATACAGAGACTTCACAACTGTATCTCCAAATGGATGTGGTAGAAACAAATGATTTTCAGTTTCTTAAAAGAGGTAATTATTGGAATAGGTTTGAATTCACCCTTTAACCCCTAAGAATGACCAAAATCAAATCTCTCCTTATTGCTTATCAATATCACTACCAAATCACAATGAAAGAGGCTCTTGATTGTTGAACAAATTCTCCTTTCGTCAGCACTGTAGGAAATGTGTAGAGAAAAGTAAAGAAACATGTAATTATTACTCATGATAGGGTTTAAAATGTTAATAATATGCATCCTAATGTTTGGATACCTCTAGCAGTTCACTTATTTGTGATAGTTGTTAACAGATAGCAAAAGATAATTTGGAGGGTACCTAAACCAACTTTCTTCTTTTCTAGTAAAAGAACAGGTGCAGGCCAGTGTCATCATAACAAGTGCAATACAGGATGAAAGATTGCTTAAGATCTTAAATGGGCAAGGTATGCATCATGCATGTGCGTCTTTGATACATGATTACATTTATAATTTATTATTAATTATTTTTATTATGTTCATTATTTTATTTGTAACTAATTATTACTCAGCCAGTGGAACTCACTTTATCAGCCTGAGGTAAGAGTTTATAAACCACAATCCAAAGATTGTTCTGTTAATGTCCAGAGTACTTTATTATTTAAGTGCGGTCCAATGCTTTTATAAAATAGCCTTGGGTTTGACAGAACAAGCATGATAACTTTTGACCAATCAGAGCATGTGTACAGTCCAAGATATTTAATTCACAAAAATAATGGTGGTAGTGGTCTTTGTTTTTATTTCAGAAGGTGAAAACAATGATGAACAAATTTGTCAGACAACAGAAGTTGAAATCCTTCCAAGCATAGATTTTTGTAAGTTTCAATGAAATTCAATATGTCCTATACTTAATGCTAAGGCGATGTAACTGAGCTTGGACAGCAAGGTTGGCATTGTTTCAAAGCTTGAGTGTTAAATTGAAGCACTGAATTAGAGATTTTACCCACTTTTTTCTGTTCATGGCTGTGTTGGCACATAATAAGTGATAATTACAAGGTTGAAACTTCAAGTAAGGTTTGTACTGTTTCAGGTTATTACCCAGAGATAACATTGGATAGGTATTTAATGGTTGCAATTACAATGTATGTCATAAAGCAAGGTGTTTTAGGCAGTTACTTGAGCTCCAATTTAATCATGTGGAAACTTGTCTTGTATATGCTCTACTGATCATGCATGTTTCCTGGCCTGTGTAGCTTATGAAGTTTGTAAGAGAAGGATTACTGCTTTGAATGCATGCCTGCCAGGAATCCCACAGCACTTTACAGAAAATGAGCGAGAAATACATATGAGCTCACTTGTCCCATTTGACAACATCAGCATGGTATGGAATGGAATTTTATACTCCTTGTCAATTCATGTAATTTTAGACTTTCTGTTAAATCCAAAAGTTTTGATAATTGCTTCAAAATAAATAATCTCCTTACCTATTCATAGAGTTTTTCTCTGGTCTTTTCTTTTTTTCCTGTTATCCTTTTGCATGTCTTCTGTGAGTCAATCCCTTCAGGCTTTCTTTTCCTTCCTCTCATCTCCATTTTTCCCTTTCTCTCTCTACTACACTTTTTTTTTCCATGCACAAGACCTTCATTACACTTTTGAGTGTTTTTTATAATGAATCAAACTTTCTTTAGGTGCGAAGTGCTGGTGCACTGATTAAATACATAGACAAGAAACGAGTTGGAGTTGAAATGGATGATCCTGAAGTCAGAGTCCCTATTTTGGGACTCAAAGTATTTTCTCTGTGAGTATGGTAACTTTGTGATTATTTGGAGTATTATTAATGGTGACCTACATGTAACACTTTATTCAATAGGCCTGCATGCCCTTACTGATGTTACCAATTATCCAATCAAATAAATCCCATGACACTAAAGACAAGCTGTTGCAACCTTAATCCTTGGCAGATTGACTAATATGTTTAAATTTTGCTCAATTTTTAATGCTGTTGGTTTTTCTTGGTGTGAACAACAATAGCATGATATGGTAATAGGTACCAAATGTTTCAAAATTTTGTGAGTCAAAGGAATTACACCACATCTGTATTTGGAAAAAAAATAGCCTGATCTTTTTTCCTGTTCATTATTTGCAGTCTTTGTTTTAGTTCTCCATCCTCAAAACCCTGCTTGTTTTCATGTGGTGTTTTCTTGGCTCTTTGGTGTCTTATTTGGGGAAACTATAATTATGATTATTGATCTCAAGATTTTCTTTCAGTTAACACTTTGTGACTTGCATGATGCTATTTATAAATTTGTTCTCACTGGACTACAATTAGTCAAACTAATTATTGTCATGCTTCTTGACTTTATGAAAGGAGTGATCTTCTCATTGTGGATAACAATACTTACAGGTTTGCAATTGCATTTATTTTAGACAATTGATAGCTTAGATCGCTCATGTGTGGGTCTTTCTATTACCCTAAAGCTTGTCATGCACTCACCTGATAATCATGCATTTTTTGAGTTATGCTCTTCAATGCAGCTTCTGAAGAAGAGAGATTCTTCAGATCCTAAAAAGCCTTAAATAAATAAATATTTATTCAATGAATAAATAGCTAAATACCCAAAAAATAAAGCTAAATAATTCAAAACATCTTTGAGCTCAAGGCCTGAAAAGGGAGATAACTTGTGAGCTATAGCTATAGCATATTTTATTTCAAAGCCAGTCGTATATAATACAGTCATTACAAAATCCTCTGTCGGTTGATTTTGCTCCTGTGCTTGTTAAAGTGCTTTGCAGATTTTTCAAAAGGAAAGTCATCCCTCTGTGTACAAGATGGGAGCAGGGAACAGTGGAGCTAAGGAAGGACTCTCTCTCTTTGGTAAATAATTCCGGTAACCTCAGTGTTTCACCGCACGTTCTGCACTGTCACCATGTTATCAAGCTTTTTCACTTAAAAAGCTTCTTTCTCTCTCATGATTTGCACAATTTGACCTGGTCGACCTATTTTGCGTACTTGTGATACTTGAAGAATCCTTTTTTTTTTTTCCTGTGATAAACATCATTTGAATTTAATCCCAGTGAGGAGAGATTATAGGAATTGATATCAATGAAAGAGATTTTAATTGGAACAATTTTCTTGCATTTGTAAGCGACTTCAATGATAATAAAATAGGGTTGTAGCGAAAACGAAGACCCCCGAAAACAAAGACCAGAAAATGAAGACCCCTTATTTTCTTCATTTAACATGATCTTGTTACGATTTCTCGCCGAAAATATTCAGCTCCGGTTTTCATCTTTTTAAGAGCGATGCAGGATGCAATTGAACACCGATTTTAAACAAAAAGACCTCGAAAACGAAGACCCGAAAACGAAGACCTGAAAACGAAGACACGAAAACAAAGACACGAAAACGAAGACACGAAAACGAAGACCCGAAAACGAAGACCCCGTATTTTCTTTTCCAATAATAATAATGGATGCGATATACGCTAAGTGCCTTTAAGAACCGCGTTCACTTATTGGATTCTTCCCAATGCTCACTGTACCTTTCTAGTCAGCACAAGTTCGTTTAAAATGCTAAGTTGACGGCCTCTCAGTCGATCCACTGACGTCAAAGCGCGCGATAATTCGTTTTTTCTTCTGTCGGCTCTTTTTCTGTAATTCGGAATTTCGTAAGAAAAACTTCTCCAAAGCTTCCTCGGCCGATGTGCATTTTTATTTGAAGCTTATTTCATTCAAACTGCGGCTTTTTGCTCAGAAGCTTTGGCAGTCGGAGTGGTGCTGACATTGCGCAAGCCGCTTCGCCAAAACCAAATAAAGAAGAAGCAAGGAAACCTACCTTCGCGCAACACTGAAAATACCAAATTATGGCATTTATCCAGCTAGACCGGCTTGTGCGAAAGAAAAGCAACGCTATAACACCTACTGGCGTCAGCCGGGTCGAAATTGGGAAACTCTAATCTTTAGTTAGAATGAGGACGTCAGGGAGCGGCGGTTAAAATATGGAAGCCAAACGCTGGTATTTTCGAAAATAAATTAAGAAAGCATCAAATAGGAAAATTAAAGGAAATAAAGCGATCTTCGGTTTAGTGTTTAATATAATCGTTTAACTGATGAATGGTCACGTTGCGAGCAGAGAAGTTGCGAAGCTTTTGACTGTTTTTTCATCGAGTAGAACATCTAGTTTTTCACTTCCTGTATCAAGGTCATGAAGAGGTCTGCGTTTTCGGTTCTAAGGTCTTTGTTTTCGGTGGTCTTCGTTTTCGCTACAACTAATAAAATAGTAATATTACGGTTGCTAGACCTTATATTACTATTTATTTCTGAAAGAGGTACTTCCTTAAAATTTTTGGTAATATAATTATTCAATTTGTCCTTTAGGCGTTACAAATAGAACAAGATCTGCTATTGGGAGTCATATGTTGAGGTTTGTCTTTAAACTCTTCGGGTATTATCTCACTTTTAAAGCTTCTTTGTCTAGATCTCTAAATGTATTTGCAAAACTGGAAGCTTTTTCTTCTGTGATTTTAGTACCAGAGTTCTAAGTGTAATCGCAGGCAGACCACGCTATGTGTTCGTTGTTAATAATTGTTGACATGAGACGAACAAAATATATAAGGGTAACGATTAAAGCCCAGAAAATTGCATAGCTAAATTACATCTAGGTCTGAATATCTCACTAAAGTTAAATTGTGTGTTAATCGACTCATTTGTGGTATTTTTTCGCCTCCATGGGCCGTTTGAAGCGTCGTTTTACAAAGTAACTTTTGGCCGGAGTCCTTTAAGACAGTACAGGTCTCCTCTTCTTCTTTCCGGCCGAAAGTATTTTCGTGAAAAGACGCTTCAAACGACCCAGGAAGGCTAAAAGATGTCACAAATAAGTCGACCTAGATGTGATTTAGATATGTAATTGTTAGAGCTTTATCCATAACCCTCATAGATTCTCATGTCAACAATTATTAACCCTTTAACTCCCAGATCAATTTTGTACTTCTCCTTACTGTCAACCATACAGTTCTTATAATGTTACTGAGTTCAGAGAATTTAGCTTTGGATCAACTAATTATCCCGAAAGTGATACTTTTCTTTATTGTTATCCCACATCTGGTTGATATTGTATTGATATTGTAGGGAGAAATTCTGTAAACATGGGAGATAAAGGGTTAACCACAATCACATATTGTGGTCTGCCTGTGGTGTAATTGCTCAGGTGATGAGAGAGACCCGTGTGCATTGTTTGCTCGGGCTAAAATTATACTTTGTGAGGTTTTCATCATTATACTAAAACCTTTTTTTTTCTTTTTCTGAATGGCCGATACATTTTGGAAAATGTATATGTAGAGAATGCATCTGCAGTTACTGTGATTCAATTACCTGTTTACATTATGCTAAAACATTTATATAGTGTCAAATCATTTTTAAAATAATGTATTATTATCTATTAAATAAATAAATTATGCATTCCTACTTTCTTCTTTAAAGCTTTATATTATGTTGTTATTCTTAACTGTAAACTGCAGAATGTGGTTTTTACGTCCCTCAAGAAACATCGATCTTCTACAACAAAGACAAAAGGCAGTATCTTACTTTGTGAGCCTTAGAAATGCAGAACTGGTGGCATCTCTACAAGATTGCTTAAAACACATCAAAAACGTCTCTGTAAGTGTACTGCAATGACAACCTCCCTTGCTTACAGTCTAGTCTAGGAAAACGTATAATGATATATGATGTCCATAACACTTTGAGACAGTTTTTTTACATTGTGTACACATGGTAAGGACAGACCCACCAATGAGTTCTCTGTAACTCACTGGTACATTAAATAGACAGCTTTTGAAGCTGCGACCGTTTTGGTCGTTACGGCGCGTAGGAAAACATTTGAACAACTAACGTAGCAGCGTAAGTCGCTAATTCGGCAACTAGAGTTCGGCGGGCACGTAAGAAACTGTAACGTTTTGATAAGTTTAACAGAAGCCTTCCTGGGTTTTCAGTGAAAGTGAAGTAAACATTTCCTTCAGATGTTGCTCATGTTCTGTCGTGTTTTCGTTTCAAATTTTGCGCTAGTCTCCTTGGTTGCCTAAGCCTCCAGATGTTGTGTGTCTCCAAAAACGAATGCTGCCTTGACTACAGTGTGGTTTAGTACATTTTCATATGTCTCTTTTCTTTTCTTTGTTTTTTACATTTTTCTGGCGGCGAGTTCGAAGGTAACTTTAAACCATCCTTCTATGATATATTGTATATTCGTTTAATTGAATTTCATTATCAAGGAAGTATATTTCTTTCACCATACAGGGAATACTATCAAGGATGACTACAGCTCAAGCATCTGTTGGCGACTGGCAAGCACTCTATAAGGTATCATTAGCATTACTATCTTATTAATAAAATACCTGAATTTCTAAAACATGATTTGTTTGATTACAGACGGCCTATAATGCAACTTACATTGCTGACCTTTGTAGAAGGATACCCACGGATGTTGCGATTGCCAAAAAGGTAGTGGCTTGTTTTCTTTAAGCTGCACCATTGCTTTCCTAAACTTTTTAGTCATGAGTTCATTTTGCTTAACACTAAGTTACGGTTATCATTTTAAGTTGTGCGTTGATGACGCACAAAACTAAATTTTCAGTTTGTGGAAGAAATTGCCAGTGATTTTGTTTTATTGTCCTACGGCTTACGAGTGCGCTGAGATAGACGCGGGGGCCTTATGGGTAATGCGCTGGACTCCGGGTCGAGAAGTCTGGGTTCTGGTTCTGTGACCTGGCCGTGTCACTGTGTAGTATTCTTGGGCAAAACACTTTACTCTCCCAGTACCTCTCTCCACACGCAGGAGTACTGGGTACCAGTGAAATATCAAGTAGCCTGATGAAATGCATGGGGTAGCAGTTTCGATGGAGTGGCATCCCATGTAGGGGGGAGAAGTAATACTCTTAGTCGCTTCTTGCCAAGGGAATTGACATATACTCCGGCTGGATGGGCCACTTAGCTCGTGTACAGAATCTTTTCTCACTTATGAGTGCGCTGTTTTCCTTAGATTGCTACAAGTTTTACAGATGAATTGCTTCAAATTGGAAGCCTGATGAGTAAAATAGTAAGTATACGTTTTCAGTATTCTCATCTGACCGGTGTTTTGTTTTTTTTGTTTTTTTGTTTTTGAAGTTGTACCCGCCTTTCCCTTTTTATATTCTAAATAAACTGAATTTCCTTTTTTCCCAGATTGACTTTGATGAGTCGACAGATCAAAACCGATTTGTTGTTAAACCTGGAGTTGATCCGGCTTTAGACGAAAGTAAGCACTGTTTTCTTTTGTCTTTACTTAAGATTAACTCTTTACATCTCAACATTAGTATTCATGCATATTTTCCACGCTGTTCTCTCTTAATTTCCTATTCAATAGGAATATTGAATAGGAATAACACTGTACTCTGCTGGATTGAGTTGCAAAACTAATAGAGATTGCCCTCTGACGATTGACTATGTAAAAATGCGCTATTTTACGCCAATGTTTTAGTACCTATCGCTTCTTTTGTAGTTCAGCCAAAACGAGCCTTTGTGGCCGCAGTACCTAGTGGCGAGAACGGATAAAATTAAAATTCGAGCGCGAAGCTCTTCCTTTTGGCCTTAACGAATCACATATCGCAATTCTCTAATAGCGACGCTGACCTATAAAGATGTGTTTTCTACCTGTTTTTGTTGTAGTACAACAACAGCAACAAAGTGTTATTTTCTTCAATTCAAAGAGAAAAGAACATACAATGGCCTACCCGACTTTATGACAACTGTTGCGAGAGAAGAACTAAATAAACTGAGCTCCTCAATTACCGAATGTAACGTCATTTACCTACCACAGGTAATTTTGACATTCATTGAGATATCAGAATTTGTTTTTCTTTGTACCAACGCATATTTTCCAATATTTTTTTTCCTATTGTTTTGACGTATATCTTCTCTCCACAGCTTGGCTATTTGTTGGCAATCCCTCGGTCACCGGAGATGAAAGAAGAGGATGATTTTGCCATGGATGGTTTAGAATTTGTGGTGAGATGGCTGTTTAAAGATAAGGCTTATATATAGTGGAAACCTGTATTAGGCGGACAACCTCACAACTGTAACATCACTGTTCCGTCTACCAACTCTTTATTCCAACTGATTTTATTCAGAATACTATGACATACTCATTCTACAAAGATCAGTGTAATGTAAAGTATATGTAATTTCTAAACCAAAGCCCTATTCCAGGTTTTGTTTTTCCTCCTAGTTTTTAAGCAACAACAGGCTTCACTACAAGAGTGCTCGCACTAGAGGTAAGAACTTTGACGATGCACCCTCCTTTCCAAGTTTTCCACCATGATTTTTCTCTATCAGAGTTAACACTTTTTTACATTTTATGTTTCAGAACTAGATAACCTTCTTGGAGATACACAGTGTGAGATAACAGGTTTGTTTATTAACCCTCTCCCCCTCCCTCACCGCACCCCCTCCCTCACCGCACCCCCTCCCTCACTGCACCCCTCCCTCACTGCACCCCCTCCCTCACCGCACCCCCTCCCTCACCGCAGCCCCTCCTAAGAGTTATCAGCATCTAGTTTCTCCTCACGGTATTACTTCTGAATCAAACAAGACGGCCATTACAACTGAGGAAATCATCGTCATTTTATAATGCTCTTGATTGTTAAACAGATTCTCCTGATTATTACCACTAGAAATATGTGAAGAGTAGTATTAGGAGTATGGATATTGATATAGAAAAGTGGAAGGTCAATAGATGAAGTCCTACTCCTCTTGGGAGGGATGCTTGTCCATCTCACATGACCTCCCACTCCCCCACCTCACATTCCCGGGAACTTCTCGGAACCGTTAAAGATTACCTTAAGTTCATTGGTTTTTTTTTCTTCAGATCATGAGACCGCCATCATGCATCGCTTACAGACTGTTATCCTAGAACACACCAAAGTGCTTATGGATGTTATGGAATGCTGTGCAGAGCTGGACTGGTATGGAACTAATTTTTAAAAGCTGCTTTTGAAAATTTGAAACTTATTGTTTTCAAGTGCGTATTTTTGGAATCCTTTTAACTTGTCTTTGCCATTTTTCATCATCTTTGTTCGGATATCCTCATATTCAAGGATTTTTTAATTTGGTCTTATTTTTTGGTTTCAGTTTAATTTCTTTGGCTCTATGTGCCAGGGAGAACAATTATGTCTGTCCCAAGTTGACAATGGATTCTGTGTTGAACATAGAACAGGGCAGGTGAGGTTTGTAGACTCTTGGTGTAAGGCAGGCTCGATTTTTAGCAATTGTTCGCAAAATTAGCCTGCACTCTTCCCCTTCACCATGATTATCTGAATTAAAAGAAAAAAAAAAAAAGCAGTCGCTACCATGACAGAAATATATCGATTGAGTATTGAGGTGCTAACGGTTGTTGGTATACTTAAAAGTAACGCGAAATATTTCTTAGAATACTTACCCTCACGAACGACTCCACGCAATTTTAGTACTTCAGTGCGACACAAAATGGCTACGAGCTACAACTTACATCTTTTTATTTTAAAGCTTCCCTCGTTGGGAATTTTATTTAAATTGATTTTTGAAAAGTGTGTGTCGTTACTTCAGGCATCCCTTACAGGAACTTTGTGTCAATCTGTTCGTTCCAAATGACACTGTGATTGAACAAGATAAAGAACGGATGAAGGTGTTGACGGGACCAAATGCCAGCGGTAAAAGTGTCTACCTTAAGCAGGTGAACGTAACGAATAGTAAACAGTGTGACGAATTGAGGCCTGATGGTTTGCGCGCCGAAATAAAATATGATAGAAATGGATGATAAACTAAGGGAAATAAAATACAGCTGTTTCTTTGAAAAGACGTCAAACGCTAAGGTGATCCTCTGTTCGATGTCATGCCATTCAACATCTTTTCCTTAATTTTTTCTCGAATTTTCGTCAATGTGCGAGGCGCCCTCTACTTAAGTCAAGATAGAAAATTACCCCTCCCTACCCTGTCCCTCTTTACAACTATGTTACGTTATAGGTGGATGCAGCCCTTTGTGCATGAACCAGTGGCCCGTTTCTCGAAAGTCCCGGTAACTTAACGGGCCTGTTAAGCTGCTCTGTTTTCATTCAAAATGGTGGTTTCAAAGTTTTCAGTATTATGCAATTAAACCAGCAGCTATAGAAAGTCAGTGGACTGGTTAGGGTGTTAGAGCCTGCTTCTTTGTTCTTTAACTTTTGATTTGAAACTATGGGACTACCGAGACGATTATCTGTTAAGGAAATGTATAGAGAACAGTTTGGATAATATGCATATTGATGTTAGAGAGTAAAGGGTTTAGAAATGTCACCTTTAGGAAGGGCCACATTTCTTAGGATATAAATGTTGACGGAAATTCTTTTCTTTGAATTTCAGGTCGGTTTGATTGTATTCCTGGCTCATATTGGAAGTTTTGTACCGGCAGAGTCAGCCACTGTTGGCATCACTGACAGAATTTTTACACGAATACACACAAGAGAAACTGTGTCAGTTGGCTTGTCTACGTTTATGATCGATTTAAATCAGGTAGGTGATTGTAATGAAATTTAGTTGTTTGAAATCATCCGTATGAAACTTGCAATCGAAAAACGAGAAAATCACAGGTGCACCCAATTCTTTATTTCCTGGAAACCCGGCTGTGGTAGTTAAGCACTACCTTGAAAAAAATTACGCGCTTCTGATTGGCTGAAAACTAGTGAATTCTCATGTACGCTTCAAAATTTCGTTGGTCTTGACTTTCTGTGGTGTTTTTTCATGTACATCATTAACAAACAATAAAATGCTTCTACTGGCAATTTGGTGAAGAGGCACTTGTAAATTTTTCAAAGACTACAAATTGCACGAGCCCGTAGGGCAAGTGCAATTTTGTTGTCTTTAAAAAATTTATTTGTGCTTATTTACTCCAAATTGCACTCTAAATGATGCTACTACCTATAAAAAATCGATTTTGATAGTTTGTTTGAATGATTTCCTTTGGAGTAAGCAGGCTTTCATTGTTAGGGACCTTAAGCAAATCACGACGGCTCCGGCAACGAGGACGTGGCAAAAGATCTAACGGGCAAAACAATAGCCAGCACGTGAGGTTTTAAAACTTTGTACATTTCTTAGTTGGCCTCTGCAAAACAACAACGTGAAATCACCCAAATTTACGTCGTCTGCGAACGAAAACTGCGACCTCAACTTACTTTAATTTCTATTTGGAACTCAACGCTGCTTATACTCGTTATGTTGAAGTTTAGGTGTGGCACCGTAATAGATGGTAAACACATGCAGCCATTTTCGAATTTCTAACTAAAAATGGAAATGCGTCTTGCAATCGTCGTTTTCCTTGGTGTTGCCGTCGTGGCTGCTTAAGGTCCCTATTAATAGCGCTTAAAGAGTGCGTTGCTCCGCTCGTGGGAACATTTTAGATGAGTCGGAGAGAGGTTTGCCCGGGGTCAGGCACTAATTATTAGTTACTAAGCCCCCATACTTACTTTTTTGCCGGCGAATAAAGGCTCGTGCTGAACCGCTGATAGTGAGTGCCTGCTTACGGGCTACAATCAGTGACTAAATGGCTTAGACACTTTCTTTTTATCAGTGTTTGACAAATTACAACCTTTACCTCTTTATTCCCAACTCGATCTTATTCATCGATTTTTCTTGCCGTTAATCGGGCATAACAGTGAATAGAGGCGAAGGAGAGGTAAAGGGGCAAGAGGCATGTAAAAAGTTAAGAAGACAAAATGAATTATTTATGGTTATACTATTTTAATAGTGTCTCTTTTACTTTTTTGGGCTCTAGTAGGTTTTAATTCAGCTAGGCTTACCCCATCTGTGTTCGTTGATGAATTTATAAACTTCCGCTGCCGTCTATAGCAATGAGAGGCAAATTAGATCCAAAAGCGGCCGCATCTTTATGCCACGTGTTTATTTGCGCATGATACCAATGACATGCAAGTTTGACCTTGGAGCCTTCATCGTTTCAGTGTTACTTCCTTATTCTCTAATTCGCTCGGCTTTTTCTTTTGCTTTTAATACTAGAACAGAAAATTTCTCCAGCTTCCTGACCTTTCTTTTTCGTCAAGTTTGATTAAAATACATTTCATCATTTGTCAGGTGGCGACTGCAGTGAATGCTGCCACAGAGAATTCACTGGTCATCGTTGTTTGACCTTGGAGCCTTCATCGTTTCAGTGTTACTTCCTTATTCTCTAATTCGCTCGGCTTTTTCTTTTGCTTTTAATACTAGAACAGAAAATTTCTCCAGCTACCTGACCTTTCTTTTTCGTCAAGTTTGATTAAAATACATTTCATCATTTGTCAGGTGGCGACTGCAGTGAATGCTGCCACAGAGAATTCACTGGTCATCGTTGATGAATTTGGAAAAGGAACTGCCACGGTTACTATAACGACAGTTTTGTTTATATGATAAGCTGAATGTCACACATAGTTAGATTGGTTCTTATGATCGATTGGAGAAAAAGACGCGTGGATAAAGTCACCATTAACTACATTTTCCTTTTTTATCACATAAAACAAATAGATCCCACGCTGCCGTGGATTTGTTCAGTAATAGATCACAGAAGACGTCAGAATATGAGAAGAACATCAGTGACACACCTGGCTGCGTTTCGTGCGCCGCTTCCTTGTCCTTACCACATTTGACGTTATCTGTGGTCTGTTACTAAACAACATGGTATCTATATTTTAAAATATTTATCCTAAAAAAAAACATATTTTCACGCAAATTAACCAAAATGTGGACTGTACTGTGTACGTTAAAGCTAAATTGCTGCTCAGATGTTGGAATTTAAGCTCGAACCCGTGGATTGTTTTATTTCCCTTTTTTTTTTGGTGTTCCTTTTTTATTTATTGTGGTTTTCCTCACGGAATATTTTCTCAGTGAGGTCTGTGCTATGTATAGAATGATATCGGTTCCATTTAAGTGACGAAATACTATTTAAAAGGTTTTCCCTTTACCCACGACAAATAAAACAAGGAAGTAAAAAATATGGAAATTTCAGTTCCACAGAAAGTGTTAATTTGAAAACAAGGAAGTGATAATATGTTAAAGAGGTGACAGATATAATAATAGATAAGTTAATGAGTTTTGGTAGGAAGAAGACAAAGCCCCAAAATATCGTGACGATTACCCAAAAATATGCATCTCATTTGCCATAGCCTGCAGTTAAAGTGTCTTATTAGGACGAGCTAAAATACTGAGCACTCGCTCGCCAGAATTACACGTGTTATACGGGCTACATTTGCCAGAAAAATGTACGCATTTACGGCGTCAAGAGCGGGAAAAAGGAAACTTCTAATCGAATTTTCTAATAAATAACAAGAAGTGAACGAAAATTACCACCAGAGTCGTAATCCTACTCCTCTAAAGCTAACCGGAAGTGAGTAATTTCTTTAATTTCTGACAGTTAGGCTTCTTTTTCACTTTCAACTATGGAATCCTCTCCTTTTTATCTTTCTCCATTCACATTCTAGCTTTAAACGCGGACAGAAAGCAAAGATCTCCCTCCACATGCAACCGAATCAGGAGATTTTACGCGAGCGAAATTCAAGCACCAGGATGTTTTGCCGCAAGAAACCCCTCGGGAGTCATTAATGCATTTATCTTGACATGTTACAATAGGCTATCTGCACTTTGGCGGGCCCAAGAATTCAGTTCAAAAATATGTTTTTGTAAATAACTCGCATGCGTTTTCCTATTTTCCCAATTTTTCTTGGAAACTATAGTTAAAATAATAATGCTTTGTTTGACATGAAAAAAAAATCCAAAAAAATTGGACCTCGAAAGTCTACCGTATCCTCGAAAAATTTGGACATTTCGATGGGAGATAAGTTTACGAAGATCTTTATTTCAATCAATGGTTATAATTTACTATCTTTAGCGTGTCCAGGAAGTGCCAATGTTCATTAAGGTCGTTTTTAGTTCATGATTGACGTAGCATCTCCTTATTTTCTGACTTTAGATCGATGGTTTGTCGCTGCTGACTGCCATTCTTCGACACTGGCTGAGACAAGGATCCAGTTGCCCAAAACTGCTTGTCTCGACGCACTTTCATAGCCTTGTGAAACAAAAGCTCCTACCGCAGACACCTCTGGTCACATATCAGGTAGTTTTGTAATATCCATCGCAAAGTTGCAGGCAGCTGTATCACATTTCACTGACATCTCGAAGGGTCATGAATGCACAATTATACTTCTGGCATGCGTTGTATTTTTCCTAAAAAATGGCGGGCAATTTCTGACCCTGCAGCAATTTTTGTTGGTACACTTAGCAAAGAAGACTGTCGTCCGGATACTAGCTTAATAGCGGCTTTTTTTCCATGATCTAATGGTCATAGTTTTTAGATTTTAAAAGAAAACAAAACTCGCTCTTTAAAGTAACTTCTGCCTACAATAAACAGATAAACAACTAAAGAAATTAATTACAGTAACAACAACAAATAGAAATGTCGTCCCAGGTAGGACTTAAAAGAAACTCATACCTAGGTAAAAGAGTTTTAAAATCCGATTATCTACAACCTAGAAATAAAGTCAACCGCGAACGCTCTAGAAGCCCCCTTCTCTAATTACCTCTTCCAAACAAAAACTTAAGTATCGTCATTCATTTAAGCTTTGAATCGTCTCGGTACGTAGTGTTATTGCGCCACACAATATAAAGGCAGTATTTTGTTCTTTTTATTTTCCTTTGCAATTTTGTACGACATCATTAGACGATGCAAGTGCTGGAAGAAGGCGAAGACGTTGCGTTTTTGTATCACCTTATTGATGGTTGCGCCGAGAGCAGTCTTGCATGCCATATCGCCTCCTTGGCTGGCTTGCCCGATGAATTACTTAAAAGAGCGCAGCAGGTTTCTAGCCACTACCTGATACATTAATCTAATATCATTTCAAGTTTATTGAAATATGTCTTGGTATTAAACAGAACAAGAATATGGTAGATTTTTGAGCTCGGTGAATTAAAGATGTAGATAAATAAGTTTTTTCGTCTTATCACGAGCGTGAGATAAAAGACAAAAAAAAAAAATTAAAAGGGGTTCCTTTCCTTTTGAGGGGACTCAGAATTTTTCTCTTTGTCCCACGCTCGTTAAAAGAGAACAAAACTTCTTTCTCTTTATTGGTACAGTAAGCAGGACTTGATAATCTTCAAGAGTCATAGACGTAATGGCGTAGTGCATTGTGGGCCCGACTCCGGATCGTGAGCTCCCGGCTCGAGCGCTAGGAACTGAAGGAACTGAACGCGAGACACTGAACACTCTTCTTTGTGCCTTTCCCCCCACAAGAGTGTAAATAAGTAACTGCAATCTATCAGGAAAACGTAATGAAAAAACTGGAGGAGCCTCCGCACTGGACTCAGAAAGTTAATTTGTTTAATTTTTTTTTAATACGATCGTCGTAATTTTTTTCTTCTCTGAAGGTGACAGAACTTACAAGATGCAACAAACCGATCCTTCGAAAGGACACTGCAGATGACGAAGAACAAAGAAAGAGGTTCAGTTTGGCATTTCTTTCTTTCATGCCATGACTCTGGCCACCACTAATTTAAAACTTTACGTGGGTAGTGTCTTAGTGCAGTTTCCCAGCTGTATTTCAAAAGAAAGCCGCCGAATTGTTTACATTTAATACGAAATCTTTAAATTCCGGTATATGTAATTGTCTTGGTTAGTACATACACAGAATAAAACCGGCCTGCGCGAGCTTTTATTGGAGTCGAGAATCGATGCCCCGTACTTAACTAACAAGTGAACAATTTACACAAATGTTCCTCAAGAAAAAGAGATAATTTGGATATAACTGTTGGAAAAATTCCGTAAAACTTCCTCGCCAATAGAGGAAATTTTTTGAGCTTTCAAATTTATCTATTACATAATTTTTTTTATCCATATTTTTTGTCTTGGTGTACGGGTGTTAATGTTTGCTTACGTCAAGCTCTAAAGTCGAAGTCTGTGGTTAGGATTATATACTTTGTTCTCCTAGAAATATTGTCTGTGCACAGAGTGTTTTCATCATATTGATCCTTTTGTTTCAGACACAAAGCCATCGTCAAGAAATTCTTGGCGTTGAATTTGGATAACGAAGACCCTCAAGCTTTTCTGAGAGATCTTTTGGAAAATTTCGATGATGAATGATTGTATCTCAATTTCTCGAAATGCAAGCTCATGGTGTGATGTTCCCAGGTGGATTTCCGACTCTATATTGCAAACTCACTGAAAGACTAAAAGCCAAGAGCTCTTGGCGAAAAAACTAACAGTGCTTGAATCCGTCATATTATATTCTCGTGTTATATAACTTTTGGTCAAGTGTTCACTTCCGAGGTTGCCTCGTGACCTACGATTTCATGACGAAAACCTGAGTTGTACGATTTCGTGAAAGAATAGCTCCGCTCTGAGAAGGTTCAGCACGTTTTTTCAGTTTTGTCGTCAAGTCTTGCTGTTTTTGTTATTGCGGCCACAAAAGCATGTTTCCAAGGAGTATTTACTTCCGTTGTCCTTTTTTAAACACCACATTGCATGGAGTGACGTAGGATGACGTAAGGTCATCTATTTACGATTTGAACAAGGAAAAAGCATTGATCATATGCATTCCCACTAACATAAGTCGTGTCAATTATGTTGATCAAGTTAATTTCGATTGCCGTTCGTCAGGAGAGAAACGTGGTGAGCTGCTCTTAAAAAAGACCACCCATCGTATTTTGCAGAAGCGAGCACCAGCGTTTTAAACTTTCCAAGAACATGAAACACTGTAAATGTCGACTGGCTCGGAAGACTCATCGAATTTGCTTCGAAATCGCTGTGTTTGGCGCCGCCAGCGTGGGCAAGACATCGCTTATTCGACGATCTTTTGTTGGCGAGTTTTTCGAGGAATATACTCCCACTATAGAAGATTACTACAGCCACGAGATACAAAGACTTGGTGGTGTAACCGTTTTGAACACCACAGACTGTGCAGGATGCTTTCAGTTCCCAGCTATGAGAAAACTGACAATTCAGAAGGCCGCTGGCATAGTGCTGGTGTTCTCGTTAGACAGTGAATTCTCATTTCGCGAGCTTCAAAGATTGCTTGACGAAATTATCAAGGTCAGGAGCGAGGAAGGAGTACCGATTGTTGTGGTTGGTAACAAAAAAGACTTAAATGTGCGAGAAGTCACGGAACAAGATGTAGCAGAGTTGATAAGACTTTACAGCTCGGATAAATTCCAACTTCGGTATGTGGAGACATCAGCTAAAGACAATCTTAATGTGTCAGAAATTTTTAGTCAACTTTTGACATTTCTCATGCCCGAAGCACCGCCAAAAAAGAAAAGCAAATTCAAAATTTTTAACTTCAAAGCGAAAGAGAAGTGCAATGTTATGTAAATTATTTCACAATTTTTACAAAAGCTTTTGAAAATTAAGAGATTGTTCGGTTACTTCAGAGGCGCCATACTTGTAATATATTTAATGAGATTGTTGTACTTATTTAAATTAGATTGGAGTAATTTATCAATAAATGCGATTACTGAACCTCTCGTTTTCGTCTGATTATTACTGACGACGGTCAGGAGTGAAGGAAATGTTTTCCCTAGTCGAACAAGAATGTCAATAATGGTTGACAAGTCAAACAAGTATAGTAAGGCTCCTTTGAAAATATGAACCGAAAGTCGGTTATAACTCAGTTAACAAATTGCTATTCCCTCACGCAAAAAAATTTCTCTCTTTTAAGAGCGAATGAAGTGTTAATCTTATCAGAAATTAACTCAGTGAAAAAAAATCGGCTTTGGTTTTGATTTACTCCCACTGAAACCTTGGAAATTTTTATCTTCGGCTTAAATTTATCGTTAGTTTAAACGGATGTTTGTTTTATTCATTCAAGCATTGATAATAACAAAAGACATCCACGTAAGAAAGTAGATGACATCTACTTGTGACTAATTTATTCCTCCTAGTTCACACGGTATTTTCCTTCAAAGCCAACATTATTAATGGACTAGAACAAATCAAGGTGAGAAGTTTTGCGAAAGACACGTTTTAAAACAGAAATCGTAAAAACCTTCTTTTTTTGAATTTCTGGGTTCATTTTCAGAGCTATTCCAAGAGGACATCATGTAAACTTACTCTAAATTTACGCGAGCTTTCAAACGCTTGATTGAGTTCTGTGTGCAGCAGGTGAATCGTGGCTTAAATTTTTAATATCGGTCGTTGAAACTCGGACAATTCCAACGCTGAAACGTAATTTTGCCTAAAATTACTTCTTTGTCATGCGACTAAAATGTTTCGTTGTTAATTTTATCATTTTCTCAGATGTGAATCACAGACATGAAATGATTATCTAAATTATAAATTCACATTCGATCGGAATAGACATTGTATCTCGTTGGGAAGAACTTTGACTGAGTTAAAATTTGAAAAGGAATATTTCAGAAATAATTATTCTCTGATTTTTCTTTTCCCTTAAAACTAGTTCTTCCTGTCGGGCTATTGTGTTGTCTGAACATACTTATTTTGGCATGCGTCTCAAGTGTCGTTGTCAACAAATAATTTTTTAAGGCCGTTTTATATCGAAATGAACCACCAATGTTTTTCATGATTGTCACTTGCAATGAAATACATGGTAACATCATACTTTGGTATCTCTTGGGGAAAAATGACCTCGATGAGGTATAAAAAACATTCAGTCACGAAAATCTACCTCACGCGAGATGAAGACTCTATAGAATTCTCCTTTTTTTAAACCTTTTGTTTCTTTATCGCAGCTGAAATTTAGGTTCAATATGACTTAAGTCAAAATTTAACAATAAATATTAATATTGTCCAGTATGTCTGCTGTGGTAAATACTTGCCTATATTTACGGTGGAAAATATTCAACTTTGAGTAAGTTTACATTCAGCTCGCGATTTTTTTCAAAATAGTGCACGCTTTATAAAAGTTAATGTCTCCTTATATTCTCAGTTCATTTATAAAATTGTTACAGGTGAGATTTCTAGATATGCTGTAGATGTCGACTCATTGTGGACTCCAAGAACATTCGAGACAATTTCTAAGAAAATTATCCTTATGACTCTTAAAACCGACAGGCTTTTTGATGATAAAAATAGAATGAACGACACAAGTTTATTTCCCGTTGTGTTTACAACAGCTTACGTATTGGTCTACATTTATTTTTAAATTAAGGTATAAGTCATGTAACAATTGCCTAAGACAGCTGTCTATACAGGGAATTTACACAAATTAATTTTCGGATTTATATTTAGTACCCAAAGATGTATTCATTGTCACGTTCTGGCGTTAGCTCACGTCCTAGAAGAACAAAGATTTAAAATTACTGGTGTTGTCCTACTCTAGTCTTTTTATCACCGGATTTAGTGACTATTTTGCGACCTTTAACCCTCTTAAAGCGTGGCAAGGAATATATCCGAAACCCTTGTCAAATTAGGAAAATCACTTAACGATCAGGAAGCCTTCTATTGACTTAGTTTCTCACGCGGGGTTTCCCCTGCCAAGATAATAAGGGAAACCCCAAAAAGTTGCGCGTTTGTCTTTTTGAATTACTCCTCTTCTAGTGAATTCAAAATGAAGATTTGGTACAATAGAGGTTATCCACTATCGATTTAAACTGAAAATTGGGACTGATGAATAAAAGAAGAACCACAAACCCCCATTCCTGGCGGATGTAAATTCGATTTTACCGACTGGTTTCCACAAAATGCCGTGGCGGCTTAAGGTTGAAAACATGTTTTCTTCCTGCGTCTCTTAAAGGGTTTTTTTTTTTCAGTCAGATATGAATAGCAGACGACCCACGATTTTATTAAGACTTAAGTGAAGCTATCGCCTTGAAAGGAAGTTGAATGTGTGGTAAGGAGACGGGGAGAGATTATTGACGTCAATGCGAAGTCATTGACGTCACTACTTCAACAGGGAAAACTCAGGCCTGGGAAAAACTGGACTAGAGTAGAAACAACAGTAATAATGCACAGCGGTTGTAAGTTCAACATGGCAGCCGTCCGGGGCCTTACGTGGGATAAAACTCATCATTTTCTTCGTGGTTGCTGTGTTTTGACTAGCAGGATTCCGGGCAATGCTAGAGGTATATCACAAGAGAAAATGCATGTTCTTACATCGGAACACGGGTTGTTTAGAAAGGTAAGATTTTCCAGCTGTAAATTTGCTTCAAGTATTGTGCTGCTGTAAAATCCTGGCCAGGTGTTGATCACTGATAGTTCTGAGACTCATGTATACGATGATCGATGTAGTTGATTGTAGCTCAAACGATTTCTTCTATTTTAGATTAATTTGAAAATTTCTAAAGTGTGGCTTATTAATTTCGATCTGAGAAGCACGGAGAAATTTCAATTTCGGAAAACAGACACTACATAAAATTTTGGTGAAAATCAACTCAACCTGATCAACGGCAAGAAACTGAGGCTAAGGTCTTAGAATGACTAGCATCTAATTTCTCCATACAATATCACTCCTGAATCAAACATTAAGGTCATTAGAATTAATGGAATGATCACACTAACTCAAGAAGCTCTTGATTGTTGAACAACTGAATTCTTTTTGTCAGCACCTTAGAAAATTTATAGAGAACAGTCTTGAGAATATACATACTGATGTTAGGCTGTAAAAGGTTAACTGGCTTGTGGTTCAGATAAATTTGCTTAATCTTTGTCAACCCTTTAAAAATATCAAGGAGGTGGTGTTTACTCCAGAGGTTTACAAACTTGTTGCTTTTCCTTTAAGGCAATTAGTGGTTCATTGTGTACTCAAGGTCCATTCAAAGTCATGTCATTCTTGCGACCAATGAGTAGCCAATCACAAGGCAGCTTTTTGGTAGACCTTAAGTCCAGCCCATCATCAGCTTTATATCTTGGCTTTTCTGGCGCCATCCCTTTCTGCAGCTTAGCTACCATGGCATTTATTTCTCCAGAACACTTAAATCTGATTGCTCATGCACAACAAGCATATGGGGCATGCATTCTGTCATTTCTTGGCGCAGTACATTGGGGTTACACCTTACCAAAGACTAGTGAACTTAAACCAGACTGGAACACACTTGGATACAGTGTAACTCCATCTCTCATTGCCTGGTTGTCCTTACTTATGAATCCTGCACCAGGACTGACAACATTGTGTTTTGGGCTTGCTGTAGCTTTGTGGAAAGATTTGAAGACAAGTTGTTTTCCCTCATGGTACATTGCTTTACGAAAAGCTCTCTCAACTTTGGCAGTGACTTCAGTTGGTTTGACTGCTGCAGTCTTGTATTTTCAATAGTCAGACATATGTGACTCTTATAGAGAGGTTCATTGATATTTCTGTATAATTTTGTGAAATAAATGAATTGTAATTTGTTTGCTGCCTTTTAGTCACAGTTATATTTTGGAACTAACCTCTTCACATGGTGGAACTTGGGTTACAAAGGACATTGTAGAGCCTTTTTGTAAGCACTTTATAATTTGATGATCTGAAGACATTGTCGAAAGTTTATTCACCCTTTAACTCCCAAGATTTGTTACAAGAATTTGGTGTTAGATCTAGGTAACAAATTTTACCTGATAAGTTTGAGTATACTCATTACCTGTTTACTGGAAAATGTATGGATCTTATAGAGAGAAGTGAAATGTAAATCATTTTTGGGACATAGTTTGACGCTACTCTGGTTTACAGATTTAATGAATGTAACCGAAGATGTTACGATTTTTTTATCTTTTATCGATGGGTGACATGTGAAATTTGCCTTTATGAGAGCTTTGAAGAGCTGAACGACTAAGATTTCTGGAATTTTGTTCAGGGGTTCTATCTTAGCATTTACTATTCTTCATACAAGTTTGGTACATCGTCTCAGAGGGAGAAAATAAAAATGAGAAAATTATCAACCGTGGAGATAACTTGACCATTTTCAGAAAGAGAAAACAAGAGCATCAAACTATGTCTGATTGTCCACCTGGTTGCCGTGTGAACTTTAATATATTTCATTTTTGGGAGTTAACCCTTCAACTCCTAAGAGTGACTAACATCTAATTTCTCCTTACAAGATCAGCCTTAAATCAAACATTAAGGTCATGAGAATAAAGGAGATGATCACCAACTAAAGAGGCGCTTGATTGTTGAACAAATTCTCTTTGTCAGAACCCCTAAGAAATGTCTAGAGATTAGTGTGGAGAATATGCATACTGATGTTAGGGAGTATAAGGTTAAAGGGTTTGTAAGAATTTTGGAACCACTGGGTTTATTAAGTTTTGTATATTACCCAATAAAAAGTACTGTATAGTAGCTAGTGAGTTGGAAGCACTACCATGAATTCAACTATATAGTAAAAATATAATGTTGAATTTGGTCCATTCACTCAAGATTTAATGGAGGCCCTTAACTTTTATCGATGGGTGACATGTGAAATTTGCCTCTATGAAAGCTTTGGAGAGCTGACCGACTAAGAGTTCTGAGGGGAGAGCTTATGGAAAACCGATGATTCCAGAAAATTCTTCTATTTCATCTGTCTTCATTGTTCCATCACTTTGGTCTCATCTATTTTCTGTTATGTATCTTTTTTACTATTATTTCTAAGTTTGGTTTGTTGTTTTCTCTTGGAGTATATCTGGGTAGTCTTAAAGGTGACAGCACAATCCTTAGCCAGTCATCATATGGAGAAGTTTTAAATAGAGAGGAATAATTGACCGAGTTTAGGCCACTCTTTTTAGCCTTTTGTAGAATTTCGCCGTCTTGGATTGAATTTGGTCGTCTATTTTTATTATCATATGATGTTCATTTCTTCTCATGGTCCATGTAATGGTGTAATACTGGAATTTTGTTCAGGGGTTCAATCTCAGCATTTACCATTCTTCTTACAAGTTTTGTCCATCGTCTCAAAGGGAGAAAATAAAAATGAGAAAATTATCAACCGGGGAGATAACTTGACTATTTTCAGGAAGAGAAAACAAGAAATGTTTGCTTATTGTTTAAAAGAATTTTATGTAAGATATTGGGAGTGAAAATCCACATGATGTCTTAGTTTTGCCCATAACTAGATAGAGCACAATAACATTATGTTTTAGACGTTTACAAATGTTATTAAAGGTTCATAGTTTATATTCGTATCATAAATCATTGTAAATGCTAACCCACGAAGTCTTCATTTTATGCAAACAGTACATTGAAATTGATAAAGGATTACTTTTAAAAAGATGGGCTTTGTCAGTACTTATACATTAAATTTTTTTATCATTGGAATATCTGTTAACTTGTAAAATATCACTATATTTAGACGTTATTGTACAAATTGTAAGTATACAGTACTACTTGCTTGTAGCCCAGCATTACACGCGCGTGACGTAGGCACGATAAACACACTGCACATCACTACACGCACCTGCGTGTGATTTAAGATGCACGTGTGTGACTGTTAATGTCCCCGAATATAAGAAGCTATTATCATAAGTACCTATTAGCAATTTGATGGGCATATCATCGCATATTCCTCAAACACAAAGATTCCCTACAAGAGTTAATTAAGTAAATTCAGTTTCACCTCTTTCTTCCTGTGAAAGAACCGATATTTGACTAATAATCTTGTGCTCAATGTTTCCGTGTTTGTTTCTATCAGAAATATTTTATATTTACCTAGTTCTCCACTAATCTAAGCGTTTTTTTTCTCTTTTTAATTGGTTATGGTCAGGCTTTTGGTGGCGCCACGATGCGAAATCTAACTTCGTGTACAACTAGTGAGAAACACTGAGCTATGTCGTCGGTTAATTTTCCGCCGGCGGTCTCCCCGTGAACCGAGATTTCTCCGTGGACCCTCCGTGGTATCTTCATATTCAGACTATTGATACCACTTTTCCTCTTGGTTTTACCGTTCGTGAACGAATATTAGAGTGTTTTGAAAATAATGGAAGCTTTTGCAAGACTTTTCGGATGATGTGTACTATAGATGGCCCCGGTCGACATATCGGCCGACAGTCGACCGATGTATCGGTCGACTATCGGTCGATAGTCGACCGATAGTCGGTCGATAGTCGGCCGATAGTCGATCTATATATCTACCGACTGACGGCCGATATGTAGCGATTAACTGCCAGTGAAGTATCGGTCAAGTATCGGTCAAGTATCGGTCAAGTATCGGTCAAGTATCGGTCAAGTATCGGTCAAGTATCGGTCAAGTATCGGTCAAGTATCGGCCAAGTATCGGTCAAGTATCGGTCAAGTATCGGTCAAGTATCGGTCAAGTATCGGTCAAGTATCGGTCAAGTATCGGTCAAGTATCGGTCAAGTATCGGTCAAGTATCGGTCAAGTATCGGTCAAGTATCGGTCAAGTATCGGTCAAGTATCGGTCAAGTATCGGTCAAGTATCGGTCAAGTATCGGTCAAATATAGGTCGACGATCGACCGATAGTCGGTCGACAAGTACCTTGACAGTCGACCGATATATCGGCCGACATGTAGACCGAGGCCACCTACAGTACACATGATGCGACTATTCTACGGTCGTCTTAGCCTCAACAAAGATTCATCGCACTAGAGATCACGGCCAAAACTAAAATATTTCTATACTCAAGGAGAAATTGTTTAATAGGCCGCTGTGCCCGAAAAATGGGCAACAACGCGAAAGCCAAACACACGATCTCATCAGTAATTCTCCTTACTGTCTGCCGTACAATTCTTATGATGTTAGTTCAGAGAATTTGTATAAGATGAATCAACACTCTCCTAATTGATATTTCTTTTTTTTCTCATCACCTTTCTGCTTGATATTATATCGATATGGTAAGGAGAAATTCCTTCTTGGCCACTCATGGGAATTTAGGGGTTAAAGGCGGCAGAAGACCGCCGATAACCGGCTTTTAATGGAATCTCCAGTTTTCCAGTAGTCTCCTTCTAACCGGAAGTTGTTTTACTCCCGCAAACAAATAACTCGTTGACAAAGCTCTTAAATACGATGCTTTTTCCTCATTTATTGTTGAAGTTACAGCCATTTCTCAAGAGTTGCAACAAGCTTGACCCACCACCCGAGCTCATCGATCAGCAGAATCTAATCTTCATCTATTTTCCCCCCGAGCTGGCGATGGATCTCTCGATCTTGGTGTAGGGTACGGCTGAGGTGTTGACAGCCTCAGACGAGGTGTCGTCACATGAGATGATTTTGCTACCAATTCTTTTTTTCTTTGACTTAAGTTCGTGTTAATTTTTGGTTGTATATTGAATCTGGATCTTCTCGTCTTTCGCTGTTGCTTTGGACTGGTGGACATACTGCTGGTAACGCTGGCTGTGTCTGATTCATCGTCCACGATTTCTGGCTCAGGAGGCTGTGAATAAAAGTCATATTTTCAAAAGTCATACCCTAATAAGTTTAAATGTAGTATACGTCCAGCCGCTGTTCGGCAAATGATTCCGCGCTCCCTCCCGCTCCTTATCGGGAAAATCGGAGCTCGCACTCAAGGGAACGTTGCAAATCGAGCCCGTAGCCTGTAAGGCTGGCGAATAGAGAAAATGATTGGAAAGTTTACCTAAAATCTATTAATCGCTAACTAGCACTTTGGAAACAAATCGTCAAAGGAGAATGTGTTGTACTTACATCATCCGTTTGAACGAATGAATCGTTCATCTTCGCCTTGTCTGTTTGTGTGTGAATATGACTTAGTGGTTTTCTCTCTGTTTGGACAATGCTGTCACTCAACTTAACACTTATTGTCTGTGTGTCGACAGTCGCCACTGGTGTTGGTTCTTCCGCTTCCGTTTGCATCATCAGTTCTGCAGTTTCGACTTCTGGTTCCGGTTCTGTTAACATGCAAGCGCTCTGGGTTCTGACGACGACTGTTTGTACCTGGGATGTGTTGTACAAGACTTGCATTGTTTGAGTGTACGCTGCCGCTGTTGGAATCTTGGGTGGGTCAATGTAGACTGTCTGTATGTGAGATAAATAATGGAATATGGCATCTTCTCTCAATCTTTTAACTCCCACGACCTGATTGTTAATTCTCCCCTCTCGTTCCTATACATTTCCTAATAAATTGGCTACGAGAATTTGGTGTTACATCAGGATAACAACTTCTACCTGATAAGTTTGAATATTCTCATTACCTGTTTGCTAAATACTGTATGAATATAATAGGGAGAAGTTACATGTTAATCACTTTTGGGAGTTATAGGGTTCATTGAAGATTGCACAACTATTAAGGAACGCGATGATCCTTCCGGGTAAACTGAACTTAAAAATTGAACAAACAAAAACCCTGAAAAAATCAAGGCTACGAATGGATTCGAACATGTGCCTCTCTGGCATTAGTTAGGCGCCACCCAATACCCACGGCTTCAAATCCCATCGAAGACTGAAATCCTCTTCTGGTAAACCTTTCCTTAAGGAAGATGGAGTCTAAAAAATATACTTGCCTCGGTTACAATGCGAGTCTCCCCTTCTTTAGTTCTGTTTGGTATGTTGTTGACCATGTAGTCCCACTCATGGGAGATCGGCGCACAGGAGTAGGGGCCTGAGCACGAGGCCAGTTGGGGTCTGAACTTCTTGGGATTAGCACATACATCACATTCACAGCCGCCGCAGTTGTTCTCGTAATTGTTGTCATGTCTCATTTCTACATCATTGTTTTCTTCAGATGCGATCTGTGATTTCTTTTGGCATTTCTGGGCCCGTTTCAGCTGTTGTGAAGAAAAAAAACAATACCGTAATTTTAGTCTAGGAGATTTCCGAGAGAGTTTTTCCCTTTACGCTGGAATACTTCAATTCACGGAATAGTGTTAGTAACAGAAAAGATATTCTTCTGTGTCCAGTCCAATAAAGGCATTTTGACTAACTTTGATCAGAGCACAAAGTTACGCTAAGTTGTCTCTCATAAAATCACTCCTCTCTTCTTCAAGTTGGTCACTCTGATAGATATCGAACTCGACCAAAAGCCCATTACTACTCCTGACTCGACAAGTTGTGTTACATTGATTTTGCGCTGAACCAAGAATTTTCTCAATTTTTTAAGAGCATCAACAAAAGCGAAAAAAAAATCATGGGAAATCTGAATTTAAATGCAAACTTTTGCTCAAATATGCTCTTTCTACCCCAGGGGACTTTACATATCAATAACATGATTGTCGTCAGATTTTTCTCGTGGAAAATAGAATAGACACTTGGGTTTTCAGATGAGTCAAGAGAGTTGGGATTCCTTTATTTCCCTATCTAAAGAATTTCCAAATCCTTACTAGGAAGAAGGGGGTTGTGGAGGCAGACACATGTACCCCAAGGTCCCACAACGCCACGCTCTCGCTAGTGTCTGGTCTGCTTCGCTACCTACCTTCCTCTTACTTCTTAACTCCCTGTGGACCTAATTTTATTCTCACCTGCGGAATGACTCCAATAATCAAGAGTGCCGCTGATATAACGATGATGATGAGACCTGTAATACCATAAAAGGGATTGGGATACTGTCGCACGTGCATTATTATCGGAATCTCGATGACGCACATTACACTTGCTATTGCCACACACTGAGCACAGTTTCGCGTGTTGTTACACAACGGCATACACAGGTGGCGTGCCGGCCAGGCTGCTAAGGCGCCAATCAGGAGAAGTACTCCCTTGGGAATGAAGAGGAGAGCCAGCGCTCCCATCTCATCGTCAGAGATGCATTGTTCAACGAGGACTGTTCGCTCATGGTACGGACGGGGTCTGGATACCTGTCGAAATTCAACAATTGGGTCGGGATGTTGGTTAAGTGAGCACTTACTGAGGTTCGCAAATGCGCAGTGATAGTACGAGATTTCAGTCGCCCCTTCAAATGTTTTGGTACTGTGGCCTGAGTTCGATTTTTTTCCGGATACTTGCAAAGATGAATAATCATGTCTCATGGGTCGAGTTATACAAATTACAGGTGTTTGTTTTCTTCCTCGCTCAAAGGGATTTTTGTTGGAAGGCTCTACTGGAAGCTTGATGGAGGATTCTTCGGGAAGACGAATTCCATTTTCATAACGTTTCTCCACAAAACCAATCTTTCGACCCGGAAAAAGTAACGAAGTAAATACCACAGTCATGCAGCAATGGACGAACCCAGCAAACCCGTGGATTACCCCTGATAATTTCCCTGCTGCTACAAAAAGGACCGTCCCACAGTTGTTAAATATCCAATTTAATGTAAGTCTAAGAAATTTTTAAGGGTCAGAATTATTACATGAGGTAAATCTGCTGTGGCAGTTTTTCCAAAATTATGGGTCGAGTTCAAAACGTATTATGTAATAATTAGCAGATAATATTCCTCTTCTTTAGTTACTTAGTTATGAACTCATCTCAACTAACCTCTCGCAGAGTTCTCACTGCACGGGGGTTAAAAATAACTTGCCACGTGATCAACAAAATGACGTCACAAATGAAGATAATCAAGGCTATGAAATGCATCCACATCCATGGAACCTGAATCAAGAGTGAAATTTCGTCATTGCCAGAAGTGATTAACTTGTAAATCCTCCCCACAATATCAATACATTATCCAGCAAACAGGTAACGAGAATACTGAAACTTACTAGGGACAGGTTGTAATCTTGATCAAACACTTCATTCTCGCAACCAATTACCAAGGAAATGTGTAACAGTTAGAGGGGAGAATTGACAATCAGATCTTGGGAGTTAAAGAATTAGGGGGCAAAGCAAACACATGGGAATTTTGGCGATGAAAGGGAAACGGATAATCAGCATAAAGTGGAAGAATGTTAAAACACTTTCAAGAAAAGCGCGAGAAAAGATGTGGTCTTTTTTGGTGCGAGGAAAAATGTTATCGTCGAAAAGTGCACGGACGCTATCCATGTAACCATTGGATAGCGTGGTATAATGGGAAACCTTGCATTGCGTGGGATCAATCTTATAACCTCTGTGCAGCGCGAGAAAAAGCCGGCCAAGCAATGGTTACCTTCAGAAAATTTGAATTGAGCACACTTTTGGTGATTAGTTTGCGCATTCTGTACGGATTTTACAGGAGTTTTAACTGAATGCTATAAAAGAGAAAATAAGGTAAAAACCTTGCACCCACAAAATTCTGACACACCGTGAAAATGATCTAGCTTTTCATTTTAGCACAAGTTTTAAGGTAGAATTTTCGTCTACCATAAAGTACACCTGCGAACCTTTTTTATCGTTAGTGGTCTCCTTGACACAACTCTGAAAGCGAAGAGGACTCTGGGAAGTACACTGCCGAGACAAAACGTGAACCCCAGGCTGAGAAACCAGGAACGTGCCTGAAAATGAAATCGATACAATGTCGACGCCACGCAGCAAACAAGTTAGACAATGTTTCTTCCTAGAAAAGAGAGTTTTTTCATTGGTTTCTTTGCTCTCGTCGAATGTCGTTCGCCAGTATCCTATCATAACTGCCTGTTACTCTGCTCAATCGTTGGTAAATATTTTCTCTTAGGATAGAAACCTCGAAAGTAGACACGAATTAGTATAATTTACCGTTTATGACAAGAGGTTTACGGAAAGACTGCGGGAATGATGACATATTGAGGACAGTTCGGGGGAGTTCATCAGGAAATCTGTCTATAACGAGGAGGGGGAGCTATCTGTTTTTAAAAATAAAATTTAATAGAGTCTTGACTCATTACGTTTTCCATAAAAAACGATTAAAACTTTTTTTATTTGCTTTCTAATAAACCTTACCAGCCCATTCCTTTGCATGCGTGGTTCCTTAAGCTCATAGCAACTTTTAACGTGTACGTATGCTAACCTGACAAACCCACTGCATCAGTTCAAAGGAAACAAGGGCACCGTCAAGTCCAAACAGCACAACGGAAAGAAGATTCAGCATGCAGCCAAAGATGAGCAATTCAGTGAGGTAAAAGCCAGAATGGTAGATGACTCTGGATTGTTTTGTATTAGGAAAAAATGTGTTTAGTGACATTATGAAGGAAAAATAATTTGGTTGTATTATGCAGAAGAAATGAAATTCACTGTAGTCGCGCGGTTATAACTTTGTGCAAATTTTGGTTTGGCCTCAATGCATCAATCTGCATATTAAGAAATTCCTTTTGCAGCGCTTAAACACTCTCTGGTGCAAGTTCCTAACCATTTCGAGTTTTCATGGGTGGCTCTCTGCCTAAAATAAATAAATTGGAAGCATTTTAATCAGCTAAACATTAGGTATCGAATGAAAAAAAAACTGAAGAAACCGTCTTTTGGCTTCTTTGAGAGCGCCGCTTCCTATTAGAGGCCTTTAGCAGTTACCACTGTAACGCCAAGGAAGACGTCGATTATTAAAAAATGAATACATATTTTAGTTGGAATTTCGCGAAGGACTGAATGCAAGTTAACCTCAGCAGAACGTATGAGAGCGGCGTTGTGTTCCAAATGGAAACTTAATTTATCTTTCGTCGAGGTTTCCTTTCTCGGACCACGCAAATTTTGATAATTTCACGTTGTTATTTTGCAGAGGACGGCTAAGAAATGTACACAGTTTAAAACGCATGTGCTGAGCTATTGTTCTGCTCATTAGATCTTTTGTTTTGCCAAGTCCTCGTTGTCGTCGCCATCGTGGTTTGCTGAAGATCCCTACTATGTTTTGGACACGATGAACTAACATTTACTTGAAGGAGGCTCTAGCTTGTCTGAGTACCAGCTTAGTAAGGCAAAATAAGCACAAAAGAAGAAAAAACCGAGAGGCGAAAATAATGGCAAATAAAACGGGCTGCGAATAATGACTTTAACAAAAAAAGAAAGGCAAAATTTTCAAAATGCAAAGGCAGTAGTAACAAACGAACTTAAAATTGAAACCTTAAAAATTATTTCGATCTACCAATAGAAATTAAATGATTGGCGACTTTTCCTCACCTATGTCGTCGAAAAACTAAAAGTAAAGCCAAACAAAGAACACAGCAAACGAGAAGAAATCCAGAGATTAAAGACCACGACAGGAAGAGAGGAAGACTGATGTATAACCACGAATCTGTTGAAGATTTCCTTTGGTAAGGTTGACCGGCTGGGAATTGAGAGTAAAAATGAGGTGATGAATACATAACTTCTCATTACAATTCTAAAACAGTTATACAAAGACAAGGTAAGAGGAATGGAGACATCAATCTGTTAAAGGGTGAACAAGCCAGAAGGAAAATTAGTTGCAAGATCTTGGGAGTTTAAAGTGTTTAGAAGAACTCTTTAGACTACTTAGAAGCCGAATGAATAAAGGGGGTAAGTTTCTAGAGAAACAGTGGTGCCGTATCGATGGGAGAGTATAACAGGATATTTTAGTTTTATCAACTGAGTTGATAACATAAATTGGCCACCGTAAAGAATTGCGAAGCTGACATTTCGAGCGTAGACCCTTTTTCAGAGCTCTCGCTCTGAAGCTTTTGCTCTGACGAAGGGCTAACGCTCGAAACGTCAGCTTTGCAACTCTTTACGGTGGCCAATTTACGTTATCAACTCAGCTGCTAAACCATCTTACCCTGTTATACTTAGAAGCTAGACTGCTTACAATCGATGAACGTTCGGCGTAAAGAAAAAACCATCGAAAATATTTATTATTGAATTAGTTTCTATTCTCTGCTGTCCACCTTTGAAGAACCGACAGTCCAACAATTTTTTTTTTGGAGACATGAGCCTCCAGAGAAGTTGATATGACTTACCTGGCCAATTTACATATTTCAAAACCGCTGGTGTACCGTTTCCTGTGGAATCTCCCCTCAGGAGAAGGGAAGGGGGATTGTAGTCATACACACCCACTTCAAAAGAGCCAGCTGGACGAAAAGGGAAAAAAAGATAACAATGAATGCATTTTTTTTCTAAGAATTTTTTTTAACCTTGAAATTAAAGTATTATCAAGGGGTTTGTTAGAAAACGCATACATCTTCTCTTACGAGAAAGAAACAACATTTGAGAAGTGAGCTGATGCCTGTCTACCTACCAGATTTCGTGAACTGCTGAATGAAAACTGTGCACTTCCTGTTTCCATTCTCATCAAACGCGACTACACCCTATAACCAATCAAAGATAGATGGAAATCGCTTCAAAGACATTTCATTAACATAATCACCACAAATAAATCACAAGCCATAAGATTTTGGAAGGCAAATAAGTGACTCGCTTGCCTGTGGCTAATAGACAACCTTTTCTTTTATGGTTAATTTTCGGTTTTGTTTGTTTGTTTTTTTTTTTTTTTTAAGTTTTCGTTTCGTCAACTGTGATCTCTAACTAAGTTGATGCATAACAGCAGCTATTCTCTTACATTTGCCCGTACGTACAATCCTTACCGACGGTCCCGTAAAATGCAATTGGGCTGCCTCTTCCTTCAACAGCTCGCTCACCATGGGTCGCCCGTAACCAAGGTCGTGTAGTTCCATGCCCCACGCGGTCAATACTGGCCGAGCACGCTCAAGAGTAACGGCAATCGCCCACATGGCCTCGTAAGCAAATGGCGCGTAAGTACTACGGAACGAAGGTGGGATTCTTTGATTGTAGTGCGTAAAGAATTTATCTGTTGTCTAAAAAATGTAAGACGCAAATTAGTTAAGCGCGAAAGTGTATTCTTTGTTATAAGGCTGTAAAAGGAAATGGTTTCGGAGGCAAAAGCTGCACAGTGTTGAAAACAACGTGTACCTTTCCTGACACTAAAGTGTCGTTGATTTCATTCTTGTAGTAGAAATTGAAGTGGTGATCTAACGCTTCTTCCATCTGTGATCTCGTGCAATCTAATTTTGTGGGGAGTTCAGGATTCCACCAATCAGAGGTTATATTAGCATCCGGGGTAGATGTTACCATCCAGACGTAGTTTTCGCCGTACATTCTGTTTCGATAAGCCTTAAATGGAAGATTTAATGATCGACAGGTATTATTGTAGGATAAGATATAAACTATTGCCATACTACTCCAGAGTGCTCTGAGTGAGCTTTTAATTGTACACCTGAGAAGCCATTATCAAAAATTATCACTCTAAGGTGTGAAAATGAGAATTAATCGAAAGAATTTGAAAACAGGAACCTGCTAATAACCTAAAGAGCTTAATTGGTCTTAAAAGCTGTACTGTAGAGACTGAAAATCTACTAGCATTTTATAGCTTATTTTCAATTGTAATTCAGCAGTGCAGTTGTCTGAGAATACCAAAGGTTTTAAGCTTGTTTAATTCCAAACATAGATTCGTTTGCAAGGCTGACGCAAATTGCACAAAAACAACCTGAAACGCATTTTCAATCAGATGGCGCGTAGTTTAAGAAAACTTAACGATTCGGTTATCTTGCCCAATATCTCCAAGGGGAATATAACGATGGGGGAACATTTTCCTTCGCACGAGTTTAGCCACAATTACAGGCTTACCTGACAAAACACTTCTCTTGCTCTGGAGTGATGAAATGTACCAATGATAATGTGGGCTCCCTTGTCCTGAGAAAGAAAAAGTCAAAATATCATTTCTTTTCCAGAGTGTGCAGTTATTATGAAAAAATTAGAATCCTCTCTCTGATCTTCTGGGCTCAGCCTGGGGGGCCCAGTGTAGTGAAAAAGTGAAATTAAGGGCTTGACTGCACTAATCCATTTTCAAAGGAGTCCGTTTTCGTTTTTCTTTTTGAACAAAACGGAGCAAAATTGAATTTTTTCCTCCCTCAAGGGCATTTACATTTTGACTCAGTCAATTGTCCACTCAGCTGTGTTTTCATTTAAAAACATATACATTACAGCAAGCCTTAAAACGTGAATTACTTTCTGTACCTTTAGGATTTTGACAGCAACTGCTGGATCTTGTGTAAAGCCTTCATTTGCCACGATTTTGCTCCCATTGCCTTCCAGACTTTTAGCTAGATGCTTGCTTATCTATGAAGCAAAACAGCGTCATTTGGATCAGTCCTTTACGAATTTCTCACTTTAAAACTTCGTCCATTAGCGTGCGTAGCAAAGACTCAGAAATATGCACACCACGCAAAGCAGAAATCCTTCGAGCTCGTTACTTCTAACTCGCGTATACATGTCCGGTTCACTCGTACCCGCTTGAATCGAGCGGTTCGGAGCGGCTAAAGAAGGCGCGTTATGGCGACAACAGTAGTAACACTAAGTTTCTCGGCTGAAAGAATAACATAATAGACAGATGGAAGAGCATTCTGTGGTTAAAGCAGCTAAACTTTAAGTCTTCAATTTGATTTTATCGCCACAACCACATTCCACAGGTGAACTTTTAAAACTAGCGCCTGTTTATGCGCAAGTTTCAATCAATGCATAGACGAATGATAACACAAACATGCTGGGACATTCATTTGACTGTAAACTCACCAGTGAGTAGTATGGTGACGCGTCATAAATCAAACCAATTTCGTCCTTCCAGCCAAATTTATTGATAAACTGCAAACGAGGCTCGTTGAAGACGAATTCTGTTGGAACGGTGCGGAAGAATAAAGGATATCGGTCTCGTTTGGTTGTGAGCTCCAGGTCGGTTGCTCCATGAGAAAACTGCAAAAAATATAAATATTAAAACGGTATCTTTAAGGCCAGTTCGCTTAAAAATTGAACATTATCATTCTCAGAAAAAGACTCGATTTCTTTAATTTGAGCAGTAACGACAGCTTCACTCATCAGCAATAACACTTGACTAATTTTGATACCGTCAAGAACGCCCTTTTTCTGGAAATTATATTTTTTTTTAGTAAAACCTCCTTAAGCGCTAGTGTATTCCCACCACCCCCCCCCCCTCCTCATTACGAAGAAATCGTACCCTCCGGATGTGTTAGAGGAGATCTGGGGGTCTGGGGTTAGAAGGAGGGGGGTTACACAGCATGTATATCAAAATCGCGGGCTGAACGGTGGCTTTGAAAACACCATAGGCGAAATATTATAAGAAGTATTCTACTATGCGTTGGGTGTCTTCGGTGTTAAACCTCTCAATTTTTTTTTTCAGGGTTCAATTAAAGATCAAGGAGATGATATTTCTCTTTAGAACATTATTTGTTCATCCTCAGTGGCGAGTGGGAATATCATATGGTAAGGTCATTCAAGCCCATGGTAACACATTAATAATGTAAGCAACTTTCGATTTTCTTACCTGGCATTATTTCGTACTTACAGTCAATTTAAATGCCTATGTACTCAAGTAACCAAATGAATTAGATTAATTCTTACCTGTAAAATTCTAATCTCACGCAGTCCGGCATATGCAGCCACTGTTTTGGCCAGGTCATCATTAAATGGTCCAAGGATCATAAGCTTTTTGGGTGGAGTGTTTAAATATTCGTACAATATTTTGGTTCCTTCGCTGAGACGGCCCTGAAAGAAAGACATTTTGTGCTCCACGTGAAAAGGAGTTTTTCAATCACCATATTACAGGCAAGTGAGGTTTCTAGGACTTTGGAAGAGGAAAAATTATTGTTTAACACTTTAAAACTTTTCTGGCTTGCATTTCATGCGTGCTGTTAGGGCGAGTCGCCGTTATAAACTCGCGATCTTTTATCAGGGTGGCTATGTTTGATTTAGAGTTAGAGCAGACGGTGGGAGGGGGTGAGAAAGGTGAGAGATTTATAAACATTTCCCCACCCTTCGCTTCTCCTTCCTTTTGACCGTCGTGAAAATTGTTAAAAAAATCTCTATTTCTCCCTAGGCTTCCACTGCTGTAAAAATCAAAGATAGCAGCTATAATTTTCGCTAAGAGAATATTGAGCATTCACTAAACAAATTCACGTGATCTTCAAGGTATTGTTTCTAGACCAGGACTTTAGAAATATTTCCGTTTCAAAGAAAATAAAAAAATGCCTCGTCAGTCGAATTCTTAATTTAGACAAAACCTCAGGGATTAGATCCCCAGCAGACTATTTTTTTTCATTTAATTTTAATTTAATTTTTTTTATAAATTATTATGAAATATAAACATCTTATAACTCAATGGTGGTTATAATGAAAAAAATATCCTATTAGGTAATTTATGAGTACCAGAGAAAATGCATTTTTGTGACTGAAATTTATAAATACTTGTTTTCTGCAGCAGCCCCGTTTACAATGAGCATGCAAACGACGTGAAATGAAAAAAAAAACTATAAAGCCAAAAGAAAAGCTCAAGAACAGATGTTTTAAGGCTTGTAACAGCAACCCAGTCCAAATAATTGTTTTTCCAGACAAGCATCATCCTTTTCGTTCATAATGCCAAACAAAAAGAAAACAAAGGCTTCAAGTTGACTGGAGTTATTCCAAATACAGCCTTAAAGAGTCGTTATTCTACTTCCGGTTGATGTGCATAATGAACCGGAAGTTCAATTAATTAATATCAGTCTTTCGCACGCTACTGGGTCGTGTTGCAAAGTTTTGGCAGCTTACGTAGGGGCCAGGCATTATTGAATTGATTCCTGTGGGGGGGGGGGGGGAAATCGAAGTATTTTGGCTGTGTAACTTTAAAATTTTCCTCGTCCCCCCATGAGCCTTTGAAGTGTTCTTACGACTCCCCCCACCCCCCTTTATTGGCTGTTTATTTTCTAAAGTTCCCCCCTTCATACTTTGTCAGCAACGACTGACCCCCTCCGTTCCCAACAGGGAATAATGTGACATCCCCCCCCTTATAAAAAAAGAAAAAATGCCCGAGGTATTAATTATCTTATCTCCGTTCTCAGCTTATGCAAATGAAAGACAAAGCGTTGTTATTACATGCTGTCATCAATTATCAATTCGCTTCGTCTGAGTCGGAGACGTTTTTTCAATTGCAAATGCGTACAGTATGTTTTTAGATGATACCGGCAAGTTTCACTTACAAGTGTTTAATATAATTGCAAACAATTTTTTACTATGTTAACAAAAGGTAGGGAGAGCGAAAAATCACCAACAACGAAACGACCCAATTACAAAGTTTCACAATATTGCTTTCAGGGCAGACGATCAAATTCTTGGAAATATGCGAGTTTTAAGGTTAACTGAAGATAAAGAAAAATCTTCTAGTTTTTTTTACACTCGAGTTATGGCACCGAACTGATTAATTTTACATTTAGTATGTTTTTATCCGTATACAGTCTAATTACAACAGGTCCGTAGTCTAAACATATCAAACGAGTGGATTAGGGCGCTGTTGAAATTACTGATTTTTTTGGTGATAAAAATGTCTGTATCTGATATGAAAACACAGTAAATGATATATTCCCGTTTACTGAAATAAAGCCGATGGCTGGTGTGTACTTGAAAGTCGTCAATTTAATGTCAGAGATAACATTGAAAACTGGGAATGCATTTCCGAATCATTAAATATTAAAATTGGGCGACTTTTTCTGTCATGAATATGGCATTTAAAGCTCAGAAAAATAAAGCTGAAATATTTACGAATCAATACAGATTAAAATTTAAGTCAGTTTCAGTATAAATGAATCTGTCAGTCTCTCATCAACTCACAACATTCGGAAATGCCAAAAATGCCCAAAATGGCGACGAGTAAGAGTACCAAAAAAATAGATCCGCAAAAAGCTTGTCGTTTAATTTACAAAGAAAAGACTCGAGATTTGTTGCGGTCATTAATGCGCACAACAATTGGCTACAAATCAACCGAAGGAATTGTTACTAAATTCACAAAGGAAACCCTTCGAAAACAGCTTGAATATTCACTATTCGACGTACATTGAATTTGGCGTCTTGTCACAGTAAGACAATGTTCTCATTCAGTTCACAAATAAAACACTCGAAACGGTTGAAATATTTACAGATGTATGCCAGCTTCAATTGGACATTTTCGCAGGAGACCAACCTGCATTAACTGGCTCAATGAACTCAGTGACACAAAAGAACCGACTAAAGTACACACAGAGCCCACCTGTTCGTTATAAACAGGAAAAAAGAAACAAAATCTAAACTATACCTTTGTCGATTTGTGATGGTGAAGAACAATTTCATAGTCCGCCAGGTATTTTGAATCGTTGTTGATTTCTTCGACGGCCATGAAGGCAGCGTCGAGGCAGCCTGCTCCATTGCGAGAATCGCGATCGAACAAACCAGCGATGTGCAGTTGATGCTTCACTCGAGGAACAGTCGTCGGTTTAACGACTCCCTGAGTATCGTTGAATGTCACCATAGCTCGGATTGAGTCAGTATCGTTAAAACCGCACACGAAATGGCGGTTTAAAGTGAAGTAGATTAGACAAAATATCCAGATTTTAAACCCAGGATTCATGTTGACAATCAGCTGAAAATGTCATTTACATCCTACAAAATGAAAAAGAAAAATTCTGGGTTGTTTTGGCGGTGATCATAATAGTTATTCTTGGGTTGTTTTGGCGGTCAGAAGATTGATAGCCGCCGTAAGCCTAGTTCTTTTCTTCTCTTAGGTTAAGTGTTTTTCCCTTATTCAAATACGCATTTATACTCTGTACCTACCAGTGTCTTCCAAAAATCGATTTGCCATAAGGATTGTCAACGACGCTGTCGGCCAAGAAAACTCATTACCATGGCTTCGACGACTTATTTCAGTTCTGGATAAATTCATGGGATTAACAATTTATGATTCAGCTCATTCAGCTAGAGAGAAGCCCCCTTATCAGCTTCTTTTGCAGATCCCGCAGGATTACTAATTTTCTACATCAAAACGTAAACACTCGATAAACACTTTGGTATTGAGGTGTTTCTTCTCGAGTGAAGGACTAAGTACAAATACAGGTCTAGCTGGAGACGGGCATAATAGAAGGCAGGAGGGGGGGGGAGGAGAGGGGCTACTTTTAGTTCTTCCGCTCTTCTACAAGAGTGAGACAAATTTCTTTAATTTAAACGCTGTTTGACATGAATATACAAGGCTTTTCCTAAAGCGGCCCTTTTTACTGCGAAAGGGGACACCCTGTTGTTGCCAAATGGCCCGGCCGAAAAGCCCATCCTTGAAAAAAATTAACCTCACCAATCCCCCATTCCTGCCCCCTAATGGCGAAGTCTGCTTGAAATTTGTGAATACGATAAGTTTACATATCAGTCACAGCTTGTTTAAGCTTTTCTGAATTGTGTTATGAATTATTATGAATTATTATGAATTTTTTATTGCTGAAACTCGATATTGCAATAGTGACCGTGATTTTTAGGTATTCTTCTTTTAAATTTAATGAAGGACTAAAAAAATTGCAACATGGTTTCCTTTTTTTTTTTTAATCGTCGAAAAGTCTACAATAAGTAGTTTTCGATTATTTTAGCAAAAAATCAATAGGTGAGTGACAGCTGCATATGATAATAGACTAAAACAACTTGAACTTCAGACAGTCGAAAAATTTCTGCACTTTATATTGAATTAATTTGAAACGGCGCCCAAAAATTTCAACTTTGCAGACCATTAAATCTCCAAAATTATTTCGAAGATATCGGGGCATCTTGATTCAATTTGAGTGTCAGATAAGGACGTCAGCTTGGAATGTATGATTTGCGTAAAAAAATGGAATTATGAATGAAAGAGTAAACCAATTCTAGTTTCTTAACAAGCCCAGCTTTCCTCTGATTTTGTTTCCCCAGAGGCGATATTTCCTCGCTCTATATCAGATTGGCAGTAAACAACAGAAATATCGTTTTCTTTATTTGGTGTTAGTTTTAAGGAAGGGTTTGGTGAAAATTTGAATTTAAAAAATAATTCAAATAGTAAGCGCGCTCTGATTGGCCTTAAAACCATTTTACATGAGTGTATGTAAACACGGTTTTCGTCCCTCTTTCATTAGTTATTCTATAAAAGAAATGTAAAATGGTTTCTGTGTTTATATAGCCTGATGTAAACACTTGGGAGGTTGGGAGAACACTCGATAAGCTGGAAACCAATTCGCTTCGCGTCGTGGTTTCCTACGCTTGTCTCGTGTTCTCCCAACCTCCCGCGTGTTTACATCAGGCGATGTAAACACGGAAACCATTTTATATTTCTTCAATTTTGCAGATGGAAATAAACATTTTGAAAGGTGACAGCTGATAATCTTTCCTCTTTTTTTTCCTTTACTTTCTTTTATCATTTAAATTTATCATTTTCCTAACTCGGATGTAGATTTTTCCATGTGAATCGAAAGTTGAACTATTTTCGATGCCGCTATGTAATATTAAATACTTTCGTGATTCGTTCAAATATGCGAATTTTACATTTTTATCCGCGATAAAAGGCTCCTTTACTAAAAGTTTTATTGAAAAAGAGACGCACTGTCTGAAAGCGAAGAAGAAATTATTTGAAGTAATTGTCGTATATCATTTGACTCAAAAATTTTGAATAAAAAACGTATGGTACCTCACCGGATCAAAGGGAAACCCCAGCTTGGAGTGAATAAATTCACAGGGCTAGTACACATTTTATTGAAATCGATTTTATTTTTTTCCTTAAAACCCGAAGACTTTTTATGAAATTACCATATTGTTATTTTTTACAAACAGTAGCCATGTCTCTGTACCATTTTCACGAATACGTTTTCTGAGTTTAGCTGTGTGAAATTTTGTGGCAAAATGTTTTTGCTCGTATAAAAGCAGAACTAGGTACGTGAAGTTATGTGTCTTTCGTAAGCTAACATACGCGCCGAGGTAATCCTTCTCGTATATAACTGAATCACCGTACAATGAGCCTTTGCCGTAAGGTTGGATCAGAAATAATTGTGGCCGTTTTGTCTCTGAATATAATTTGCGTCATGTTTACATTGTCTGGTACGAGGATATTTTGCATAAGTACATCATTGCAATGTTTGTGGTGATATTTAATGGATTAAGTGCATTAACTTCATGCTTGTTCATAAAAATATTATCCTGGACGTTAAACAGCGGTGAATCGCTACTGGCAGTTCAAAAGGCAGAGGAAAAAAAACGAATGTTTGAATCTCCGACTTGCAAACAGCGTTCTCCAACTGGCACGCGAATAAGTTTACTCTTGGGAAACGGAATTTTCTAAAAGAAAGTAGCGAAGAATATAATGTAGGGAATCCTTGCGTTCAACTATATCTTCTGCCGTCATATTGTTTGTGTCCTGTCAGTTATCTTCTTTCAGATCTTAATTGAAGGAGTTTTCATTTGTGTAGAAGCCAACTGGGACTTGTTAATCGCACGGTACGAATGCATTGTGTTTGCCAATTATACGGAGCGAAGACACGCTCTAGAGCACCAGATTCAAAGATCTCTCAAAAGTCTTAAACTCGTAATTTTGATGTAACTGTAGGAGAAGAAGTTTCAGGCGTCCTAGTTCATCTTAAATTCGTTTGCACACATACAAAGAATTATTTGGAAATCACAGTTTAATCGAAGTTTCGAATTAAACTTGTGACAGTCCTTAACGTTATACTTGCATCAGTGAACATACCTCTTTAAGAAGTTACTCCAAACCTTCCAGCGCGTTATTTGAAAAACAGATAAGGCCGTTATTCGCCGAAAAACGTGACGGAGTCCCTGATTAGAAGTTCTTTTACCCTGTCTAAAAGATCGTCAGCTGACCTAGGAAATTAAAATTCATCGCGTAAGGGTCATTGAACGAAATGTTTTCCTTTCATCGTAAATGAACCATAACAATATTGTGTCCAATTTAACCGCTCAACCTACAAAGTAGTCTTGTATTTCGTAAAGATCCAGCCGGGTCTGGGTATTCTAAGTTTAATTTGTGGTTAGAATCATATCGATCAAAGCATAACCGCAGATGACCCGAGCAGGCGATGTACCAACATCGGATTTCTAGTAATTTATGTATCACTTTGTTGTTTTTGTCTCAGATGCAAACACAGCGTATTTTGTACCGCCGTTTATTGGCGTGCTTTTGGAAAGTTTTATAAGATTACAACTAGGATAGGTTATCGCTAGCTTACACCCTGCTGAGTAGTACGAACACACTATGTTTCGTGTCTTCGATCTTTTATGCTAATAGAAACGCGTTTACCACAGCCACGAGATCATACGCTGAATTGCTGAAATATTTTTAATAATCCCACGTGTAACAATATAAAGCATATCATACCTGGTTTTAAGAAGCGCTCTCGTTCATTCTCGTTCGCAGTCTTCGTTTCGTTTCCCTTATGGGTGCTCCCGCGTTGTATACCGAAAATATTTCGTGCTTGATACAAACTTATTTCCCGGTTTGGTCGTGACCACGAGCGAAGTGATGACAGCTAAGTTCACAGACAGTAGTGAGGGCAAATTCTGAGAGTACTTTGCCAAAGGAGACGAAACACGATTTTTTGACGAACGGAACCTTGCTGGTAATATTAATATCGACGCACCGTGTTCGTATAATTTGCAATGGAAAAATGGAATACGTGATGACTGTGGATCCAACAGAGTCAGTTGTGATGGAAGTGACATCCGGGCAATTGAAAGTTATCCGGGAACTTTTGTGTGACGATTTGCGAAAAAAAAAAGGGTTGCCTTTACAAGTGATACATACAATGATTTCCGGCTTACAGATCTTTTCCGAAATACTGTTTTGCTGTCAAGGTTTGCTTCCATTCGTCATTGAATTTATTGATGGAAAGTTTGTTTTGACCATTGTGAAATTTGTTTGTCTTGTATTTGAAAGAGCGAGAGTAGGCAGAGGCGTGAAACCTCTCTGAAAAGAACCCGCGGTTTTAATGATGTCTTGGATAATAGAAAAAAAAATTATAATTAGTTCGCCTCCATGTAATGTTTTATTCATGCTTCGATTGAAGAGCATTTGAATGATTTATTGTCATTTGGAAGGGATAAAAAAAATTTAAATCAACGTCCAGAGGAAACAAACCATTTCGCCATCGTGACAAAAACGTGAATTTTAATAAACCGTAAGTGATTATTGAAATTATTTTGATGCGCCTAAAATTGATAAAAAAGGCGAGCATTTTCCATGTAAGAAAAATGAAATATCCAATTAAGATCCAAGTAAGGAACAGAATAAAAACACCTGCGTACTGATGGATTTCCTGAAGCTTTATATTATCTTTGGGACGAGCATGCGTATGTAACTAAGACAGGAAAAAGATTGAGGAAGCTGCGGTAGTTTTTCAGATGTCATAAATGAACAGCTCGATGGCAAATTCGAGGCCTCAATAATTCAGTATGGCTGCATGTTTTTGAAGCTGGTAGAAGTGAACGATTCGATCGGAGAATTGATCAAGTCGTTCATTCTCATGACAATGACAATGGAGTATCTAAGCAGGAGATTGTGGTGCTCTTGAAGAGAAGGAAGATGAAAAATAAACATTAAACAGCAGGCATTACAATCCCCCTCCCTCGTGATTAATCTTCTATTCTTGCTCGCCCGCGAACCGCTAAACCGGTGGCGTAAATGTAAATCTTTGTTCAGTTCATGTATCCATTTTTCTCTGGCACACATCTTTCGTGACGACACTTCTATGACGTCATTCAATATGGCATTGTGCACGCGAACAGTGGAAAAGAATATGTTTGGTTGGCGACTATGAACACTTGGGATTTGGTTGCGTTCTTTTAAAGTCTAACCGGCAGCTTGGTACTGTGGCGAAAAAGGCGACGCGGTTAAAACGAAATACAGATTTGCATGCTCATGGTGCACGCAAATGGCATACGCACATGTTTTTCATCTTTGCTTGCCTTAATTTTCCCACGCAAACAGGGAGTATGGGAAGCGACTGTCTCCCGTGTGAGCTTCACCTCTGACCCAGGTTGGTGTAACGACAGAATTAGTTATACACCAATTGCACCCTCTTTTATATCGGATTTGATTGATCTTCCTATGAGGATGTAAATATCAACCAAATTTAGATTTAGACAAATTTAGACAAAACAATAATTTCCTTTTATTGATTGGGCCGGCTAACTAGAAATTCCCGTTTGGAAGACATCCAGGTAACCTAAATTTAGCCAAAGAACGTAGGTAACCGAAGTTTAGCCAAAGAACGTATATGGCTCAGGGTAACGCTCAAGGTAACAAAGAATGATTGCAACCGGTAAATGTTTTAAACGAATTGATTAAAGAGGCTTCGACGTGCAGTATCGTTAATCAAATGTTTTTATTTTCCTTATTATCGATTCTTTGTTTTTCTTAAGTGATGTGTAAATTAGTTTTCTGTGAGCAGCGCACTGTGTCTTAAACGCAATCTGTTGTTCTCCTTGGTCGTAAAGGTTCAGGTGGTTTGATATCTTGCCGATGTAAAACTAAGTAAACAGTAGACCGCACTTTTCATCGGTTTACCGGCGTAATGACCTACTTGAGATGTTGGGAGAACGTGCGAAAAGTTTATAAATCCGGCTCACGATTTAAAACTTTTCGAGTGTACTCCCAACATTCCAAGTAGGTTATTACACCGGTCAACCGATGGAAAGGGCGGTTTATCGCTTTGATCGGCAATTACAATGGGTTCAATATTCCAATGCAATAAACGATACGTTTTTTGACCAATCAAAGCGCTCGTAGTTTTGACAGATATTTTGTAATGCAGAATAACTTCTGCTTTTGTTGTAGATTTGTATCTCCCGATTTGCTCGAGGCCCACCAGTTTTCGTATCGCACCTACAACGCAGGTTGAGCTTAGAAGCTTGAAAAGTAATCAACGGGCGAACAAACAAATAAGCAAGCTAATAAATGTCGACATTTTGCAAGCAGTTACCCCTTTCCAATTCGATAATAAAAGTGTTCGGATTGAGAAGTTCAATAATAACATGAGCGGGGCTGTACAAATTGTTTATTGTTACGTATTTTGTAAGATATGAGCAGTTGACAAAAATAATAGTGCCATTTTGGTTTAATGAATTGGACTCTTAATTGAAAAGAAGTTACAGAATTAATCACGGCTTTTTATTTTTTTTTCGTTATGAGTTTGTACACTTTATGTAAAAAAGGTCCAAAATTGTAATTACATTTATGATTATCAATATACCTCTTTGTATCTGCGTCGCCAACACTGATCTTCGAATTGCCCGTTGCACATGGCAAGCCCTTCGAAACTTTACGAGCAGCGTCAGTTATGGTCAGCGGATGTTATTGATGATCTCATAGTTTTTCATCATCGAGAAGATTGCTTTACGCTGTAAGGCATTGTACTATGTCTTGGCATTTCGCTGTATCTCCTTCCTTCATTGTATAAGCGTGGTCGTACTTTAATGTACTCAGGGGGAGGTCTGTACAAGGATTGACTCCTAATCCGTTTCTCTTCGTTTTCACTCTGTTTCCGCTTGGTTATTGGACTATCTGTAACTTTCTCTCCAGTACTCCCCTCACTAACTGAAGTTACTCGCGACCGTACGTGCGAATAATCGTTTTTGTATCGAGGAATCTTCTTGTTACTTCTTCTAGGCGCGTTAGAGCGTGTACCTGAACCAGTGTCAACTTTGGATGCAGCATTCCATTTCAACTTGCCGTATCCTAATTTTTTGCGTCTTCCCCTTTTTTTACTCTTCCTGGCACCATTGTGGCCGCCTGCTGCTTCGCCAGTAGTAGCAGCACCTTCTTTATCTTCGTCTCCATCTTCTTCTTCCTCTTCGTCGTCGTATTCATCATTATCATCATCATCGTCGTCGTCGTCTTCTTCTTCGTCAATCATTTCGATGGTTCTTCCACTCTCATCCTTCATAACTTCTGCGTTTTCGGGTTCGCTTTTCTCCACAGCAGAGCTCGCATCCTCTGCTAATTCGCCTTTGGGTTTTGCAGTTCTAGAACTTTGATCTTGGTTATTGGGGTTTTTCCCGTTGCCACTGTCGAGGTTATTAATGTATATGTCATCTTTTTTTCCATTTCCATCTTCTTTGTCTGTGCTCTTCAACTCTTTTTTTGTATCAATTATTGCGTTTTCAGGAGCAGATTCGTTGTCTAGAGGAACAGATATGGACACGTTTGTAAGGGATGCTTTCAGATTGTCGTCAGGTTTATTTTTATCAGTGGGGGAAATGTTAGATCCATGACCTGTGGCTTTGTTACTATCCATCGTGGCCGAGTCGTTGTTGATGTTTTTCTCCAGCATTGTCGGCTCGGAATGATCGTCAAATAGCCACGCCCCTCCAGGGCCAACAGAGTTCTTTTTATGTGCTCTATCTTGCGCTTGTGTTTCTGGTTTATTCGAAGGTTTCTCAGATGTGGAGTCTTCTTCGTTGATAGACACTTTCTTGGCTATGTTATTACGTTTCGAGCTAGGAACCGGAGATGCTGAAGGGGTAGTGCGAGACTCCGAAGACGTAACCGTCGATGTAGACACTGAGGTCTTAGCTGCGTTGGGACTGGGAGACCCTGATAACTTGACAGCGTAGGGGCTTTTTGACGCCAATGATTTTCCAGAGGAGGGACTGGAGGCTGCCGAGGACTTAACAGTGGGGGAACTTGGGGACATCGAAGGCTTGACAATGGAGAAATTGGGAGCTACCGAAGGCTTTGTAGTTGAGGAACTGGGGGACCCTGGAGGCTGAACTGTTGAAGGACTCGTGGATCGCGAAGACTGAACAGGAAAAGTAAATGTAGTTTTGTCTTCAGGAATGGGCGTCGCTGGTGTCTCAATCAATAGAATTCGTTGCGTTCCGGGGAAAGTTTCTCCTGATTTCTGTATAAAAAGTGGAAAAAGGCTATTGCTTCATTGTTTTTAACCGTGGGGTCCTTGAATTCCAAAGTCACATTAAAATAGTCACCACCATGGGAACTGTCTAAACCAAAATCAGTAAGGGGACGTGGGTGGCGTATTATGTATAAATTTTGTTTCACCGGGAAACAAGCAGGATTTATTCCCCAAAAACAGGCATCTTCTCGGAATTCACAAAGATTTTGTGGCAAAGATGAGATGAAGGAGCAAAATGGCAATGTATAGATCAGTAGACGCTTCTCTCTCTATCTAGGTGTAACAAGTATCTTATCTTACCTGCTCTGTTGTAGACTTCCTTTGAAGAGAATTTCCTATGGATTCCTGCTTTTTAGTGCCTCAAGTTCTTTCTTTAATGTGTTTATTTCATCATCTTTCTGTGGAGTAGTAGGTGAAGCAAACATCACTTTATGTATAGTCGTGGGGCTCCAAAGGTTTTTTTTTTTTTACTTACCTCTGCAACTGATGTCTTGAGTTTGCGTATTTCTTCATTGGACATTGAAGAAATTGACATCCGTGAGCCCCTCCTTTCTTGTGGAGTGCTTGGAGCCAGGGAAGATCTTATTCCAGTGTTCACCTAAAAGAGATAGCCATATCGTGAATTTATCGGGAAACAAACTTTCGTTGGTCAGAGGGGATAAGTTTCTAGAGAAACTGTGGTGCTGCTTCGGTGGGAGAGTATAACAGGATAATTTAGTTTTATCAACTTGGTTGATAACGTAAATTGGCCACCGTAAAAAGTTCAAAGCTGACGTTTCGAGCATTAGCCCCTCTTCAGAGCGAACTGGTTAGACTATCTTAACTAGGAAGGATGGACTTGCACCAGCTGTGTACTAAAAGCTGTGGACCTGGAGCCTACTTATGTGCTTGTTAATTTGCTCTCGATTTCGGACACTAGTGATTTTAGATTCTTACTGTTTATTTAACCAGCGTCTCTATCGTACCTTGCTTCTCACATGAGAGTAATCGGCCGCTTCGTGAAAGATTCGGATTTTATTTGCCGCACGCCGGATGCGCTTTCTTCCATCAGTACTCGTGAAACTCTCAGCATCACTACCGCTTGCGTCAAGTGTGCTGTCGTAATCGTCATCGCCGTGATCCAGGAAGTTACTACCGTCATCGTGTGTCTGGGTAGCGATAGTCTTAACAGTGCGCTTCTGTTGCACATTACTCAGCATGGTTTCTCTCTGAAAAAATAACAATGAAAGCTGTGAGCGGATAAAAAGTTTCGCTACCTTAACTGGTAAAGAGTTGCAAGAAGTGAAGTCTGGGCATGAACATTGCGCGTGCGCTGCCAAAAAGGGAGCGAGGAGACACCAAAGAAAAATGATTTCGCATGCTCCGCTACTCGAGCCATTTAAGTGTGCAGGGTTACGATTCTTTTTCTGCAAACATGAGCTGATGAGGGTTTTTCCGCCGAGACAACAAACTTTTTTTCTAGGGGTTTGCCTACTGAGGAGGCGATGACAAGAAGTGCTAAAGTGATAACAGGTGCCACGATTTTCTTAGCCATGTTACGGTTGCTCATCTTCAGTCACTAAATTCACACCTGTTACCTCATATTTTGTGGTATTTTATTGAGTTATGTGACGAAAGAGGTTCAACAGAAACTTTCCTGAAAACGGTCACCCTATCTTTTTTGGTTTGGGTTTATCCCTGAAAAATGAAATCAAGCAATGAAAATTTTAAAAATACCACCATTTTACGTCGATAGTGTTATTACACTAAATATTGTCGTTCCCGTTCGTTTGCTCGCGTAAATTTCTCTCGAGTTACAAGCATGCGCACACGTTTTTGCCGACGTTAAACGAGGATGGTTCAGTTTGAAGTAGATTGACACAGTTCACAAATGACTCCGAAAGGTTACTTACCTCGCGAAGCTCATTTTTGAGATACACTATCTCCACGTCTTTATCTTGAAGATGACCTCCGATATAAAAGTCGTTTTCGCTTTCTTTCCTATCCCCGGAGGAGGGATGCACTTGGGACCCACAGAAGAACGACCGCAGGCAGGTAAACAAATTGCAGCACGGGAAACAAGACCAAAAGGATATGCAACAAGCGGATGAACATGTGCAGCACGAGCAAAACTTTGCACAAGCTGCACCGCAGGCGCAGGTGGTGTCATACTCTGTCGATTGTCCAGCAACTGCAGATTTGCCACTTGTCCTTTTGCAGCTCAAGCGAACGATCTGGGAACAAAGCAAGTACATGATTGAAGATTGAAGTTAGCAACTACTGGATAGGACAACCTTGGTTGTGTGATCTAAGTAAATTTATGAAACTAGCTTTCGAAAACTACGGGAATGATATTAATTCGAACAAAGAAGCTGTTTGATTGGGGGATAAACCTACACCTATTATTGGGGTGGTGCGTAACTCCACACCTCCCACCCCGGCCCCGAACAGTAGAAATCTAAGTATGCTGTATTGCACATTGTATGAACTGAAATTGATATGACCTACCTTGTTTATAAATAGCAGGACAAGGATTAGAGTCGTGGCGAAGATTACAAGGCCACCAATAACACCGTAATACACGCTTGGGTACAACGTGGCTGTAAAAGCCACAATGGCACCAACCACGCAGAACACCACTACCACGAACATGCATGACACGCAGTGCTGTGTGTCATTTAGCGCGGGAATGTAAAGTTTCCTTGTCTGCCAAGCCAGAAATCCACCGGCTAACACAAGTAGCGCCTTGAATGCAAGAATCACGACCAGCCACAGCGTCAAATCCGCGCAGGTACATTGCTCCACAACCTCAATCTTGGCATGAAAGGTGTCAGCAGTTATAGGCTGAAAGGCACGAAAGTTAACAGCATGAAGGTCTATTTATAAAATGGGAATGCTGCATTGGAAAACCGATTATTATGGCTCATTACAGTTGAGCAAAGCATACGACATGGCATCCTTGATGCTAATTTCTCCGGTCAGTATTGTTAGAGGTTGTTTGTAGGATTGTGGGAAACAATTCCCCTGAGGAAGTGAGTATCGACAATCGGGAAGATAACTGCATCATGGAATGAAATATTCATGGAAATTGTTTTCGAAAACGTCAATTTGATCGACATATTTTCGAAGATCACTTTCTAATTAATGAGTCCTTGATATCTACGGTTAATAGGTTAAATTGTACGTTGAAAAGAGGATGCTTATGTTACATACCTGGAAACACTCATACTCGGGCTGTGACCGGACTTGTTTAAGGATGCGGTACAAGGGATCTATGGTCTCCCAGCATCCTAAGATTGTGACATCGATGACTACGAGAAGAACAAGAATTCCAAGCATCCAAAACATCATAACTTTCTGTGAATGAAAAAGTAATGAGAGCTTTTAAGTAAATTGCACAAGACTACTCAATACCGGAAGGAAAAAAAAAACAAGGCTACAGGCAGTATGTTACAGTATTAGAGGAAAGGGCGGAGAAAAGATCACGCCTTTACAAAGGAGAGAGTTTGCTTCTGAAGAATGTACCTTACCCCGCTTAAGTAACCTCTGAATGCGCAAAAGCGTGGTAAACGCAAAAGTTATGATCGATGTTAATATTTGCTCCTTCTTGATCAAGGTGGTGTTGCAAATTTTAAACTCGTCTTAGAGAGTTGTAACGGAATGCCAGTAAGATCTTAGATGAGTATTTTGTTTCTTCCAGTGAGAAATAATCAAGCCTTAAGTATTACCCTGCTTCTGACGAATCTTTCTTTGACTACTCCATAAGCCATCCACAGTTTGGCAGTCAGGCCTCCAACAGATAGTGTGAAACCAATACTAAATGTCCAGGAACGAGCCTGTAATTAGACGATGACGGAAAGAAAAAGACAGAATCGTTAGAAATGACGGTGAATTTCTCTGAGCATTAAATAAGTTGAAAAATATCAAATTTACATGAAACACCAAAATATACAGTTACCAATATTTTAAATGAGCTTCGTTATTGTCTTAAAATTTTGGATAATTTGACAAAGATTTGACACCTGCAATGCATGTCAACCTTCTCCGTATTCAGCAGTCCTTAGTCTCCTTGTCTAATTATCTTAGTTCTTTTTAAATCTGATGACCAAGTGTTTCGCACAGACATTCCAGGTAAAAGAAGCTTTGAGGGAGAGGAAAGTTCGCTTTGTTTTGCTTTCGAAGGTATGCATTAATTGATTGGTTAGACAATAGAAATGAGGAATTGAGCGGCCCGATTTTCATCCTTGCAGTTTAATGAACATGCTTAATTAAACATTTGGGGGGGATACGTATTTCGAAGTTCTGCCCGTTTATTTACTCACCCTGCATAGGCGTGTGACGACATCTGGGGATACGCGTGCGTAGTCAAAGCCATAAAGAATTACAGTGACGTAGTTCAGAAGACATCCCAGAATGATGAGAAGGCTGATCACTGGACCAGAATTTTTTACAAGTCTGAAAAGCAACACAGTTTTCCAGCTCTCAAAAGTAAGGTAAGCGAGCGATCAAAATTTGCTTCGAACTTTGTTAGAGGAAGTGTGATTAATTTGATGTTAACATTTGGTCGGTATGAAATCAAATAGTAATCCCATGTTGTTAGAGGGGAGAATGGGCGCTGTATTACAGATGTATTTAGACCTTAAGCCGAGAAACAAAATTGCCTTGGGTATGTTCCCTTCCCCTCCTTCAACTTGGGTGGGTGATGTAGCTATTTTGCAATTTTTTTTCAATTTGTGTCTTCTAAATTAAATATTTTCCATTACATAAACTGTTCCGTTCAAAATAAGTCAGACTGTGAAAGCTTTTCTATGCAAAATAGATGTAATTTCAATGATAATAAGTTTTTCATTTTCGCCCTTTTACACTCTCACCTCAGTCTAAGGATTCGTCAGTAATGACCGAGTAATTTCAATTCACTTAGGATTACGGGTTTCAAACTGATTTTTTATCACTGTTCAGTAGTATACGTACTTCTTCTTGAAGTTTAACACCAGTGTTAAAAGGCAGATTAGACCATAAACGATTCCAAGTGACGCGAATGCAATTATGACAAAAAATAACGTCTCGTCGATTGTACGGTAGATGTACGTCTCTGTCGTCTTGGTATAAGGTGTGCCAGCTGAAAAGAATGTTTTGAACAAGATCCTGAATTGAAACATTGACTTGGCCAGCTGTCTAATAGAATATTCAAACATACGGTTGTCAATTGAATTTGAATGTCATCGGATCGAACGCAAACGTTTGAAAAGCTGTAATTAAGGAGAGCTTTGCGTAGACTAGGGAAAAGGTGTCAAAGGCGATAGATAAAGACCTTAGACTGGGGGGGAGGGGATACGTCCCTCCCTCCTCAATCAGTCGAAATCCCTCTGACAGTTCGCAGTCCCAGGGAGGAGGGGTGCGAGAACAGAGAACTTAGTTCATTAGGCTCTTCCCGTTGTTTGAACAAGAGTCAGGGTTGCTAACAGTTTGCCGGTACACATTCAAACTCCTAGAGAGGCACCGTGGGAGGAAAAACTCCAGCCCGGTAAGACCAAGAGCCCAAAAATGGAACATTCATACGTACCGTGGGAATATTTTTGTAAAATAAGTGCTACGTGGTTGTAAACTCACCAAACCAGTGTATTTCTGTTGACGCTTTGAGGACTTCCGTTTTCACGTCAAATGTTCCACCTGTTACTGTCTTGAAAATACCATCTAAATACCAAAAATTGAAAAAACTCGGTCAGAATTATCTTTGTTAACTAGCCTCGATCGGAATTGCAAGGCGAGCAAGATTGATCTTTATGGAGTGCAAATTAAATCTATCAACGATCGTAAAAATGACACTTCCACTGAACAACCAATTTTGGAGGCAAAGCATAAAGATTCTTTGGGTCAATTTTTCTGTTGGTAAAAGCTCAAATATCTCCTAAACTTTTTAAAAACCTTCTATCCTGATCCGAAGTGCAACGTTCTTATATTTGATATACAATGATGTATGTTTGAAGCACTTTGCCAGAAAGCGTGGTAACTTATTCTCTCACTGCGACCTAAATGTGTCTTGAAATCATAATGCATGCTTTGCTTGATTTCTGAATCAATAAACAGTTGTAAAAGAGAACATTAGTCGTGAAGTACCTTCTATTACAATCTGTTTGATGATAATTCCGTTTCGTCTGTTTCCATTGGGGTAATATCTTACTCTTGTCTGCCAACAAAAAACCATAAGTTCATTAACATAATTTTCCAAAATTATTTAAGTTTTATATTTATCTCTAATTTTACATCTTCCAAATTTTTCCTCTATAAAGTAAATTAACCATTTGGTGCCTCCCCTTTCACCTTAAAAAAATGTATGTTGTCAAGTCTATTCATTCTCAAATCAATTTGTTTGGGTTTTTACCCGTTAGACCACTCTAAATCAGCCATTATTTATTGTACCATAATTACCCTTATTATGTACTTAACTCTCTGGTCTGCAATTTACGAAAATGTTGTTTGCATCTATGCATTTAGACTTAATTGACCCCTCACCCAATGTGGCTTTTCAGGACCGATACAAATGAATGAATAAACAAAGTGTTAACAGTTCCTAACTGACAGGAGGCAGAAGAGATGACTATACAACGAGTGGCAGGGTGAAGGGCTTGAACCTGGACCACAATTTCACAAGCCCATTTCACCTCTCCCATTTCTCTTACCCCTATGTTCGGGCTCTTAAAGTCCAGATCTAATGCCCACTTCCGAAAACGTCTGTTGCATTAGCATCACCATATGTCAGATTTTCCAGAGCTTTTCCTTGTGTTTTGATCTCTGGTCTAGAGTTATGCAGCACAAAACCGATCGACCACAGTGCATCATAAACATTTAAGTACTGATTACTTCGATTTGATGTATCGTTGTGGTTGTCCACTCTTGCTCGATAATCGTTGATTATTTGACTCTTGTTCTGTAAAATAGACCGTACAAAACAAATTGGCACGCTCATAGAAATTTGAAAAGGAAATGTGCATGCTATGAATGACTACCCAGCTATCGAAGCGACCCAGTTTGGATTGTGGCCTCCCTCGCCAACTTTTATCGCGCGGCTTTACCCTCAGAGCCGCAGCACGTGTCACATATAGTTTGCTCGTGGGCTATTAATAATCAGTGACAAGTAATCTTAAAAACTGTGTTCTGTAATAACTGTATTTGACAGCGGCAGATAACCTAAGAGCAGGTAAAGTTAGATTGTAGAAAGGTCATGTTCCTGGAAAGAGGAGGAAGGGGTAGGGGGGGGGTAGGGGGGGGGGGTAGGGGGTAGGGGGGGGGGGGGGGGGGGGGGTAGGGGTGAGGGGTAATAGTATCAGTTTTATAATTCCTGAAATTCAAGAGTGCCTTTGATTGGTTGGGGTATGTGATATAACTTGAGTTATTGTTTGTATTGCAAAGAAATAATAATAAAAATTATCAGCTTAGTCACATACCTTGTTGGCATAGGAGTAAAAGGTTTTTTGCAATGACACTACGTTAGTATGATAAAATGAAAAGTGGTTCTGTATTTGACATTTCATTTCCAAGTCCGAACAAGCGATGCTTTCTCCTTTTTTCGGTATCCACCAGTTGTTATTTTTGCTGTTTGTAAGAATCCATACATAATGTGGACCGTACATCCGTGCACGATGAGCCTGTGAGTCATGTGAAGAACATATCAGTCAAATTACCGCTAAGTTTTCACTGAAGCCGCGGCTTCCCCTTCGAAAGTTTTTTTTTTTTCACATAAAGCACAAATTAAAAACTTTGCACTCACTTTTGCTATGTAGTGACACGTTTTAATTTTTTTCTTCCTGTAAAGCAGTTAACAATCCCCTTATAACCTACTATAGATTAAAACTCTCATTATTCGCACTCCTTCACTCCGCAATTGTGCAGACCGACAGTTTGAATTTGACGTTTAACAGGCACCGCAGTCTCGTGAATATCGGCGATCAGATAACAAGTTGAGATTTTATTGTTTTGTACCAAAAACGTGATTCAGAGTTTTAAGACCCATTGAATCGATTCTTGGCTCAGATTGGTTTACACTTCGGTACATGTACTACGACCTTTGATTAATCAATTATAGTTGACGTGAGGATTGATCAATGAATAAACGGTGCAGGTTTCTAAAGAAACTGTGGTGCTGCGTCGGCGGGAGAGTATAACAGAGTAATTTGGTAATATCAACTGAGTCGATAACGTAAATTGGCCACCGTAAAGAGTTTCAGAGATGACGTTTCTAGCCCCTCGTCAGTTTTGCTGTGACGAAGGGCTAACACTCGAAACGTCAGCTTTGAAACTCTTTACGGTGGCCAATTTACGTTATCAATTCAGCTAATAATACCAAATCAATTACCCTATAAAGATTTATCACTTTGATCCTGATATACTGATTTGTGGCGGCATCTATCAGCGACGTATCAAGTAAACTTGACTAAATTAAAATCGGAGCTACATGTGGTTGACTTTCGCGCTTTTTTTCGTCCGGGGACGGAATGAGAATTCAAGAAGGAGGGCATTAATAGGTGGGGGAAAAGTAAAAGCTAAGTGTAGGAACCTGTCAAATGTTTACATAACGAATTTAGACTTACCTCGCAAAACATTTTTCGTGCGGTGGAATCAAGCGAAAACATGCCAAGAATAACGTGAATTCCTCTATCCTGAGAGAACAATGGACATTTGTGTGACATATTTCGTTGAAGAAATATCTTTACGTGGAAACTTTCTTTATAAATTCAGCAGCAATGAATTTTTAACTCTCTCACTTCCGGAATAATCGTCAAATCCCACAACATGAACCATAGCCATGGGTTTTTCTTTTGTTTAGATTTTTGCATCTGAAGTTTTTATTAGAGTTGAGGAAAACCTAGCCTTGTTAAAAAAATGAAGAACATTTGCATAATACTCCCAGATAATGCAGAGCTGAAATTCTCCACCGATTAGACTCGACAATTTTACCTCTTACCTTCATCGTGCGGATAGCCCGTGTAGGATCATTAGCTTGTAACCGTACTTCTGCTAAAACTTTAATGTTGCTTCCCTTTAATGAGCTTGCCAGTTGATTGGAAAGCTAGAAAAAATATGGTACGATAACAGTTCATTTGCCTACTTACAATGAAGATGTTATGAAAATTCAATATTCGATCCGCGATATATCATATGTACTTCTAATGTTGTAAAGTGAAAGTTCTTAAATCTAATCTTCATTTCTATTTTTATACTTCAGCAGGGTGGAGAGAGGTACATTGAAGGCCAAAAGCCTTGTTTAAGGACACAGTTTTTGCATATTTACCTGAAAATACCTCTCGCTGTCTCCATAAATAATTCCAACCTCGTCCCATCCATACTCTTTGATAAATTTTATTCTTGGTACATCTAATGAAGTGGGAGATGTTTTTGTCCGAAAAAAGTTTGGGTACAAGTCTCTCCTGTTTTCAAGCTCAAGATCGCTTGTTCCATAGGAAAACTGCGAATTGAGGTAAAAACAAGTACCTTATTAGCTTTGAGGTATGATAAGAGGTACTCCCTTTCACAGGGGACCATATTGGTTGTCTCGAGCTCTTGACAAATGTTTCACCGTTTTCAGTCACCATTCCTCAATTCAAGATGACGCCTGAATTACAGTACTCTAGTTATTCACCATCTAAACGGCAGTGTCATTTTCCACAATCCTGAATAGATACAGCACGTTAGATCAAAAGAAAGTAAAATTTACTGTTACATACAGACCTGGAGGAGGTTGATATCCGGTATTCCAGAGTACGCAGCTATAGATTTGGCCAAGGAATCTTCCCCCGGTCCCAGTAACATGATTTTGGTCGGTCCTGCGTTCAGAAATTCGTTGAAAGCTTTCTGGCCAATTCCGAAACTTCCCTTTGGCAGAACAAAATCCTCGATTTAGCAAGTGTGAAATATGCTTGCGTGATTATCACTTTATTACTTCATTCACGGACATGCATGTAAGCAATACTTAACAGCTTTCCCTTATAAATTTAAAATCGATCTTTCCCAAGCTTGAAAAAAGATTTTTATTTTTCTTGTAGTGAAGGATCATAGAATACACGGCAGTGTTTGTTTTATGATCAAGCTGAATTTTCTCTCCGTAATCCTTTTACTTTCTCCTTCCTACAATAATGATCAAGGCAGCAGTGAGAAATATCACCCTTCAACTCTCAAAAGCGATTTACTAATGACTTGTCAGCAAAGAATCAAAGCATTTTCAGGAAACAGTTGATGCGAATATGCAAACGTGTCAGAGGGTATTATGAGACTTTTTATAACCACAATCAAAGACAGACAGATTTATATGTAAATGTTCAGCTTGCAGTTAAAAAGGGAGTTGCAGTACAAAGATTTGAATGCTTTGATTTAGCATAAGACAATTTTTAGATTCTTTTGAAAAAATAAAGGATCGTGATCCGAAAATTATGTAATTGAAGTGCATGGAAAATAGCTACCCGTTTAATCCATAAACGATGGGTCCCAATGGCTTTATGGGAAATTTTTGCACAGTTATAAAATCAATTTTATCTATTAAGAAGGCGTGGATGGTTTTCATCATTTACCCCGTGCAACAAATTGTATAAATCATGTACATATGTGCTATTTAAAACCGTTGAGCCTCATCGTTCATTGCCAACGTTTTTTAGGAGTCAAAGTTTGTGCGATCAAGTGTATACTAGACTGTCTATATCGACGCAACAACAACTTTATCTTAGATATTTTTGCACTTTACCTGTGTTGATTTGACAGCTAACTCAAGTTGGTATCCTGGCAACACACTTGGGTTGTTATTGATTTCCTCTATGGCCTGAAGTGCCATTGGTAAAGCTCCATAGCCGTTTTTGTCTGTGAGGTCAAAAAACGCTCCGATATACAGTGTCGTAAGTGGTGTTGTGTTGTTATTTGTGCTATTTGTTTGGAGGCTGGAGTTGGTGGAGTTTGTTGTGTTAAAAGCTTTCGTGAGGGTGGCACAGCAGATGACGACAGTAACTGTGATGAAGATCAGATTCATTGCGTAATCTTTGGAGAAAGATACAAACGAAAAGAAAAATACGGTTAAGAACATGTCCACACAAATGAACGTACATGTTAAATGAGATTTTTAGATAAGCATAAATTTGAAAAGAAGAGATTAAGAACTTAATTAACTTTTGGGATAAACGTAAATTTGAATAGAAGATAATAAATTGACTATATTCCAATACAGACCCTCACAGAACAAAAAATAGAATTGCCTATTGTTATGGTTTGATTCATTTTAATAAAATGACGCTATTGTTCGTTGTCCTCCGAGACCTTTTCGTCGGATGGTTTAAATCGTGCTCGGCAAGTGTAGAGCGTAGGCGGGGATTTTTCGGGAAACTTTTGCCGAAATGTAGCTCACGTGATATGAAGGAAAAAATTGAGTTGGGGCGGAGGGAGAGGTGTAAAGTGTAAATGAATAAACTTTCTATGTTTGTTTTTAAGATGCACCTAGGCCTAATAGGGAAATTGAAACACATGATGTAATGCTACAGTTAGTTAAGTGTCACTGTAAAAATGTCTCGTTTTAGTCTTCCTCTTTTTTAGTGGTGAACTCAAACGGAGACCCTTTCCTTTACTCCTATAAGGATTTTCCCACAAGATTTACTCAAACGTCCTGAGGAAATGTCAAAGTGATTCGCCTCTTTTTAAAAGGTGTTCAACCCTTCACGATGTGATATAGCGACTTCACATGTCTTTGACTCTCATTTATAGTGTTCAGGAAATGACAAAAAATACGATTCTTATGAATCGCATTTGATTACATGAATATTTGCAAACAGGACACGTACCAAAAAGAAGAAAACAGCCAATTAAGGTAGAATTTATTCTCAATTGATGCTATGTTAATTGTATATGTTGATCAGTGAGGTACAAGGAATGCGAACTTAAGTTCTAATCCTGACGAAATACCTTTTAGGGTAACAGAACCTGTTATAGACAGCTTATATATGTTGGTCTTCAAACAGCTATTCTCTTGCGTCGTGTTCTTTTGTAGATGTGCCAGACGTACATAACTCATGACTTTTCAGTCCTTAAAATTCAATTATATTCATCACAGCGATGACATTCCCACTCCCAGCTCAAGACTCATATACTAAGAGATGCCTTCTAATGAACGCGAACATTCGGACTCTTTGAAGAACGAAGAGTTGTCAATTTGCTCAAAGAGCTCCCTAGGAGAGCGAAGGATCTCGAAGTGGTAATACCGGTGAAACTTTGTGCTTATACTACTCAGTTAGCCCAAATATATACTACTCAGCTAGCCCAAAAGAAACGAAAAGCCACTTTTTCATCACCTCTAAAACTCATTAATTACTTGAGTTTGAAAAACTCATTAATTCGATGAAGATTACACAAAAGAGAATAAAGAAAAGAGGAAACTGTGTTTGTTTCGATCCCAAATACAAGTATGCACGCCTAAATGGTGGGAAGCTGTTCTAGACTAGTTTAAAACTTCTTACATCTTCTACACCGAAAAATGTGAGTTTCCCTGAAATAAAGCTCAAACAACATCAACATCCTTCTGTTTTTTAGTCTGTTGACCTTAACAACTGAACCTATCAGCCATCGCCTAAACAAGATTGTTCAATTGTTCGATAAAAGGGACGTAAACAGATTATGAAGTCAATCTTTTTACGTCCTTGCTCAGAGGATGCAAACACATATGATGTGATGTTCTCATTAGATAGAGGGTTACCTCTCTATGTCAAAATAGCGGTGAAGTTACTGATCAATTTGAATTTTTTCGTGTCATGATAATATTGAATACCATTTTCGAAAGGCCACTAAAGTGTACATAAAAATACAACCTACCTTGAAACAATTTGCTTGTGTTTGATTGTAAACTGATCAAAGGCTCGAAGTGGGTGTTTAGTGTTTTTTCAAGTACCTCAATGTCTAGTACTTCAGGGTGCTAAATGATCGTTTCCTTTCGACACCATTTCTTGGTATCACAGCTAACACTAACCGTTGTCGTTAATGAATAGAAATTTACATAAGCGAATGTCTTGACGTGGTTTGTAGAGCAATCAAATCAAACATCTGAACACGTATGTTTGCATGTGTCAATTTTCTTTATCAACTCTAAAACGTCGAATGACTCCACACAAAGGTTTCTTACTAATTGGCTTTGCCAAGTACGATACTAAAGGTGTCAGTAGTCTTATTTACAACCACCTGTGGATTAACGAGATTACAGTCGGATTAACTTTAAACACGTAAGCACTTTAGAGCGTCAAACTTTGTCAAACAATGACTCGAACCAAACTGATAGAGATCAGAGTTGCATTGACGCTTCTAGAAACAGCGTTTTTGCGCGATTCGCCAGGTTTGTATAAGTAAGCGTATCAAAGAATTAGCTCTTTGTTGTTAGCAATTACTACCACGTCTTAGGATAAGTTGATTAATTGCGTGCTAGTTTGGGTTTCCATTTGTCACATATGTGGTTGCTAGAAATCTATTCAAATCATTCCATAGATTTTTTATTCTGAAACCTCTTTGTTTTACTCTTTGTAATAAACGCTTTATTTATTAGCGGAAAGTGCGGGAGTGACAGACTTTAAGGTATATTATGGGGTGGACTCTTAATAGCAATTGGAACTAAAAAAAAATGTTTGTAATCCAGGCATCTTTTTTGCTTAGTGTATTTCCGATCTTTCAGCCTTTCGTTCTCACTAATTTTGAAGTCAAAGTCAGTAGTGAGAGATGGGTGTTGACGACTCTGCACTAGCTAAACGATCTTAGTAGCCATACAGCAGAGCGAGGAATCTGCGAAAAAACACTACTGCATGATGAAAAGAGTTAAAATTTTTCTCTTAAGCAAGTGTATTTTCCTTTTAGGCCTCGCGTAAAATAAAATGCAACAGCAATGGCAATAGGAAAGCAGCTATTTACTCTTTTAACAGAAACGTAGATAAGCTTTCGAGAGAAAACTTGACGTTCCAAAAAATAGGATTTTAAAGTTCATGGTATATGTGAGGAATTGGCTGGAGTTGTGAAAATCCCGGGCCATGGATTCCGTAGGAATACTAAGTCTTATACAGCTCACCAAGTTTGTGCACGTAATGGTCAAAAATTGTAATTTGAAAAGGTTCACTGACCCAGATAACTGTTAATTTTTGTTTGTTACGAGCACACAACCAGTCATACTAAGATTTATAAGAAGTCGCCATCACACACGCATTTATGGAAGTGTTACTTCGAGTGTTGAGTACCTGAAGCAATCTTATTCCTAGTGACAGGAATGTTGTCCTTACACTCAACATTAGTGTACTCAAAGCAAGTCAACAGAGTTCAGTTCAGTTTGTTTTGATTGGTTTCCATGGTAACTTCTGCGCAATCTGGCTCTTTAAAAAACGAATTGTATGGCGTCAGAAGTTGACTTGTGACGTAATCTTTTGTCCACACGGATAAGTTAGTGTTCAGAAAGCTCCAGCTCTAGTGTAAGTTGCGCAACTGTTTGCAAACGTTGAGGTTTCTCTCCAGCTAAATTACCCCGTAAAGATTCTGCCGGAGCAAATCTAGATTTCATATTGGCTCTTAACCAAAGTGCTAGCCTTGTAATTAAATAGCTTTATTCACAATGGTTTATGGAGACGCGGTGGCGTAGGGATTAGCACGCTAGACTATATGTCGAGAGCTCTAGGTGCGAGACTTGAACCAGGTCATTGTGTTGTGTACTTGGGAAAGACGCTTATTTTACTCTCGCAATGCCTCTCGGGAGTATATGATAATGGTCCCGGCCAACTGTAGGGAAAGGGGGGAGGTAGCAGGGCGAGGACTGGCATCCCATTCCATCCCAGGAGAGTAGTAAAATGTCTAATCGTTTTATGCTCAGGAAACCGGGATGAGCTATGGCCTGATGGGATACGTGACCTAAGGGACTTTCCTCTTTGTTAATTTTTTATTTTTTATTTTTGGCACTTTGTTTCACACTTTAATTACAGTTCAGAATATTAATATTGGATTGTCTGACCCGCAATAACTAGTCCATGGCAAGTCAGTGATGAAGATTAAACTAATTAAACTATCTAAGTTAACTACCTAAACTAAATCGGATTCATTGTTGGGAAATAATTACAATTGATCAAATTTTCTTTCAACCAAAGGATCGACAAGTTTAATTTGAGATCTCGTGAACAGTGGGGTTAATAATCAGTGCAACAGTTTTTGGGGGGCTTTTAAAATTTGATATCATCGTAGCCGCTGGCAGAGCGTCAACGCGAAATTACTCGAATTACCGCAGTGCTGGAGTCAAGAACACTGAAAATATGATTGTTAAATAAAAGTTTCAAAATTGGAGCAAAGCAAGGTTGGTAAGACAATGAGAGGAAATTAGACAGTACTTGAATCAATATTTTAAGTGTCTGTATCCTTTGTTGGAAAGAACAAGACCTTATAATGGACTACGTGTGTTTATGGATTGCATACAGAAAATTTTAAATGTCTTTAAAAAATCTTTTACTTATCGGCTCTAATGATGTTGCATAAAAATTAAGTTTATTTTTAATAGTAATGAGAGCGGTCGAAATTGGCCCCTCTTTCATTGAGATGGCATTTTCAAAGAATTTATTTATTATAGTGCGAAACGTATTCGTATCTGCTCAATTTTGGTTGAAACCTGTTACTTATCTTAGAGACGTTTTGAAATGTTGTATCGATGCAAAAGAAGAACATATCTTAAATTTAATTAAAAATAAATGCAACGTGTAATATCAGGCGACACTGGAATAACTTAAACATCTATCATAGCCTAAGTCCGTGAGCTATTGTTTTGTTAAATTTTATCAATATGACTGTAATTAAAAGTATTTTTTTAGTTTGAAGAAAACGTCGATCATCGTACATCATATGTAAACCTCGATGTTTTCAAAATTTGCCTAGAGCAAGATCCATTTAATGTGTTAAACGGCGTTACATTTGCTGATAGTTAAATTAATAAAAGGCAAGTTCTACTCTTTGTTTCTGTAATTATGAAAAAAAAAATTTCCCTCGGGTTCGTCTCATCGGAAATCCAAAGGTTATTTGTCTAAAAATTTCGCTGTCCTGATGCTTCCTGCATGTGAGTGGCCAGACAAAAAAGGCCGCCTTGTTTTCAAAAATTATCACGAAAATACAGTTGGCGTGTTCCCCATCTCAGAAACGCGCAAAATGTTGAGATTTCACGTTGTCAAGTTACCTACGAATTTTTAGTACGAATTAAAAATACAAAGTTTTATGGTGTCTGCTCGAGGAACATGTTTTACTGAATAAAGATATTCAGGTCTCTTGGTTTTTTCGTTACCATGTATATTTTTTCCTCGCTTTTAACGAGTTCTTTAACCACAGAAAATGAACGGATAGGCGCCATTTTCAACTCTCCTCGGAGCCTAGCTAGAAAACAGTGTTGGTTTGTTTTCGAAATGATTTCCCAACACAAGGCTATGAAGCACATAAACCAAGTCCAAATTTTCCTTAGCTTTTTTCCCACCAAAGTTTATTGCACCGGCGGTCAATTTCCAGATTAACATCGTAAGGCCAAAGGTTTCAGCAGCCAAGCACTCAAACAAAGTCAGACATCCTCTCTTTGTCTTCGTCCTCGCAAGATTCGTCGCTTGAGTTTCCACTTGTGTTCCAAATCAGCATAGTAAAGACACAGGTGATTAACCCAAAAATGAAGAACACAAATCCGAAAGCTATTAACACAACTGCCGTTTGTTGAGTAACATTCCAGCAAAATTCACTCGGAGCGTGTTCAACAGAGCAGGTTAACCCAAGAGTTATGTAGATTACTGCGGGGGTAAGAAACAAAATAACACATACAAAGAGACCACATAAGCCAAGATCCACCATCGTTTTTCGAAATGAAATATCTCGTACGTGCCCTCTGTTTGCTGTTTTACATCAGCCGAGATGATTAAGATCTGTTACTTTCAGATAACATCGTATTAACAAGTAGTCTATACCTATATTATTGTGCAAATTTTTTTCTGTTAAATTCAGGGACTAAATTAATACACTGGCATTAAAAGGGAAATATTACTTGTTGATACAGGTGTTCAGTTTGAATGATTTCTCAATTTCATCATTGAAAACAGCGGTCAAGGGCAATAGCGTCCCTTAAAGGAAAACATTAAAAAAGGAAAATGATTAAGTTCTAAAGTTTAAAGGAAAATCCTCCCATGGAATCTATATTTTTAACTTTATTTTGTTAATTTGAGATGAACTCCGGATAAACTAATTCTTATTATTGTTTTACTTATGTTAATAGAAAGGGAAAATTTAAGAGTTAATCCTGTCCTGTTAGCAAGACAATGGAGACCACAATACAGCTGTATTTGTGAAATAATAATATCACTGAGCTCCTTTCTCCGTACGCCAGGCAGTATCACTAAATCCTTTGATTGAGATCGAATTGCTGGTTAACAAATCCAAAGGGATGGGGGAAGAGGGATGTAATGAGTCGCGATTTACATTCTTGTAGCGGTTGGAGTGGAGGCTTCTGTCAAAAGCGCTAAAATATTTGATGCTAAAGAAGCCAAACTGAAAAATTGTACGTCGATTTCCCATTAGATATTGAAATAACCGTATCTCAGGCTTTTGCATTTAGCGTTTCTGACAATTTACACAAAGTCCATGTAATGTTGCTTAATCCCCTTTTTGCGATTTTGAATGAATGAAATACCACCCCCTGCTCCTGTGAATCACAAATAGACTCAAAAGCTTTCAGGGCACATCAGATAGGGGATCAAACACGAATCTAACACAAACAGGAACCGCTGAAGTACGCCATTCTCTGCATGAAAGACAAGACGCGATTAATGCTCTACATCCGTCACTTCGCATTCTCTATTGTGGAAAAAAAAAAGAATAAAGTGCCGGAAAGCAGTCTCAGCAAAGACGGCAAGTACGTGAATTTAAGGCACTGTTCCTGTTTTGAATAACAGTGTGCAAGGAAGCATTTCTGTTGACAACTTAAACCCTGTAGGCGCATAGCCGCTAGATATCGTAAGGATGGCCTTGGCTTCATTAGATGCACAGTAAATGATTTTTCAGCCTCCACAGTATTGTTGTTTCACTCATAACGACAGTGGAAGCTGTCACTGGCGTAAATTGATATTAGACCAAACTACAATACTGATTAAAGTAAAAGCGTACGGGCCCTTCTTTTTTATGACTGAAAAAACCTAAAAAAGCCTTCCATGTGAACGTGTCACACAAAAAATATTCGAAATTCGATTCCTCGGATGAATGCTCTCACGATTTTTAACCTGTAATGGATACTTAGAAGATCGTTGTAAACAAGCGACACTATAAACAAAGAAAGGCACTCATAACAAGCCAAAGCTGTGCCATCTTTCATTCTTGCTAAACAAAAATGATTCGAATATCGCGATTACTGCACTCTTCGTTATCGCTCACGGTTATCAAGTTTTTTTCTGTTTTTTATCAACAATAATGAAATTCAATCGCGTTTCGGAGAAATAAGGAAAACACAGGCAATATCATCTTAAAACTCGAGTGCTCAATAAAACTCTCCCCTTTTTATTTCAAACGATACCCTTCAAAACAAAATACTTGTATTAATAAACGACTTCTTTATACAGATTCAAATGAAAATAGACCCTTCTAAGCTAAAACATAGAACAAAAGACACCTATCGTGATGATTCTGTTTGACAAGCGGAGATGAAGGAAGTCAAACGCCAAGTAATAAAAAAGAGAACGTGTTGTTATTTTACATGGAGCTTCGAATGGCGTGATAAAGGATGAAGAGGAAGAAAATCACCGTAAATTTGACATGCGCCGAAAGAGTGACATTTTGAACGCGGAAAAGAAAATAATTTTCCATAAAATGTTATTGAGTCTCTTTCACTTCACTCTCCAGTCTATTTCTCTTTCAAGAGTGTAAAATGTTGAATGTAATATTTCATTATTCACCCACTTCGCGTCGAAAAATTCTTGACAAACTGGAACATAAAGTGTATGCATATGTGATGAGATCTTGAAATTATGTTTCTTTTGGCATCAATATTCTGATTTCTAAAATAGATTAGTATAAAAAAAAAAGGATCTTTCGTTACAACATTAGCTCTTATTTTTCCGTGAATTTTCGTTTTCAAGATTAAATCGTCTACTTGGATATCCATTTTGACCATTTTTTAAGTACAGTACTCGCATGAGTGGGCGATGCGAAAAATTTGCATATGTACATGAAATCTGGATAGGGAATAAAACATTCCTTCCAAATAACTTCCTCCGAGTGCCAAAGATGAGCAAGGAACCAAACAAGCAGAAACAATTGCAGCGAAATTATTATTTTACCATTTGTTCACCCAAGTGCTTTTCAAATCAAATTGGTTGCAATCTCTTTCAGAACTCGACATATAAATATTATCAGCAATAAACTTTCAGTTATACCCTATTTTTTACTGACAACCATGTAAAAACTGATCCTTACATTTAAATAGAACAACAAGCAAAGCGAGTAGTTCTGCAGAATATGTGGCGGCACCTGGTGCTAACTGAAGATCGGCAAATTCCGAGTATTTTGGCAGCTAAATACAATCTTCGGGAAAACGGGGACTTCCCGGGCTGGAAGAACTTTCTAGGACGTGTGCAATCTATTGCAGCATGGTCAATTCCATGGAGACAATTGCAATGCACAAAAGTGCTTTACTTTGCAGTTTGAACGTGCGTGCACGAACTAGGATTAGGTAGCTCTTTTCGACTAGTTTCCTGGCTATTTTATCCAGGTCCCTTTAGATTAGAATTAATCATAACCATTGCAATTTTCTCAAATGTGATTGATGCATTAGCTACTTTATTTCTCACTAATCATTCTGTGAAGTTGTAATCGGACAGTTGGCTGTAATCGGACACCTGTAGTCGGACAGTTGAAGCTTCCAAGCATACTAAGTTCACTCGGCTAAATCTACCAATAACAGAATTCATCACAATATCCATAACAACAAGCACTTATCCTAAAAAAAAGATGGGGAATTTCCAAAATTTTTTACTTAGATATTGTCTCTACTGGAGGTATTTGACCTAAATCTGTCTGTCATCATAATCGTGATTGACAAATTGGACTCTACTCGCGCCTATTAACATCATTAATTGCGCTGGTGCACAAGCTTACCGCTGCCTAAAAAAACCACTTCAATCTAGTCTGACCTTTTTACTAGTTAAGTCTTGGATACTTCGAAAAATAAACCTAATAAACATAGAGTCACCACAATCTTACAACAGAAAGGCTTTGAAGACCGATATGCCACAACACGGCTATAGATCAAGAGATCCAGTACTTTATGTAGAATGGTAATACATTCTCCGCTCCTGATGTTTCTGATGAGCGGTGAAGAAAGTAGTGTAAAACTCGCTCCAGCCCCCTGTACGAACGCGGATGAGATCATACTGCTCTGGGTTGTTTTGGGCGTTGGCGAATGTTTCAGGATTGGCACAAGTCACTATAAAGAGAAACAACAAGTTTTTTTGGGGTTTTTATCGTATTAAATGCTCTCTGCTTGCACCAGGCGCTGGGGATAAATTTTTTTAAGTTTTCATCTACCACACGAAGTCACCCATCCGTCCATGCCTATTACTTCCTCGACCATCACTTGTAAGATCCTGTTGTCTATTTTTTCAACTTGCGGGGATCCCCCTTAGGATTAATTTCTGCTATGCAGTGCCCCCTAGATGAACATCTGTGTGCTTTCAGTCGAAGTTGACTTGTTATTGTTGGGCTAGTTAGTGCAATTGTAGTTTGTTTGTACGACTGAAAACAGTTGTGGCTTTGTTAGTTGTGATTTTCCGTACTTCAGGCAGAGGGTTCCCTTTGGCTTTGAATAGAGTCCCTTCTGTTCTGATATTTGTATTCACTCTGATAGACCATCACTGGCAACTCAATTGAAAAGTTTTTTTCTTTGAGAAAAGAAACATAGATCGACGTTTTAGATAGTTCTGACTTATTTAGTTATTCAACATATGGACACTCGATTCAGTAAATGGTTTAAACCCGAGGGTAACATGTACTAGTGTAATTTGATCGTCCGGGTGAGTCTAGTCCTGAGAAGGACTGTTGTCGGTAGTGGTGACTGAAATTTCGACAACCTGAGCGGAAGTCATCATCACAGACAATTGAATAGTTGTTGTCAGTCGAATTTTCTAAGTCAGATACGTATGATGTGATTGCTGAACAACACCGACTTGCGAACCACACTTTTGACCGGGACTCTGCCCAATGCCTAACCTACAGCACCAACTACTTTCAACGACCGACTCTGGAAAGCTGGTTCACTAACTTAGAACAGACTTCCTTCAACAGGTTTCAACCACTACCGGCACCATACAAACGACTCACTCACGACATAAACATCAAATGTGTCACAAACCACACTTTTGACTGAACCGAACACCGTCTCTGGAAAGCTGGTTCACTAACTTAGAACAGACTTCCTTCAACAGGTTTCAACCACTACTAAAACGACTTACCAACAGATCGAAAAGACCGACCAATCACGACCGACCGACCAATCACGACCGACTTACACCACTTGAGTCTTACAGCCAATAACATCACGGCAAAACTGACCAACCAGTTATACCGGAACTAGAACATTCGACTGAGAACAGTTATTCACCTGACTCTGATGCTGACTTCCGCTCAGGTTGTCGAAATGTCAGTCATCACTACTGGCAACAGTCCTTCTTAGGACTACACTCACCCGTGCGATCAAACTACTCTATTACATATGTAGACTAGGGGAGCGTGTTTTATTCCTAATGTTTAGCATGAATCACCTGACAAAATGTTTCCTCCAATACCCTTTAGGTCGGCATAATTCCTTAAGAACTCAACCAGGTCACTCTCTTTAAAGTCTTCCATAATCTTCAAATCGATTTCTGCACCGTTTGCGAAGCCAACGTTTATAGAGTGCATATCCCAGCTTTTCAGTGATCTAAATAAAAATGAAGCAAAAGCCATGTGCGTAAAGGAACGAAAGACAGGAAACGAACAAGATCTTCTCCAACAAAATGTTTCAGTCGCACGACTCATACAGTTGCCATCTTACGGCGATTAAAAGTTCCTGTACCAAAAGTTTGGTACAGGAACTTTGACATAGAACTGAATCATGTGGAGAAACATGCCGCGTTTTGGAAAAGAATGACACTTAAGATGGCTTAGGATGTTTAGTGCATGTGTAAAAGGATTGGCCACGAAACGTTTTTTTTTTTTTACTGAATACCTCTTATTATGACCTACTTGTAGATACCAAAGCTCTTTGGTACTGGAGGCTTATCCAGAGGCGTGGGAGCAGCACTGAGATCGGAGGCTATGGGTGAGCCTGATCGCCGACCATCAGCAGAAGCCCCACATCCTGCTCCCCAGCCAACGTATCCTTCAAATGTCCCTGATCCTGTGGGCAGCAGTACATCCCATGGTGCCCCAGGCACCGAGTACTTTTTTTTTAGGCTGTCAATCAACTCGACTAGGGGTTGATGAGCTTCCAGACTGGGGCGGGACACTTTATTCACAACTGTTGAGACTTGTTCTGCTAACCAGCTACAAAATGAGAGGATTTTTTCAGAAAACGAGAGTTGTAAGATGAGAGGCAACCTGTTCAATCCTTAAACAACACTGATACACGATGTGTTCCTTTTGCCAAACAAAAAAATATATTCTGACACAATTTATAGTTCATTTCTTAAAGAGTTCGCACTAACTCGGAGGGAGATTGGTTCAATTTCCTTCTCGTGACACCCTCATAAATAAACGACATCCTCATAAATAAACATTGAGTGACACATTGACCATGACCAGTTGGTGGCAAAAAGACAACGACGGCATGATGGTTACTAATCAGTGAAGACGAAAAAAAATAAGGAAATAGTTTGTTTGTTTATCTCACATCATAACGCGCGACGACTAAACGCTCCTTAGGCGATTTTGGACGAGCTTGCCTTATAAAATTGTAAAGTATAAACCAACTATAAAGTTAAGAAAGAATATCAAAATGTTCTTAAGGACTTCCAAATTCAAATTACCTCGTGATTTCTTGGATGTCTTTGTTTTCCGCACCAGCACTAGTTCCAAATTTGGGCAAGTTAATCGCTGTCTCGCGTACTGCCTTGTACGTGTCCGACAGCCGCTGACCTCGGGTTTTGCCAGCAATCTCGTCATGGAAGGGCTCTTGCATGTTGTATCCCCAGTCACACTTGAGGCACCGAACTAACTCAGCCAAGGAAATTAGAGCCGAGTCGTGATCAAAGCAAAGCTTTTTGATGGCGTACAGAGCGTCAACAGTGTTGGAAAAAGAGATGAATTGGACGCCAATAAGCGTGTGATTAGCACCACCGTTGTAAATGTCCCGCTGTGTTTCAAGGCAACCTCGGATGAGGGGAGAGAGCAGAGGACTGGGAGAGTACTGCACAATGTTGTCATAGTTGAGAAGCAGAAGGAAAAGGCTGTACCCTGTTCGCACATTAAGGTGCGTGGCAAAGATCTCTTTGACCTGAAAAATAATCAATAAACATTTAAATAAGGTAAAGAAATGAAAAAAAATGTCGTCCACTAAACATTTCTCCAGCACAAGTATTTTTGCAAAATGCTTGCTAATACGCGTTGGAGAGATCTCTATCGATTCCTTTATTGACCTAGGGGAGCAGAGAGCGGAGGGCAGCCCCTTTTCAAAAAGACATTTTGTTGGATGTTGGATTGATGACCATTGAACACGAGAAACTCTGCTCAGCTCTCAACCTTGGCTTTCATTCTGGAACAGAGCGTGTTTTACAGCGAAAGTAACGCAAGGGATGAAAGCACTCTGGACCCCTTCCCCCTTAAAGAACATTAACGTACAGGAGAATATAAAGAAAGACCTTACCTTATCAAAGCTGTTAATCTCTTCCGCATGTTCTGTTGGCAGAGACTGTGGTACACCCTCCAGATACTTTGGCCCAGCGAGCAAGTATGTTGAGCCATGGTTGATTGTCATTTCAAGCACTTGTAACAATGGCACATAAGCCAGGGAGAAGTCTGTCTCTCCTGGAAATATTGGCTCGTAGCAACCGTCACAACAGTAATTCCGTGCGCTTTTCAGGCTCACTGGCACGTCTGTAGCGTCTCCAGCTTCTTGAAGGCCCTGAATTAGGTGTTCATCATGGGGCAAAATTGGATGAGCCCCGCCACTTAGTATTGCTTTGGCGGCCTCCTCAAGAACCTGTTTCCATTGAAAAAAAATCGTAAAATCATACAGCTAAGGCATTTTTCTTCATTGAGAACTATAGGCAATTTAAAGGAGCGCACGTATCATCCTTAGGGACTAAAGCTGTATAGCTCCAGTTGGACACAAGGGCAATATAATATACAATCAACATAAGATAGTTTATACTTTACCTCATTAGAAGTACGTTGATTAAGTACAAATAAGGATCCGTTCAACTAGAAGATGTTAATCCTAACGTGGGCCATGCGGCCGCTCGTCCATATTCCAGCAAATGCAGCATTAATTTATTCCACTTGATTATTTGAGGTCCGTGTTAATCCTTTTCTCCCGGTTCCGTTTCAATATTCTTACATCATTGTTGGTTATCAGCTCTAACAATGGGTTTCTTCCCCCTTATATAAGTACATATACACATGCACAGACAGAACAATAGATAGATAGATAATTCGCTCTTCGTACCTTCTGCGGCATATTTTTATGCACTCGAAGGGACAAACACGGGGCATTAAGTGGAAGCCTGCGCGAGGCTTTCAGGCACATGATTGTCACGTCATTGCAACCACATTCTGGCTCTGCTGCGTCATTCGCCTTGTAACCGCCTACAGTGATCTAAAAAGCAAGACTTACAATCATCAGTGAACGGATTTTAGACAAATTTCTGTTACCTACAGCTCTATAGCCTGCAATTCAAGGGAGAAAAGGGAATTTGGTGAATTCATCACATCTACTTCGCTTGGAAATGGAATGTAGGTTAGGAGGTTAAAGTAAGCCATTATGTTGGTAATTAAGAGGAAGTAGGTAGATAGGTTGATATAGAAAATACTACAAAAGTTCAAGAGAGAATGGCAGAACGGCGATCATTTATGCCACTAAAAGGTTAGAAAGATCAGTAGAGTCTTCATATCATAACACAAAAATGGCAAATTTAACCTTGACGTCAAATAACTGTACTGAAATACTAGAATCCTCAGCGCACCTGCTGAACCCACTGGTTGATGGTGTCACCGTTTGCGAACATCCCTGTGGAAGCGTACGGTACTGCTGTCATACCCCAAGTCCCCAAATCATTCAACAGACGAGAGTTGATATGAACATGCTCACAGAGTTTGACAAACAGGCAGTCAATGATTTCCTGGGCGTCTTTAGCAGATGTACCCGGTAGGAACGGCAATAAGATTTGATCCAGACGTCCGATAGATGTTGGTTCGCCAGTGAGGTGCAAACAGCAGTGATATGAGTATAACAGTTGAACAGCTTCAACGAACGTCTCTGGACGGTCGGTTGAAATCTTCTTCATTCTTGTCTCTATCTGTTAAAGAAAGATTACTCCTTTTGCTTTAATATATTTCGCAAAATAGTCAATGATGAATTTGTAAACGAACATTTCTCTCAAGTAAAGTTTATGGCCCTTCCTCCTTATGTTGGTTACTATCCACTGAAAACTCTCACAAGATACTCGTGCTATAGAAGGTTTGGTAAAGCAGCCAATTCTTGCCACGCGGATCGATGACTTTTATGTCTTAAAAGGCTTAATAGGCTCTTGACCCCGATATTTCAAAAACTCTTCGAGTCTTACCTGTTTTAAGTTTTGTTTCTGAGCCTCAGATATCGCGAAGCCACTGTTGTCAGCACAGTAACCAGCCAAAATTCCAAAGTTCCTTATGTACTTCTGTATTCCTTCCAAAGCCAGGATGCAGGCAGTTATAAAGTCTTGCTTCTCCGCAGTTTCTCCTTTGTCGGTGGCTTTCAATTCTTCTATTATCTTTCCCAGGCCATTCTGTACCAGCCTCTCGTAATCAGGAACCACATGCCCCATTCCGGCTGCCTCACTCAGACCCTTGTAGAAGGCTGGAATTACTTCGTACTCATGAAGATAGGGCATCACAGCCTTGCCAAGACCTAGGGAGAAGCACTTGGGCATCCTACCCACTATGATCTCGTCTGGATGAAGGTTAAAGAAGTCGGCTTTACGACCGAAGAATGGCTGCTTTGAATCACGCAGCTTTTGTACTTTGTTTGTGGTAAACAGGCGTCCTAGTGACACCTTCACAGCCCATCCTTTCCGTATCATGACAGACGCCTCTTTCACCTTGCTCAATTTTGTAGGCTTTAACATCGTGAAGAGGTGCGGAATTTTAGGCATCTCCCGTCGTTTGTGCCATTCGTCGTTCCATTGCTGAAAGCCGTAGTCTAACAGGCCAAGGACTCGGTTACTTGGAGGGTCTCCGGGGTGGTATCCGCCAGTTGTCATACGGTAGAGGTATTCCTTCTGATTGTAAAACAGGTACTCGTTTGATGGACTTCGTATGTTCCAAAAATCTAATATTTCAAACCTGGAGTGCAAGAGTACATTCCGTGAAACTAAAAGAATCCATTATTCCTTTGTAAACTGACAACTCCTATTTTTCTAGTGTTCTTTTGTTCTTTTTTACATCTAGTTCTCATTCTTTCTCATTAGCAGTGTGGTTTGTGATGTGTGGCTGAGATGGAATCTTGCATGAGCTCTCTGACCATCAGAAGTTGGGAATGTAACTTTGGAGACTATCACACTCGTTACTGAGCGGTAGCGCCAAAACTAATAAAGCTATAATTTTCTGCACTAAAAAAAATATTACAAATTATTCTCGGTATGAAAAAATTTTGAACCTAATGTATACGTTTAGGTGCTCACATTTTCTGCATAGTAATCAATAACAGTAAAAATATTTCCAATTGCGCGTTCAAAATTATCGATGCAGCCACGGCACTGGCCTTTGGGATCGCTGGGAAAATAGAATAAACTCATTTCAAAACTCTCTTTCTTCACCCCCCCTCCCCTCCCCTCCCACCCTAAGATAGTCCGTAAAAGATATCGTTGTATCAGTTTTCTAAAACCTGAAATATAAGTGAACACCTATCTTACCTTCGTTCCTTGATAGTGGATAACTTCAACTCTTCTGCACTCGGCACATAATAGAAGGTTCCAAGTACTGGGCGGACGGCGCTGATCAAGCTATCAACGGTTACGTCACCAAGTTTAGAATGCTTGTCATTACCAGCGATGTTTGCCAGAATGGTCTTGAAAACCTCAGTATTGTTGCACCAGTGCATGTACATCAACCCTTCTTCTTGGCTTGGTTGGTCTGCTCGACCGTAAGGCATTGAAACCCGGAAAACGCGCTTATGCCTCAAAAGACCATTCACTGGTGGAACGTCGAGTTCTATATGCGCGCGTGAGATGTGAGCACGTTTGTCCGTGTGGGGAATGATTGTGTCTGTGCCAGTTTTCCTCCCGATCATGTCCCCTCTTTGAATCTGTCACATTGTAAAAATTTATATCATTGATGAGTCAAGATCTAAGATACCAAGGCTAAAACTATAAATTTTGATAGGATTTAAAGTTATCGCCTAGTGTTCGTTTCTCCGGCGTTTCAAAAAGAATCTACTTATCGTTTCAAAAGAAAACCTTTTTTTCATATGAACTGATTCCAGGGTTAGTTTTGTTTTTAATGGTACCAACTTAAAATGAAAAGGCTCGAAAAGGTGAAGACAATCGAGGATCGAAAGCAAGAGAATTTCATGTTATTACCTTGTCCATATTTCCGAGGACCGTCCAGTTGAACTCAAACTTCTGTGCCAGAAGGTAACATGATCCAGGGTAACCTGATAACGCTCCTTCATTCTTGACAATGTAATTCTTGATGCTCTCTGCGTCACAGGGATTTGCTACTCCATCAATAAAGGAATTTTGAATGATCCGCTGAGGACACAATAAAATACAGCAACAGGTCACAGGGGCATGGTAGATGCATTTGTTAATCACTAAAAATAGAGATCTAACTTTCATACAAATAATATTTTTTAAGGCGTTTTTCTCTTTCGACTCAAGCTAAGATATACTTTCATCTCCGAAGCAGCCGTTGGTGGAGAAGGGGGAAGGGAGGGTGGAAGACAGGATAAGAGCAGGGTTCATAACAAAGGAGTTGGATCGGAAAAGACAATAATCTTTCAATTCCTAGCAAGTCACATGACATTATAGTTCATACCTTCAAAATGAAAAGTTTTTATCCAAATATTTCAATGACACTGAAATGAATAGGTCTAGATATCACTCTAGTCCCCTTCAGAAAGCAGAGGAAGAGAGGTACAAAGTAAATGAAATGGGGTACACTTAAAGAAAGAGGAATCTTACACGGTAATTACATTTGTATTGTACATTTAAATTCAAACGAGAACTCCAGAAAAAAATGGCTGTTGTTCCGCTTTTATGAACAACGCCATCCGCGCAAAAACAAATATATGATCTTGTTAGCAGTTCTAGCCCATAAATGGATTAGTGCAAAAAATTCGTTTCCATTTTCGGTTAGTGTCTCAAGCAAGAGTTGAATTACCTTCCTCCTTTACCCTTTTAACAAGATGATGTGTCTCTTTTTTTTCAGAAAAACAGACTCAACAAATTCTTACCTTACTCGGGGGCTTAGAGTGGGTCACATCCAACTTATCGCAAAAAGGTTTCATATTATTCTCAACACGCTGAAGAATTTTCTCCACCTCCCCGACAGAGTTTGATTTAAGTAAAAAGAACACATCTCCTCCGGTGTCCAGGAATTTTTGTGAGTCACGGACGAGTTTCTTGCCCGGGGGACGGTTATCAAGATTCGCCAGTTTGGGGTCATCTTTATACCATTTACTCCACTGGTCTGGGTCAAATGCCACATTTGCCCTGGTAAATGACTCTGAAAATTGCAATGACAAACCAGGGTGGATATACAGTTTTGTCTCAGATTTACGAACTGCTCGAAATAACTCTCCGTGACTATATGGTTTTGTCGAAGTCCGAAGTACGCATTTTAAACAGCAACGAACACCGAGAGAGGAATATTACCCTTGGAAGGACGGGCAAAAAAATTTAACTCGATATTGCCCAATTTCATCCCTCACAGCAGTTAAGTTTGCCGTTCCTAAAGGCTTGTAATTCGTGAGAAAAAATGCTGAGGTATTGAGCGATGCTAGTTTTTGAGTCAGTCATATTTTTAAAAGTCTGTCTGACAACTTAGGAAAGAGTGCAACACGAGCATCTAAGGAGGGTCGGAAGTAATGCACAGTGCAGTAGACCTTTCAATGAGTCACATCAAGAGGCCAGAAGTCACGTGTGCTACTTCCTTATATAACATCTTCCACATGTTTAATCTATTTTTCATTTTTCATTGTTTGGATGAGCGCTGCATAATTTATTGAAAATGACCTCCTTATAGTTTAACTTTCTAACCGTTTCCTTTAGCTTTCTCCAATTCTAGAGCATAGTTGACGACGTCACGTACAGCATCCAAAATGTGGTCCCGAACAGTGAGGTCATTTACAGAAAGATCTTCCTTGTAGAAGGCAGTGACGAAGATTCCGTACTTTGGTTTGCTGATGAACAAGCCACGCTGCGCCTTGTGGAGGAGTTTGTCCTCAAAAAGAACCTGGATCAGAAAAAGAACACTGGTATTGACGAGTTTGAACAAAAATTTCACATACCATCAATAAAGTGTAACTCTCCTTTTGGGAATGTTCCATTCAGTTGCTACTTCTAAACAAATTAATGGAAAAGGGGATATCAATGAAAGGATCTCACCTGCAAACTCATTTTGATAACTTGTTTCCTGCATAGGAAAAGTAAATCGATTACTTAGTTCATGATATAACTGAGATATCAAGCGTACTCCCATTGGACATACTTAAATCAGAATATAAAAACAAGGATTTCATGTTTTCGATTCGCACTTATATTTGAGATGTTATTAATACTTTTACATCGGCATCTAAACCCCAAAGTCCTGAGGGGAGGAACAAGGGAAAAGTCCTCCCTTGATTAAATGGTCTTGTAATTAAATTGTATGACGTTTGTATCATTGGGAGACCTGAATTCAGTGGCACTTATCTTCCTTCATTATTGCCTTCTCTCTTTATTTTTTAATTTTTGCCATGGTTGTGTTTCAAAGAAATCTTTTCTCACACGTCTGTTACCACGAATTATTTCACATCATACAGGTTTTTCTGGGCTATATGGTCGGAAATATCATCCCAAATTTTCAGCGGTCATCGCATGAAATCACAGAGGGGTCATCATTTTACGGGAAAAGTTGGTTCAAATTACCTTTGTAGTATTCTGGGCAGGCTCCATAAGGTTTTTGATCGCGCGAGATCTGGACGAGAACATTGCACGAGGTTTAAAAATTTTGATTGGCAAACATAACGGGCTAAATGCGATCGCATGATTATCATTTAAAAAAGGTGTATTAAAACGTTACAAAATTATACAGTTTTTATGTAACGGACCCCGAGGTTTCCAAAAACTATACCCATAATATCCACAGGCCTTCTACGCCTGACTGGAAAGAGGTTAACAGAGAAAAAATTAATGATTAAAAAATTATTTACGCGCGGTTGCCTCTGTATAATTATTGAGTCCGTTGCTGTTGAATTTTTTGACTACATCCATTCATGCACGTATCTTCGCTTAAACTAGTAGCCAATTTGGTTTTTAGTTTTTTAATTTTTGCTGTAAAGTTCCATTGATGATTTAAGATAATATACGTTTTTTGGGCTATTTGGCCTAAGTTGTTATGACAAGTTTAAAGCGCCTATCAACTTGAATACCACCGCAGAGGTGTTGAATTATCTTAAACTATTATTGGTTGAATTAGCTCCATTGGAGTGTCATCTTCCTGCTTGACGTAAAACCAATCAATCGATAAAATATTTTCAAGAGTGCTATTAGCAACTGCTCCTTTGTACGTGATCATATTTGCATGTTCTGACCATTACTCGCAGAACCAAGCGTGGTGAAAAGCACGTACATTCTACCAGACATTCAAGCTGAGTTGAAAGCGATGAAATGTTCGCAAAAAATATTGTTAGTAAAGAAATTTTTCTCACATTCACTTGACTGCAAATTTTTTTCAATACCATATGAAACCATAGCCAAGAGGTACGAGAGATCGCGATGAAATTAACTTCAACAACGAACTTTCTTCTGCGCGAGTGAACGGCGAGTGTGCATTCGGTTTGCTGAAGAGTCGATGGAGAATACTACAGAAACAATTAAATGGTAGTATTGAGTCTGCAATTAAAAATGCTATAGCCTGTGCAGTTATCCACAACCTTTGCATCTGATGGGAACAACTGGGAGGGAAAGAACAATGATGACGACGACCCTTGTCCCAATGCTGGGCACAATGTAATCAGGGATGGAGATAACATGAGAGAAATTCTAAAATACTGCATCCGTAATTGCACATGATAAATGAAAAAAAAAATAGTATAACCCTAAGCAATTCTGGCCATTACGTAAAAAATCAGTTCATAAGATTATATTACAGTCATTCATAATCAAATATAATCAACAAGCATCTTCATCTTCTTCTAGTACTTGCTTGTGGTCTGGTATAGTAAATTTGGCGGTGTCACCGAAAAGAGCGGGGAACTGCGACGGATTGTAATGGTTGTAAAATCCACGTCTGTCCATGGTAAAGAAAGAGCGCGAGCTGAGGCAATATCGCGTGTTCGATTAATTTTATCACAACTCTTCTTTTAGATTTTTATTCATTGACGAGCATTCACAGTCACCGCTGTGATTTCTATTGTTCAGCTCGAGTTTTCTGAGTTCTGCCTGCCCAGCCTAAGCACTACGGCGTGCTTAATGTTCTTGCCAATTTTTAAGGTTTTTGCCAACCGGAAAAGTTGGGGTCCTACCAGGCAATGTCCCCCGATGATAGATTTTAGGCCGCAAAGTTAACCGATTCTCGCAAAAATTTACCATGTACGACCCATGCCAATGGCAATTGACGACTCATTTCGCGGTTGTATTACATTATTAATTTCCTGTTTTTCTGAGAATGTCACGCAATGGAAAAATTGCTAGTCTCCTATGGTATTCCAATGCTTTGATATTATAAAACGGTGCCATCAAATGATTACATTAAATGATTCCATCCTATGGAAATTAGTATAAAGAGTTGGCGTTTGTACAAGATCACTTTTTCAAAGTGATCTGATACTGCCGACTGTTACACTACTGGTTCTGTTGGAGTGTTATCTTCTCGCTTGACGTAATCCCAATAACTAGAGCAAATCTTTTCGAGAGTCCTGTCAGAAACTGCTCCTCTGTACGTGATCTTATTTGCATTTTCTAATCCATTACTCGCAGAACCAAGCGTTGTGAAAGCAAGTACATTCTACCAGCTGAGTTGAAAGCGATGAAATGTTCGCAATGGGCTTCTGTTTAGCAAAAATTGTTTTCTGTCATTGACTGGACTGCGGCACGTAAAACACTTGCTCTATGTGCAATGTTTTATACACTGTACTCTCCAACTCTGCAGACCTTCGCTCCAGTCAAATTGAGCAAAACATGTTTGCAGACTGCAGTCGGGTGTGGCTCTTACACTACTTGCGAGCAAGCCGTAAAAATGTTCGAAATGTTCACTGAATAATTTTCAAGCTAAACTTTGCAACCAAAACTCCTTGTCAACTCAGAAAGGAATAATAGCATCCAGTAATCATACTTTTGAAGCAAACTCGGTAGAAGGGTGTGGACTCAACGAAATCGAGTTTAAAACAAAAATCGAATCTTGAAAGACATTGAGCTATAAACTCGATCGATCAAAAAAGGTTAGACAAAATTTAAGCGTGGAAACATGGATTCTTACCTAATTTTGCGACTGTCCGAGCGACCTGAAAGGAATCCGTGTACGCGCCGCCTAGGAACAATCGACACTCCCGCTAAATATGAATGCTTTATTACGTCATGTTTACGACCAACATCAGGTGATGGTACCACTCTTCTGATAAGGAAGGAGAATTGGCATTTTGATGTAAATTAAATGACTACATTTTTTTGTTACACATCTATAATCTCTCAGCTGACCTTAAAAAAAAACAATTACTAATTAATGACAGTAGTTTTACTTCATTAATACCCCGGGGGTGTCTAGGTTAAAATAAAGTACGGCCAAATAAGGAGCGCCTGCCATTTGTTTTTCAACATAGGAAGGACATGTAATTACTACTAAAATTTTTGAGATTTATGGGGCTGGAAATTTTTTTGAGGGTGATTATTTCGATAGCCTGTAAAATAGTTTAATAACCGGCAATAATTTATCAACTGACCTTGAAAACTAATATCGATGATAGCGGTTAGTTGCTGTACTGAGTACTTTATAGCCCACGGGAAGGTGTAATAATTAATGGTAATAGGACTGAGTAGAGTCCACTTCGCACAACACTTTTAAGCTTGAAAGATATGTTTCGAAAGTTCTTCCCCCATCTCCAGTTTAAATCGACGCAAAGTTCAAAGCTGAATTTATAATGCTACATAAGAAGGATGTCAGAAGTATAGTAGTTGGCGTTACCAGATCACTTTGAAGAAGAGGTCTTGTACAACGCCAACTCACTATACTACTTTCTATATGATGAAATCTTTTTATATTTTTTTCTATACAGTAGGAGACTAGCGCCATGATCTCAGATCATTTTTCCATTGCGTGACATTCTCAAAAAACAGGGAAGTCAATGACGTAATACAACAAGGGCTTTACCGCGGAAATGCGTCACCAGATTGCTATCGTTCACCGGTCATGTGAAAGTCTCGTGAGATCAGGTGATCTTTACAAATACATATTCAAAGCTGTTTTTTAAAGAAAGATTACCAGTAACGTTTGTCAGTAAAGGTTATCAGTAGAGTTTGTCAATAAAGTTTGTCATTGAAGTTTGTCAATGATGTTTACTTTCGGATTTTGTGATGTCCATAAGCGTAAGATGTTATACCATCTTCATGAATGTATCGCTCATCATCAAAGCAGCTGACTGACACTTTATTTAGTTCATAGCTTCCGAGTTGATGATTGTAGCTTTTGATAGTTTCCATTTTATGATGCATTTGTTTGTTATTAAATGATACGTTTTTGTATTCTTTATGCTTGACGTCTTTCTTTATGACAATCTTTTTATTCCTTTAGCTGTTCTGTTCCTTTTCTCATTACCTTTAATATGAGTACATTTTTGACCTTAGACCGACAATTCAATTATTTGTACACCAGAAGCCTCGTCTTTAAATTTTCCAATCACTTTCTTGCTTGTTTAATCAAAATATGGAAGTTTTCTGGATAATCGCTTCTATCAAATTTGTCTATATTATTCCGAAAGTCTCTATCCACGTCTTTGGTTTCGATTTCATATGTTAGGCTGTCTCTGTCGGAGAAAAGTAATCTTTCTTTGTTGTTATGCTTCGTTTTGATACAATTATAATGGAAATCATAGTAATTGATTCTTTGATCTTATGAACAGTTATTAGATTCTGTTTAAATATTTTTGATGATCCAAAAGTTTGTTTCGAGACATATTTTGAAATATTTGTTTAATCAGTTACAAGTTTTAAATCTACTCCTTTGCAAATGTTCTCCATAGTTCTCTTCTCTTCAGCAAGTGGGTAGTCATTATGCATCTCATGCAACTCATTAGGATATTCAAGATCAACTTCCAATATTAAAATTTTATCACTGTCTTTTACCTAATTTGCTGAGTTGATTTTTGCGATATCTTTTTCTGTCATCCATTTAAATTTACCAGTTGGAGGATACTGACTCATAG